TCTGCGGTGCCTTGTATTTTATTTAATTAATAAAAATATATAGTTGCGAGCTTTTCTCACATAATCTCAAAAATTACTTGCTTATTAAAAATTTACTAAATAGTAGTTTTTTCCAAGTGCTCAGATTATGAAAGATACATGTGTGATAAATTATCAATATTTAAAAAAAAACTCAACGCGTGTGGAAATAAATCACGCGCAAAAATAAAAATAAATTGTTTCTTAAATAGCAGTCGCGGTAAATTCATAAATTTTACGTATCTATGCGGGAAAAGAACCGAAGTCCGCGGAGGACATTAAATGTCAGCTTCGAGTTTCTCGTAGAGAGGAAAACATATATAACTGATCTCTCTTGCCACTTTTCTTCATGGCGCAACCTGTATGGAGAAGTCTGCTGCCTTCGAACACGCGGAATGCAAATAATCCCCGCCGAGCATTTAGCGCCGGCTTCAATATTCGCGTCGCGTTTATTAATACTTAAGCACATACGCGTTGTATTAAGTCGCGTGTGCACCTGACAAATGAAACAGATTGAATACGGACATATGTATAGGCATCGATAAATCGAACGCAATTGAACGAGTGCATTGATCGACGCAAAAATAGCAGAATAATTTTCCTTTTTTTTCTTCCAGTCTCCATTGTATTAGAGACTTCGCCTTTAGAAAAATTTTAAAAATGCTCAAATCATGTGTGCGGATATAATTTAACATATATCTTGTGAGATAATTCGAAATAAAATATTAAAAAAATAAAAATTATAATATAATTCAATAAAAAATATTAAAGAAAAAAAGAATTATAATATAAAATCGGTGAATCAGCTTTATAAGTATAGGTAATAATTAAAAATTAAAGAATTTTGAAGTATTTCAAGCTTTAACTAAATAAATTGCATGCAAGATTTCATTCTTATATTCTTAATTTTTAAATTTGCTTGAAAAATAATTTTGATAAATTTTTAATTTGAGGCTTAATAATAAAGATAATTGTGATGTGTGTATTTAACAAAAGTATCTATTTTTATGAAAGACTTGTATACATCCAATTAATTAAAATTATAAAAAAAATTATATGAAATTGGCATATATCCATCTAATAATTAAAAATTAAAAAATTTTGAAGTATTTCAAACTTTAGCAAATAAGATTTCATTCTTCAGTTATATTTTTAAATGCACTTTAAAAATAAAATTTTGACAAATTTTTAATTTGAGTCTTAATAGTAAAGATATTTAATTGTGGGAATAAAATAGCATAAAATGATGTTCATTTAACTCTGAACCCTTCAAAATGATTAATCGAAAATTTAGTTAAAATAGCTATAGCTTTGCATAAAGGAAAAAAACATTCAAAATAAATATAAATTATTGGTGTGTGTGTGTGTGTGTGTGTGTGTGTGTTATAGGTTATACGAGTGACGAATAAAGATATTTAAAAAAGATGATCTCAATGCCGGTGAGTTAAATCGTTGACAAAGGTCACTTTTGCATACTTGTATCGTAAAGAAGAATTTGCCAAAATTATATCATAACTTTTAGATCGTTAAACGAAACTTGTGAAAATCGTTCAAGAATTTTGACTTTGTATAAATCTAATTACACATCACGGTTTATTATGACTAGTAAAATGTATTTTTCTGCATTTGTACACTAAAAAAAATTTGATAACTTGACAACTAAATATTATTTTGTTAATTGAACATATAAAAATATTTAAATTAAATATATTAAATCTAATAAAACGTACAATATTTGATTTAAATACTAATGTGTCCAATTAACAAAATAATTAGTCAAGTTAACAAAAATGTTATCAGTGTACATAATATATAATTAAATAAGATATTTAATATTATTTAAATATTTTTTAAAAATTAGCGAAAGAGATGTATATTTTGCGCATCCTATATATTATACATTTTTTCTTTATAATAAACGTAAACAAATTAAGACGTTAAATCTTCCTTTTTTAGTGCACTATAAAAAATATATAATATTACATAAAATATATATAAAATTACAAAAATAATAAGTGTATAGTAATAAGTGTAAAATGTATACATTTTTATTATTTATCGTGTAATTTTACATTCATTATATATGTAATTTTACATATTTTTATGTAATATATTATATATTTTTTTACAATGCGAGAGAAATTGAAGCTTATAAGCTGTATGTATAAATTATTTCCAAAATATTTGATGCATGTTTTACAACCAAACCATAAGTCTTATTAAATATACATACAACAATAATAATTATATATATATTTGATATTATAAATATATAATAAATAATATCATAATCTTCCTTGCGTTTTCTACGAAATGTACTATTTTTTTATCTTAAAAATTTATGTTTCTATATTTTTTACGCTTGATACAACTTTCTAAAAATATATTTCGCAAAGAAAGAGATGTGACATTGAATATGTTTATCTTCAAGAGAACGTAGAATATAGAGCGCATATGTGTGCGCGCTATCATATTTTGTTGCGCACTGTACACATTATCGCTGACTATTGACAGTGCGTATAATTTTTCCTTCCAGTCGATCGCGCTCCATTTTACACGTGCGTGTTAAAATGAAGAAACGTCATATAAACGCCGGTATGCGTTATAAGCGCGGGTTTAAAAATATCCGTTTAATGCGGGAAATTATTGGAGGGCCCACAAGGTCGCAGCGCAAGGTGCGCGCGAAGAGAGGACAGAGGGGAGATAAAAAAGGAGAACGGAGTATACATATGCATATACAGGGTGATCTACGAGTGCAAAAAATTTCGGTAGCCGAAATCCGTTCGGAAAGTCATGTCAAATAAAAAAATATAATACGAACATATGTTTCATATTTTAACTAGTTTTTGTATTATTATTTATTATATAATATATATAATTATCATTATTAATATATAATAAATGTTTTGTAATAATTATTTTTCCATATAAATCATAAATATTATAAAATGTCAATAATATATAATTAGCATAAAATACGAATAATTATATCATTAATATTATTAGAAATTATTCATAAGAAAATATAAAAAAATTATTTTCTAATATTCCTTATATAATAATAATAATAATGACAATTATTTTGGAATAATTTTTAATAATAACGTTAATAAATTATTATTATCAAAAATAAATAAAAAAAAATACAAGAAATATGTTTTGAATTTCACCTGTCAAACGAACTGTCAAAATTTGGTGCACTCGTCGTGGATCACCCAGTACATACATACATAAATCTACATACACGAGAGAGAAAATCCATGTATGCGTAAGAGCGTGCGCGCAAAATACGTAGAAAAACAGAGGCGCGTGGTACCAACCTGTCGCTCTTGTCGACGACCGCGAGAGGCGCGAGCTCCTGGAGCGGAGGCTCCGCGGAGATGCCCTGGGCGCGATCGCGGGTCCTCGGCTTGGTCGGCGTGCGTGGGGGCGCGGTGCTGAACGGCAGGACACTGAGGAACTTGTCAAGGTGGCTGCGTAGCTCCTGGATCTGAGCGTCGCGGCAGCAGACCACCGCCTCGAGCTCGGCGATACGCTCGTCCTTGGCGCGGAGCAGCTCCTGAAGCTCCCTCAGGGTGCCCATGGCGACGATCGGGGCACCACCGCCGCCGCCGCCTCCTGGGGCGACGTGCGGCACTTGGGCGATTTGCTGCGTGGTGGTGGCTGCCTGGGAGCTGGTGACAGCGGCGACGGCGACGGCGTCGACGGCGACGTCCCGCATTGGCGGCTGCGACGAGGCGGCCGCGTCCTCCTCGTCGGCGAGCCGCGGCTGCGTCGACGAGAAGCACAGCGAGTCGAAGCACACGCGCATAGACACGCAGGCGTCGCCGATGGGCACTCGGCACTTGGTACTTTTGTCCATTCAACTCACCGATGATCGCACGAGGGAGGGAGAGAGAAAGAGAGAGGATAACGCGAAGCAACGCGACGTCGGTCGTTACTATCGCACGAATTCGCGCTCCCGAAGAGCGGAGGACCGACGTCCTCCGCCACCTCCGCGCCGACGTCCCGCACGAGTCCAGAGAGCGAGGGATACTGGGAGTGGGAGGGAGAAAGACGGAGCGAGAGAGGGAGCGAGAGAACGAGACCGAGGAGTGGGGGAACTGCGCGCGCAGCGCCACGCCGGTCGCGACGTCACGTGACGTAACGAGGTTCTCGAAGAGTGACTAGATTCGTTCTGCATACTAAGAGCGCGTTTTTCAAAAGTTTTATTCTTTTTAGAACGAGAATAGAAGAGGAAAATTAATATTAAATATTACATTTTATTTTAGCATGTGTTTTATTTATATCAAGATTTTATTTTCGAATTAAAAAAAATTTGTCAATATAACTGCTGATTGCGACTAAATTTTATTCATGTGGATTTTTTGTAATCTTGAAAAAAAAAAATTATTTTGCCTTCTTTAATAATTATTTTATTTCGATTTATAATAGCTTCATATGTTATTAAAATATGCAATTAAAGATTCTTTAATAAAGCAATATAAACAATTTCGACATTCTGAATTGCTCGTTTTAAATGAGCTTTATGGATAGAGAACTTTGATACAGCCAATTATTAGTATCAAATTGTAATAATGAGTATGCATAACGTATAAAGTCCAAAGCAAAATTGAATACATATACATTGCAGTTATATAATTATATATAATGATATACAGTTATATAATTATACATATATAATATATATAATATATATAATTATATATAATTAAATAACTATTATTAAAATAATTGTTTTTTAATTTAAAGAATAGTTAAAAATTATTCTTAAAATATAAAATTTATAAAAGGTAGCATTCAATATCCATTAAAAAATCCATTTCAAAATAATTAAAAAAATCTAAACAGAAATACTGACTTGTTTTGATAGGTGAAACGCTCCCGTGATAAATGTAATTATGAAGAAATAATTCATAATGTAATCCACATAAATTTGCACGTAAAAATCTGCATATCCTTGGAGAAATGAAACCTGCGAATAAACAATAACCAAAAATTTATTATCCTTATATAGGTACATTATATAAATATTACTGCAAAAAAGCACTCATATTAGCATTTGTGCACGTGTATTATGTACAACGGAAAATATGTACAATGAATATAAATAAAAACAAAAAAGAACCATCGTACTTTAATTGCGCTAAAGATTTGTCATTGGGGAAGAAGGGGTTCGCTTCCTGTCCTTAACACGCTCGTTTTCGCGGCACCTGCGAACTCGTCGGCGTTGTTGCACTGAAATTTCTCAACTTTATGGGTCTCTTCCGTATTTAAAAATACCTCGTTTAAACAGACGTTGTTCAAGCTAACGGCGCTGTTCGAGAGGATGGCCGTTCCGAGATTCGGATTCTTCATGTCGGCGCTGTTAGCACGTTTGTGCGACGGAGATTTCGAGCTTACGTTATTTTTCTCGGTCTGCGTGTGCGATATTATGTCGCACGCTTTGCCGAGAATGATTAAGCTATTTAATATACGAAGAGCCATTAGAATGAGATACGCCAGCAGTAGAAGTATGATATTAGCGGGTCTCGCGGATGGCGTGAGGGTTGTGCACAGAACACGGGCCATGGCGACTCCCAGGGGAAGTGGTATAAAGCCCATTCGCCGCGCTACCAAATCCGAGGGATCCGAGAACGCTGTTTCCCGACGTGTCTGCGTCATATCATAGGCCAAACTCACGGTATAATCCCTGTAGACGGTCGAAGGCAACTCATTGAAACGCGTAATGAACGCGTGTTTCACCTTCAGACATACAATGTGATAATTAGCGTAGGCAGGAATGATCAAATGCGGTTCGTGGATATTTCAGGTGTAATTATAGCGATATTATAACATATGTAAACTGGTGAAGGATTATTAAAAGAGTGAATCTCGATTGGCAATGTAAAATTAAGGTTACATAAGATTTTACATAAGACTTGAATAATTTAAATAAGAATAATCAAGTTCGATCACTAATAGAATCATCTAGACTCGAGACATGTATATAATATAATAATATAAATATAAACTTAGGCATTAAAAATAGCTAGTACAGATATTAGTAATGCAACAAATCTATTTTTAAATTATTTCTTGTGACGTTAGAAGTCAGAGAGAAAACACGCTAAACATTCTTAAATGCCATTTCGAAATAAAAAGATATTTCGATGAAGCAACACTTCAGATGACTTTGGCACACTCTCAAAATACCTTGAAAACTATCATTTTCCCTTTATAATTTATAATTAATCAATAGCTGTAAAATGACTGTAATATGAAGCCCAGTCATTCCGTGTGAGTTTGATTTAAAATTTAAAAAATGAAGCTTTAAATTCTTCTATACTTGTTTTGAATGCTTCCTTCCTTTGGAATTATTCTCAGCATATCAAATAGCACATCAAATAGAAAAAAAATCTAATTGATGCTAAAAATATTCCAAAAAAGCACCAAAATATTAAAAATAAATCTAGAGAAATTTAAAAATAATTTTTTTTTCTGTTGCACTTAATATCTGTACTTGGCTCTTTCTTCGTCTTCATACTTGAATTTGTATTTATATCATAACATAATTTTTATATATGCCAGAGCCTTTTGATTCATTAATTATAATAATATAATTTATACAAACCCAGTCAACAAGAACTTCTGCGAACAACAGCATCACACAATCTGGCAGTAACACGGCGAAACGATCGCTGTGCCACGCGTATTCCTTCATTGTTTGTAGAGTCACTGCAAGGAGCAGCATAGTTAGGTGAAATCTTTCCTGACATCGGCGCAAGATAATTGGAATAAGTTGTTCTTGTCAAACTTCTTGAACACAGAACCCTTCAGTTCTACAAACTGAAAATATTTTGCATATTTTTAGATTTTTTATACTTTGTATTATATTTTATTTTATTTATTATTTACTATTTTATTTATTCATTCAAACTTGCTATACTTTATTCTTGGATACTAGGAAAAATTGTTTCACACTTTATGTGGCATACTTACATTGTTGGACATCATAATTGTCAGAAGAGCTTTGTTGCTGCTGTTGATCGCTACATTTAATGTTGTTGCTTGGAATAATACCAATATGCTGTGAAATACTTTATGAGAATGCAGTCAAGGTATATATATACATCTTGTTCTACGACTTAAAAATAATTATCGCAGATCAAATTGATTATGAATATATATAATTATATTAATAATCAATTTTCGATTTGCAATCATTATATATATTATATATATTATATATATTATACATATTATATATATATAATTATATAACACATTATTACATCAATTATATATTTAAATTATACATATAATTGTATCTAAAGGATACACACATAAATGAAAGCGAACAAAAGATGCGGCAATGTACCCAAATGTTGCGTACGAGTGGACCGAGAACGCGGTTCGGTGGCTGTCCAAAGAAGAGCGTCTATAGCGTCTTGGCCAAACGCGCTGAAAAGACGATCTCCTACTTCCAGCATGTTATAAAATATGTATAACTTTATAACCGATTGACTCTTAACCAAATGATACATCATGGAGGTGTCCACTTTCCAGGTGGCTGCCCAACAACCTACCACTACGATCCCTTTCAATAAATCGCACACCTCGGCTGGGCTTAAATACATCTTTGTGTTTGTCGCACCATCTCTTTCCCTGCCTCTGTGAAATAAGATTAAGTGAAAATTTTTTAATAAATATATATTAATTAATAGAACAAATATATATTAATAGATTCTTCTAGATACCTTAAACAATGTTGTAAGGGTCTCGTAATCACTGCCCATAGAGCCATTACAATTCTTAACGGTAAAAATGTATATACAAAGAGGAAGGAATCCGCACACTTTGGCAACCAAAATAATAATAAAATATAAATTATTTTGAAGATATAAAATCATTTTAATCTTACAATGGTGTAATATCGTCATACCTGAAGAAAACCATACGCCATAAAGTTCTCCACCTCTCTAGGAATTTTTATAAACGAGTAAATCTTCTCCCTTCTGGCAGAGAACTTCTCCTCATCATGTTCCAACTGATAATCCCTTGTTAATTCTGTCTTTAAAAATTGCATCAACGACACTTCTGAAATATTAAAAATATTTAATCAAACTATACACAAAAATAAAGCTGTTTTATAGAAATTTTATATTAATAATAAAAATAGTTCTATATAATAAAATTCCTAGCATATTTCTAACATAATTAATTAATAATTCATTCAAAATTAATAATAAGTAATTTTTAATATAATAACTGGACAGATAGTGGAGTACAACATATCTTAAGTCAAATTATCTGTCAAATGTAAAACTCATGAAAATTTTCCTCTATATAAAAAAATTCCTAGCATATTCTTAATATATAATTAATAATTCACTAAAAATAAATAATAAATAAATAATATAATTGGACAGATAATGTAACGCAACATATCTTAAGTCAAAATTATCTTTCAAACGTGAAACTTATAAGAGCTATTCTCTGTATAAAAAAATTCCTAGTGTATTCCTAATATAATTAATAATTCAATAAAAATAAATAATAAAATAAATAACAATAATTGAACAGATAATGTAACACAACATATCTTAAATTAAAATCATCTGTCAATCATGAGAACTGTTATTTCACATTTTACAAATAAATCTTGCAAAATTGGATATGACGCATCTGCACAGATGACTAATCTACTTTTATATTCCAATTATGTATTCATAATTTATCATACTAGTTGTTTTTCTGTAGAAGCTAATTCTGACAATCATGCATACACATATATTTTATATATATATATATATACATATATGTATGTACTTTGTCTTTTCTTCGTATCTTGTCCGTCTGATAATTGCGACCTGTAGCGCGGCGGATCCACATTTTCCACCCGTTGTTTATTGTTGGATGACACATGATTTTTCGACTTGTCAGTGCGAAACCTGATGGTCCTCTTCTGGTCCGACCAGCCATCCTCCTCCCCGATGTCTCCGTCAGGGACAACGCTTTGCATCTTCAATAACAAATACCTCAAACAATAAGGAACACCATCGACGCGAGATGCATTCTCTTTCCGAACTTTCTACCCTCTCTCTGCGTCTTTTTACTCGGACATAACCACGCGTCGTCTCGCTTCTCCCGTAGAAGTGCGACTCTGTTGTGCCTGGTTCCGGGCACAACTGTCATAACACAGCGCGAACAACAAAACGCGACGGTCGGCTCGGCGTAATAATGTCCTCCGTCCGGGATACGCTTTTTGTTACATGACACATGTGTCGAGATCGGCTCTGCGAAACTGCGTCAAGTTTTCCACACATTCAAGATTATATATTTTATGAATTAGATTGTATAAACAACAGTCGATAATAACAGAATTTTAATAATCGACTGTCGATAAGATATTTAAGATAATATGTCATAATGACAGACACTTCCTTAGTTACGAATCTGATTTGAATCAACAACAGTTTAGCATGCGAGTAGTTTCTGTGCATGTTTTTTTCAGAAAGTTTTATAAAATATTGTATAAAATTAATAAAACTTTAAATAAAATATTGTGCGATACAAAATTCCACGATGGATCCATCGATCGAAAGCAATAACGCTGTATCTCTCGATAATGAATTTAAAGCTGATGACAGCATGGAACGACCGGGAACTAAATTCAGAAAGAAATTGTGGATAGACAATACGAAGTCTTCGAATGTGCCAAACGTTCTGGATCCAGATGACTCCTTGATGAAGAAATTCCAGAATGCCCTGCGGGAACATCTTGTCCGTATTGACGATAAATTGAGCAGCGAGATATTAGATCTTGTAAGGATTTTACTCTCTTTTCCACATCAATTTCATGAAATATTATAATAGAAAAAATTTTATCAAGTAAATAAAACGCGTAAGATATTATATATAATTATTATATATAATATATATTATATATAAATATATATATATATATATATATATATATATATATATATATAATTATATATATAATAGATATTATACATAATTAATCTATATAATATATAATATGTATAATTATAATGTATAATACATTATTGTAATTATTATATATAATTAAATATATAAATATATATTAACTTAAATATTAAAATATATAATTATTCATTGAAATAATTAGCTGCAAATATTTCGCAGGAGGCAAAAATAAAATATATAGAAAAGGAACACGAAACAGAGGGCTTGCAATTGTACAACGCCCAGCAAGAGATAGCACAGCAGCAAATGACAATAGAAAAATACCAAAGTATGATAGCAAATATAATTTTATTGCGCGAGGAGAAGGACGCCTGTGTAAGGGAAGCGAAAGACTTTCGTAAGGCGGCCCATGCAAAATTGCTGGACGAAAGGACGAAAGAGAAGAACCGCGGGCAGGAGCTGGAGCAACTTGCAATTTTGCAAACACAATTCACGGAATGGCAGAAGGAGCTCGAAAGCGATTTGGCCGTCTCTAGACAAGTGTCTAAAAAAGACAGGGCGATTCAACGGGACCTGATTGCACAGAAGCAGCAGAAGGATTTTATAATATTTCGTCTGATGGAGGAGATATGGAGGATCAAGAGCGAGATAGCCAATCTGGATGCACAGTTGCAGCTGAAGAATAAGGAGAGGATCGAGATCAATCAGATGATCGCCGACGTCAACGCCGACCTGGAAGCATTGCACAAGCAACATATGAATTTATGCAACGCCTGGAATTCCGTCGTGCTTAATATCACTAAGCGGAATAAGGTTTACGAGCAATTAAACGCGGAACGCGAGTACGTAAATATTTAAGGCTCCTGACTCCTCGCACAGTTGAAAAATTTGTGTTAAATTTAACAAATACCACATGTTCCAAACGGTCCATAATATGAATTTGTTAAATGGAGACACAAATATTGTGTAAACATTTTAACACGCGTTTAATATATTTTTTCAGGAAAATATGCGAGTCCTTCACCACAATGCATACAGAGATAGAGAAATTGAAGAAGGAGACTCAGAAGGAAGCTGAGAATAACGAGAATTTGACCTCGTTGCATTTACGAATAAAAGACAATATACAGATTAATTCAAAGCTGATGGAAGTGGAAAATGATAAACTTAATAATTTGCAATCTGAATTAGTGAAAATGGCAAAATTCAGCGAGCACGAACAACATGAATTTGACCTGATTAATAATGTATGTTAAATTTAGTTTTTGCATGTTATTACCAATAATCAAATTATTAATTAATTAATATATTTTAAGTAAAAAATATATTTTAATATCAAAATATGTATTAATATAAATATAATATAAATAATATAATATAAAATAATATATATTAAATATTTAAAAAAATATATATATACATTATAATTAATATATATATATATATATCCAGTTAATGAAAGTCTCACATTTTAGAAGTGGCAATATTTGTTACACGAAGAAGAAGAAATTGATAAAGAATTCGCCAAATTTTTGAACAAGCAAAACGAGTTGGAAAATACAATATATAGCAAGCTGGAGGAAAAAGTTGCACACGATAAAGCGGCTCGATATTTGAATAAATTATTAGTGGATTCTAAAGACAGAATACAAGAACAAGAATTGTCACTGGTGGAAACAGAAAATTCATATGGCAAAAAATTATTGGAATTAGAACAGCTCAATGCGTACATATCTCACGAAAAGACGGAATTAGAAGAACTTTTGCAAAGTAACGACATGAAAGGGAAAGAGATAGATGAGATTCAGAAAGAGATCAAGAAACACGATGTCACAATCGAGAGAAAACAAATAAAAATTGCCACCTTGACTAAAACCATTGAGGAGGTGATATTAAATATATTATTAAAAATAAAATTATATTTAATAAAATATATTTATTAAATATTTATTAAAATATATTTAGTAAATATTTAATAAAATTCTATTTAAAAAATGAAAATGTAGTAAAGACTCTCTTTACTTGTATCTTTTTTTTTACAGATATTAACACATACTGGTGGCGAAGAAATGAATCCGCTCGACATGAAAATAATGACTTTGGAAAAAAATATAGAAGAGATACAGCAGGATAATAAAAAGTCACAGCAATTCTGGATTCGACAAGAGGGACACATGATTACACTGAGCCAACAAAGGGACTTACAGTTGCAGGAACTCAATCTTCTTAACAAGGAAATTATGATTATGGATCAAAAGAATTTGAAACTGGAGCATACCCTGGAAATGCTCGATAAGGAAGATTCAAATATGCAGAGAATATTAAATCTATTGCAACAAAGATTGGTGCAGATGAATGCACAATTAGTTATACAAAAAGGACTGAAAGAGGAGCTGGAGGACAAAAATTCTATTATGAAAAACGAGGGTGTACAGTCTCTCGAGGATGCAGAATTAAATCTAATAAAGATGCAGAGTGATTTAAAGCAGTTATACGAGGAAAAAGCATTTTTGAAAGATAATCTAGAAACTGTGCAACAAGAGAGTTTATCGTGGGAGAAAAAAGTAAAATTTTAAATATACATTTAATAATAATAATAAAATATATAATCATACGATAGAGCAGAAGAAAAATATTTGCCCCACACATCAATTTATAATATTTAATTATTTATTTCAAGCAAACAAACTTAATCATCATTTAATCTATTTTTATTAATATTAATATTACTTATAATTATATTTAGATTAATTATATATTTATTATTATTATTATTATTAATTTAATTTATTCTATAATTTTCAGGTGCAATTAATGCAAGAAACGACGAAGAAGATGAAGGATGAACGTACAAACGGTGGTGATATTGCTGTAATGAAAAGCGAAATTCACAAAATGGAAATGCGTCTGTCACACTTGCGCAGGATACAGGAAAAATTGATCCATGATATGGAGTTTTGTGTCGCGCGAAGAGATATTATATTGGACAAAGTTATGAGCAAGTTCAAGAAAGATCCAAAGGGACAACACAATCAGAAAGTTATATTCTGCAAACGCCTCGCTGATCAGAAATTGAAGATAAAACAAATCGCGAAGGTAGTCAAACTCGACTGACAAGTGAAATGAATCGTTCTCTCTTGATATTTATTTTTTTTTTATATTTCTTACAGGAGACAAAGAAAATTGAAAATAAAATATTCGAACGAGAATGTCAAATAAAAGATACGCTAGACAAGTGTAACGAATTGCAAGCAACATTAAAAATGGTAGGAGACGTTATCCCAAATGTGGATCAGAAGATAATGCAAATGGAAGCTCTTAAATATTACGTATGTTATTGTGAATTATTTTCTTTAAAACAAATTTGGAATTGCTATATTTGTGTTTAGAAAGACTTAACATTGTTATAATTAAGAAAAAATACCTTCTGTTATTTTTTCAGAATTTGCAAGCGTTAGTTTTCAAACAACGAAAAGCTAAAATGCTTCAAGATATTAAAAGCAGTAGATACAAGATGCTTTTTAAGAGCGAAACAGCAATAAATGAAGAATTCCAAAACGAACAGATTCTTCACGATTATTTGAAACACGTAATGGAACGAACGAGCCAAGACTTCCCTTTATTGAAAAATAATATTCAAAAAATATTTTTGACATTAGAAATATTATAAGATCCCAGTAAATGTAAACGAAGAAATAAAACGATGGAACATTATTCAATAACACAATAATTGTAACAACTTGTATAAATGCATAATGCATGTAATAAATTTGTATTGTAAAAAATATATTGTACTTATGCAGAATGTACACCTTTGATAAAAGCTTCCATGGATGAAATGGGAGTATCTGGTAAAATACCATGACCCAAATTAGCAATATATCGAGTTTTACCAAAATTTGACACCATTTTGTGTGCACGATCAATAATTTCATCCTAAGAATAATTATGAGTATTTTTAACATATTCTTGTAAATATCTTTGTAGTATCATTAAGTATCATTGATCAGTATTAGAGTAGATATTTTTATTAATCTTAAAGAAAATGTTCAACATACCTGGGAAGAATACATTGCGCAAGGATCCATATTACCTTGTAATGTTACGTCAGGCCCAAGCTGGTTTCTGGCTTCAACAGGATCTACTGTCCAATCAAGGCCTATAACTTCGTAACTTTTATCCTTAGCGAGGATTTTTAAAGAATTCATGGTCGCTCCTTTCGGGAAAGCAATCTATAAAAACGGATTCAACGTTTATTTTACATGCAAAGATTTATTTTCTATATTCTATACAAAAATAATTTGTCTAGAGAATAATTATAATACATACCATAGGCACTTCCGGAATATTTTCTTCCTTCAATTGTTTTCGTACACGTTCACTTATTTGTTTCAGATATTTAAAAGAATAAATTGTGAACAATGCATCATCCAAATAGTCACCATTGCTTTCAAATACTTGAAGTAACTTGAAAAAGATAATATATAATATCATTTATTTAATTTATACTTATATTGTATGTATTTAATTTATATTTTTATATATGCTACATATATGCAGAGTTGAGTAAGTTATTTTTTTAAACTAAGTTAAGTTAATAGCTTATAAAATTAATTTAGTCACATTAAAAGTTGCATGAACAAAAAACTAATTCAGTTAAAAATTGAGTTAAAATTAAATTAAGTTAAATTAAAAGTTAATTTTTTTAATATTATTTATATTAAATTAAAATAATTAAAAATTTTTTTGATTTATTTTATTTAATTTTTAAAATTTATGTAAAATAAAAATGTTTTTTTATATAGGAACGTATTTTTTTTTTTGTAATTAGAATTATGAAAAAAATAAAACTAATAGTTTACCTTTATTTATTTCATAATTCTTGTATAAATGACATATCATAGAATGATTATCTCTTATTAAAATTTAATTGTCTAATGCTTAAGATTCTCATTTTACAAAAGAATCCTTTACTATGTTTATCAAATTATACTTTTGAATATATATACCTGAGCACCAGCTTTCACTTGCATCACTAAATAATCCACAATAACATCTGTAATCATCTGCAACAATTTGTGAGAGTCCTCTGGATACTTGTACAACCAAGACCTTGCTTTAGCCATTGTGGAGCTACCTCCCCCTTGTATCATGTAACCCATCAAAGTCCACTAAAAATACAAATTAATATACAAATTGTACAATACAGCAGAAATTCACAAAATATACATCATCTATCAAGATGATCCTTTCAATAATAATAATATTGTATATTTTTCTAGAATACGAAAGTACTTGCAGGTGCTCCAGTAAAACCTATCAACGGCACTCTTCCATCTAACTTGTGCCGAGTCAATGTTATAGCCTTTCTGACATATTTTAGGGCCTCTTCTACATTTGGTCGAGCAAGTCTGACCAGATCAGTAGGATCCACCAAGGGTTGAGGCAAGACTGGACCCTAACACATAGACACTTTTTATTTTATGAAAATAATAAATAGAGATAAATACAATGTACGTTATTTATACTTGTTGCTTTCCAAACATAGCTTAGGTAGATTTTCACTTACTATCCCTGCTACCATCTCGACTTTCAAGCCCATCGCCTGAGGGATCACCAGAATGTCCGAGAATATTATACTGGCGTCCAGATCGAATCGTTCTATGGGCTGCAGAGTCACCTGGCAGGCCAGTTCCGGGGTTTGGCAGACGGCGAAGAAGTCGTTCTGGGCCCGGACTTCCTGAAACTCCGGAAGATACCTGCCGGCCTGTCTCATGACCCAAATCGGAACTCTGTCGACTGGTTCTCCGCGTGTCGCTCTTAAGACACGATCGTTTTTCAAGGTGGAAAATTGTGCTCAATCATTCTGACAATCCTCTCTATAGTTCCCAAATATATCCTTGTCACGCAATTCTTTTTATAAAAATTTTTGCATATATCACATCATAATATTAAAATATCGTAGAATTTATTTCACTGATCTATATAACTATATACTATATACTATATACAGAGAGAAACAAGCAGAGAGAAACAAGTGAGTGGCCACCGGGATCAGAGAGCTGCTTAATCTTGATTGGTCTATAAACGTATGCATAAGAAATTCGATTGGTTGAATTTCTTATGCATATGCTTATGCGCTTATGCAAGAGTGTGTGCTCCCTGCTTAAGAAACGCACCTATCTGTCATTCGCCCACGTGGTCATGAGACAGATTGCGCCGCCAATCGGGGAAAAATTACCGTCCTCCGATTGGTCGATTTGACGTATACGCAGTTTGGAGGAAAACAGCTGACTCAAAATAGACGAAAATATAGAATGCAGAATAAAGAAGGAACTTATATAGGAGGATAAAAGAGGAAGGTATTTCGCGTTCGCCAGTGTGAATTTTGAGATATTCGAGACCGATCAGCTGTAATCTAATAGAAACGAAAACGTTTCTCTGGTGTTTTTATTCTCCGCAAAGAATTTACTTTATGTAAATGTCAAAAAAGAAGAGAGCGGTGTTTCAGGATTTCGCAATCGAGGCTATTTATCTCCTTGGTATGTGTGTCATTTGAAAAATTGAACAGAATCTACTTAATCGCACGAGAGCTGTCAGATGCAAGCGTTATTATTTTTGGCATGTGTTCAATAAAATATATTTTGCGCCGTGACTCAATGTGTATGAATTTTTGTACTTTGTTGCATTAATTCGCGTTGGTATTTCGATCAAAGACTTTGCTTCGGATCACAATTCTCTCTCTACGAAGTACAAATGATGGATGATGTAAACATCAATGAAATATGCCTTCATTTAGAGGAGGTAGAAGTGGAGACTGGAGATGAAAACGAGTGGATTAAATTAAATTGGATTAATAAACAGAGTGATGACAATGAAACTTTGCAATCCTCGAACCTACAGAAGGTGAGAATTCTAATTTTGTGCAATAATGTTGATGTATATTAACTTTCAGTGTTATATATGTGAACAAGTAAATAAAATCAGATTATGCGAATGAATAAAACATGCTAGATTTTTAATATTAGGAGGACTCAAATTCTGAGAGTTCGCAGACAAAGGATAATAAAGTCTCGTCTGTAAGTACAGAAGCAGAAGATATATCCGATGGTATATCTGTCATAACGGAGAGCGACACAGACACTGTTCCAAATAATCTTCAACTTCGTCAATTTAATGGTAACACATGTGGGCCTCTGTGGATGCTGGAAACACGAGTAAATAACCAGGTAACACTAAATAATTATATTTATGTATATATATATGTGTATGTATAGCATATAGTATCCAACTTTTATTTTATTATTGATCTAAGATTATATTTCTTTGTTAATATTTTTCTATATAATAGAATTTTGTGTACAACAATTTTTCTATGTTTATATAGGGAAATATAAGAAATGTCGTCTTGGCTTGTATAATTGGTATCGTTATTGGTTTCATTCTTAGCCATTCTTTTATAACTCCTGAAGCCAATCCAAATTCAAATGGGATTAATACTGAAAGTCTTAAGACTGTAAGTCACAATATTGTTAATACTTGCAAAGCACTGACTGAAGGTAAAATAAAAAATTTTATTTTAAGATTTTAAAGTAAGTTTTTTATTTATTACTTACATTTGAATCAAATTTCTCATTTCCAGTGAAAACTATGCTAAATGAAATAAAAGCACGTACGGCAGTTGATAAGAAAATTATAGAACATTTTATAGAGCAGCTTTCTAACATAGATTCTACAAATAAAATGGGTGGTAAGCCTACTGTTACATCGGAATCTTTCAATTTTGATCAATATTCATTGGATCAAGTGTCTCAACTCCAAATGTCTCTACATGTATTATCGTCATTTGCATTTATTTATGGTAACAACAGTTCTTTAAAGAATGAAATAAGTAAGACGCTGGATATTGTGAACAGTACAAAATTATTTTATGAAAACTTAATATTATTTAATAACAATACACAAAACGAGTACAATTCTCTTGCCTTAAAGTGAGTATAAAAAAATGCAGTTTTTTATTTTTAAATAATAAATTGTTATTGTATATATTTTAATTATGTTTTATTTCAGGATTTTGCAACATGACAGTGACAAAATACATATTACTTCTAAGTCACTTCTCTCTAACTTGATCGAGAAAATGAGTAAGATAACATTAAACGTGTACAATAAATATACTAAACAGAGATATAAAGTGATTAAGAAATTATGTGATTTAAAAAATATATTGCCTGATGATGAATTCTTGAAACGATTAACCGAAAATAATGAGCTTTTCAAAAATTATGACAAATCTTGTGTTTCAAATTATTCCTCAAAAAAATTTAATACAAAAACGAGTGAAAAAAGAAACACAAAGATAAAAAATGTAAAGGAGTGGAGCAAGAAAGCTGATAATACAGCATTTCATGAAAATTATGATAAAAAAAATGGCCACAAGAAAAGAAATGATGACAATGAAAAGAATTATTTGAAAAAAAAAAGCACTAAGAAATTGAATGAACATAATTATACTATTCCAAAGTAAGTAATAATCTTACCCTTTTTTTTATTCCTTTTTATTATAAATTATTATTGTTTATTTAAATTATTGTTTTCTATACCAGGTTTTTCCACAATGGCAGTGATAAAATATATAATACTTCTCAGCTACTTTTCTCAGACTCGATAGGAAAAATGAACACGGAAACGTTAAATAAACGTACATGTACTAAATGTAATAAAGCAACACAAACAGATAAAATGTCAAAGGATAATTTTGATAATGTTTTACACTTGTGGAAAGATTCGTCTTCACTTTCAACCAATTATTGTTCAAGATCTAATATAGAAGATGTACCCATCACATTAAACGTAAGTTATAGATCTATGTAAAATTGATTTTTTATAGATTTAAAGTAAAAAAGAGGGGAAAGGAAAGGAAAAGAGAATGCAAATTTCGATATATAAAATTGTAACATATATATATATATATATATATATATATATAATATATATATAAATAAATATATAAAATTAAAAAAAAAATATATATATATATATATATATATATATATATATATAGATGTAGAGATATATACAGAGAGATTTAAAGGTATTAATACACAGCATGCAGTTTTATACAAATTACCTAAATATAAATTGTGAATTTTTTTCAGTGTAAAACAGAGAATTGTATTGTTAATTCTAACAATAAACATAATGCAAATAAAGAATCTGTATCGGATTATAAAAGTTCTGCGAAAGTTATGTTTGAAAAGAGTAAACCAAAGCAAAAAGATTATTCCAAATCAAGTGACTCTACTAAAAAAGTCTTCAATAATGATAATAAAAATATTAAAGAAAAGAAGAAGATGCCGTCTCAGAATAAAATGAAGAATCATGTGTCAGAGAACAATAATTATCATAAATCTATACAGTCTTCATTTAACAGCCGCATAACAAAGCAAGATGACCAGGATTATATAAATTCGGATTGGCAGAGTGATAATGAAAGGTATTAATTTGAGAAATAAGATTTAAGAAACAATTGGCTATATAAATATAAATTTCAATATAAATATAAATTTTAATTTTCTGAAAATACATTTATATTACGCTTAAAGTATAGCTTCTTTAGTGCACTTATATATATATATACACACACAAAATATCTTTAATAAATAACATTCTTCATTTTCACAGATTTGATGTGCATAAGAAGCAACGATATGATGACACTTCGGATTGGTATTTTCAACGAGCATTTTCTCGTAGAAATGCGCGAAAACATGCGGAAGATTTATATCAACGCAATACCATGCTTTGGAAAAAACGTCGATACAATACGTACTACTGAGGTACAGAGATAAAAAGATTTAGAAATGTATGGGATATTTTTCCATGCAGGTTTTCATATAATGTTCTTTGTTTTATATGATATAGCAGTTTGATACGTTAAATATTTTTAGTTATACGCAGAATATCCAAATAGTATATTATATATTTGCAAATATTGACTTGTTATTTTTGTTTTGTAAAGATATCTATGTGTAATCTGATGAAAAGAGAAATTTAGATCAAAGAATTTTAGCATTTTAAAAAAGCAAAAAAACTACCATGTGTCATGCTTCACCAAAAAGATAAAATTTATAGAAATACCTACGATACAATAAGATGCACTTGATGTACATGTGATAAGACGGTTATATAATCAATATTTATTTCGTATCACAGTATTAACATTTTTACTGTAATGTGTGATATGACATTTTGCATCTAAATAGTTATAATTTTATATCTCGTTAATTTCTCATTTAGCAGTAAGACATTAGAAAATATAACATAGATAACAAATAAAACTTGATAGATTTAATTTTGCGATGTGACAGAAGTTGTGTGCATCAAGTAATTTTAATCATGACAATGATGCTGTGATTTATACCAAGTGGTCGTCGATAAGAAAATATACGAAAAATATTGAATGATTTTATTAGTTATATATATTAATTATTTATATATATATGCTATTTTTTATTATATATGTTAGTTGATTATATATATCATTAATTAATTTGAGTGCGTATAATTTCATATACGGTGTTCTCTTAAAGCGATCTTTCTTTAGCTTATTTTAAGTTATTTTAAGCAAAGCCGCGCTTAGTCGACTGTCCGTGTGTAAAAAAAAACACTTTCAGCGAATGTAAGATATGTATAGATAAATAAAAAAATAATTAGAATATACAATTTTCATAATAAATATTTATTTAATTATAATTACTGTAATAGTTTGTACAAAAATAAAAATTAAAACACAACTGGTCTTTTTTTAAGAATATATGTGTATATTCAAAATATAAAATATAACAAGAAATAAAATTATTATTTATATAATATTATTTGTGTGTAGCAAAAGTAAAAATAAAAAAAAATTCGGGAATTAAAATTATATATATAATAGAAATTCGATTAATTAAATTATGTACATAATAATATTATGATGAGATTGACAGTTCGTTTGTAATTCGAGATGTCATATCGAGATGAAAATAAGTAAGGAAAACTGTTATTTCCCATTTTTCATATAAAATCGAGATTCCCTGGGATTATTGATGCATGTATTGCAATTGTAGAGAATTGCATTTTATATTTTGACAAAATTAATGCAGAGAAATCCTAGAAGTACGAAAATATACAACTATGTCGATAAAATATATATACTGGTACTGCAACTAATAACAAATAAAACTTTGGAATTTATAAAATAAAAGAAAAGTAAGTATAAATGATAAATGTTTATTGAATAGTACAATTGCATAAGATTGCATTGCTCCTTGAAACTCTAATTATTTTCACACACTCGAAATTGCCACTGCGAATTTTGTCGATAAAAACGAATACTGACGTTACCATCAGCTGATTTTGACACTAGTGCGGAAAATAACCATGATATTATCATTCAGCGCAAATCTGCACATACATATACTTCTCTCTGCACATACACACACACGCATACATACATATATATATATATATGATGTATTATTTCAGAACTCGCGAAAATGAATAATGTGAATAAATTATTGGATAAATCTGAAAAACGATCTTCTCGAAAAGCGATCGTGAAATGTAGAATTTAATTGCGAAGGATCCCGCGATTCAGCGCATTTTTCCCGTTTTCGGGTGAACTCGCACAAAAAGGAGAGTGCAAAAACGCGCCGCTTTGTGCATGGTTATTTTTACGTCGGGATCGCTATATTTTTGCTCGTAACGTTCTCAAAATAGGATCAGGAACGGCGGCACGCGTTGTTGTATATTTTCCGCGAAGAGCGGAGAATGACATATGAGTTTTGAGGTTACTACGGATGAGAGATTCATACGATCATCAGCCGATTCGGGCGAAGATCTCTGGAGCTTCTGCTTGCGGGAATAATATAATTTATTTCTCCTCGACACGAGGACGATGGACACCGCGTGCGAGATAATAGACGATACGCAGCAGTCGCTGATCAAGCGGATTTATTATTCCGCCAGGGACGGGATGCCGATCGCTCTTTATACCCTGCTGAGCGATAAATCCGACGCAGACGTCAACCATCTGATTAACCAGGTAAAGCGTCCTGGAAATTAGGTATTTTTTTTTATTTTAATTAATTAATCACCGATAATTCTTTTTGAATATCTTTTTATCTTCTTTAACTAATTGCAAAGTGTGTCACAATATTTCTAACTTTATTTGTAATTATTGTAATTGGAGTAATTTTTTTTTAATGTAAGATAAAATATAAAATTCTTATAGCTTTTAATACGAAATAGATTGATTGATTATGGTTTTTCAATATAAAATAAAATATAAAACTTTAGTTGCAGCTTTTAATATGAAATGTTTGATCAAAGATGCTGTGCTTAAGCTAGTTAAATTTATATACTTAATTTCAATAATTAATATTCAAGTTTATAGAATACTGTTATAACATGTATATTGATGTATATAATTATATGTGTGACACTGATTCTTTTTGCACCAGTTGTGCACAATTAGAAAGAATTGAGGACAACTTGCAACATACACACACACAGATATACATATAGATATTATTCATATATTTGTTTACTAATTATTTATATATATATAAAATTCATATATTTATTATTATATATTATATATATATTTTTTTTATATTGTTCTTAATTTTGTAAATCTTTTTAAGCTACAAAGTGCTATATAAATTTCCAAATGTTATAATTTGACATATAAATATATATCTTATAAATATAAATTGTCTCTTATTGGATATAGTTATTTTTAATATCTACAATTGTCTAGAATGTGTGAAATATAGTCTGAAACATAATTTTGATTTATATTTACAGAAAGTTCTAGAAGATGATGGACAAAGATGTACTCCTTTGATAATTGCCGCACGTTATGGGCACAATAAGGTAGTGAGAATGTTACTTGACAAGTTTAAACCTGATTTAGAGCAGGAAGGTACAGTCAAATTTAATGGATACGTCATTGAGGGAGCCAGCGCACTTTGGGCTGCGGCAGGTAACAGCTAGAAAATAATGTATCTCGACAGAGAAATACTGTAATAACAAATTCTGTTGTATTACATAGTTAAAAATGTCAATTGTAGGTGCAGGACATTTAAGTGTTCTTAAAACTCTCGTGAAAGCAGGCGCAAACATTAATCATCCAACGAAAACCAATTCTACACCACTTCGAGCTGCATGTTTTAATGGACGCTTGGATATTGTTAAGTATTTGATCGACCATCATGCGGATATAAATATTCCCAATACATTCAACAACACTTGCCTCATGATAGCGTCATACAAAGGACATCTTGATATTGTGAGCACTTATTATTATAATTATAATATAAATTAATAAATAATTATACATCTAATATAATTAGAATTTATATAAATTTATTATAAATTGTAACTTATAAAACATTGTTTTATTGCTCTTAATATCTGTTTATTATGCAATCATGATTTACGTATATATAGATTTAGTTGATCTTTTGACGTCTGAAATTTTTCAGGTCAATTTTTTATTAGATAAAGGAGCGGATCCTAACAAGAAAGCATTTTGTGGTGCAACAGCGTTGCATTTTGCCGCCGAATGCGGACACAGTAGCATTGTTTGCGAATTATTGAAGTATGGAACGAAAATGACGAAGAATGTGAGTGGTATGACACCTTTAATAACGGCTGCCGAACGGACGCGCGCGGAAGTCGTCGAATATTTAGTACAAAGAGAGGAAGTGACGAAGGAGGAAATAATAGATGCTTACGAGCTACTCGGAGCGTCTTACGCTAATGATAAGGATAATTATTGCCTAACTAAAGCGTATAAGTACCTGTATAAAGCGATGGAGTTAAGGTGAGAAAAAACTATTTGTTTTCATTTTACTGTGAATTCTCTCTCTTATACTCTCTAATTACACATTATTTTTCACATGTGCTCTCCAGGTATAGTGATAATAATATTGTATATAAGCAACTAGGTCCAGTCGTAAAAGCATATGAGAATTGGAGGGAAAGCGAGACACTCGAGAGATTAGAAAGCATTAAAGATAATCCCAACGCCATACATATGGAATCGCTCGTTATTCGGGAAAGAATTTTGGGTATATATGCGTTTTTTGATTTAATTTTATTGAAGCACAACTATACTGTCCAATTTTAATCGACCACCTCCAAAAACTTTTTATTTTTGATTGTACAACAAAATGTTTTTAAACCAAAGTTGTTTGATTTGATGGAGGACAGAAGACGCTTTTCAAAGGTTTTTTTTAAATGAAATTATATTTTTTTTATATATAAATCGATTTCTTGAAGTTTTTGGGGCGAAGATAGTCTTTAAAATTGGATACCCTGTATAAAAATGTTTTGCTCTTTAGTGAGAAGTAATTTTTTTCTTTCTATTTGTTCACCAGGTCTTCATAATCCAGAACTGCCACATCCCATAGTATTTAGAGGCGCTATATTTGCGGACAATGCCAGATTTGACAGATGCATAGACTTATGGTTGCATGCTTTGAAACTGAGACAGCTCAACGATATATCCATTGTGACGGATCTTCTTCGATTCGCGCAAGTTTTCTCGCAAATGATACACGTAGGTGTCGATCTAGATTTCTCTCAAGTGATAAACGTATTGGAGGCGAGCATAACGGAATTGAATAGAAACAAGACCAAAATTCAAAGTCCAGATTCCAAGGATGACATTGATCAATGCCTTGTAAGTGTGCTAAAAAGGATTTTTATTTCCATAAGAGAAAACTATATTTTAATAATTCAATATACAATTTGTTCAACATTCCATTTTGTAAAAAAATATATTTATCTTTTCATTTATCATATGTGATTCTGTTGCTCTCGAAGAAAATGAAGATTTGTGAATCGCTATTATTTATTAAATTATTTATTATTTATTTTATATTATATTGAATTATTTATTATATATTATATTATTTTTAATGAATGTCAATGATTGTATATTGGATTATCATATGACATAAAACGGAAAAATATATTTCTACATTTAGAAATAATGTCTGCATAGGAAGAGATGGAATCGAATATCACAACGACTCTGTATATTTTAACGATTTTGACGAAACTCATGACGCTTAATGGAAATAGATGCGACGAGTCGGATTTGAGACAGGCGTATCACTTGGTGCACAAATTATGCGCGTTACAGGTGTCCCTGAAAGACGGGCAGACCTTATTGCATCTTGCTGTGAATGCCGAAACCCCTGTCGATGATTTTCATACAAATGATGTCTGCAAGTATGTAAAAAAAAATTAAAATAATATCACAATAGAGAAGATAGGATCGTATTTTAAAATTATCCATTCAATTTTTAAATTTTAATTTTAAATTTTAATAATTTTATATTTAAATTTTAATTTGTGAATGATGTCTGCAAGTACGTAAAAAAAAAATAAAAAAAAAAAATATTGATAGAGAGTAAGGTCTTATTTTAAGCAAAATTATCAGTTTAATTTTTTCATTCTTAATTTTTAAATTTGTGAATAAGTTTTATAAATTTATTTGACTTAATTTTATTTATTTTGATTTATAACTCTAACTTAATATTACTTACTATTTTCATAATACTTATTCATGTTTATATCGCATAAATAAACTCAATATCAAGTCATGCATTAAGGAACAAATAATAAATATAATTTAAAAAATCTATTTGATTTTCAGATTTCCGTGCGCAGCCACAGCAAAGTTACTAATTCGTTGCGGAGCTAATGTAAATGCAATGGATAATGAAAGAAACACGCCGCTCCATGTCATCGTTGGCTACAACAAAGCAATCAGGTATGCTACACTTAAAGTTACACGCAAATTTGTTCTTCGTATAGATTAGATAATATTTTAAAATCTTTTTCAGCGATTTTGCGACCTTACATTCAATTATAATAGATCTTATAGAAGCCGGAGCACATATGGATACTGTGAATAACGGAGGACTCACGCCATACGATGTAGTTACTACGGGTAGGTTTCATACAGATCTCTCGAATTATTTATCTCAATTTAAATTTATCACAGAAAAACAGTATCCTTGAAAGAATGCGAATATGCTTTGATTTAAGTATATTTTATCCTTATAATAGCGCCAAATATAAATAATCTTGCATAAAGGATATCCTAAAAAGTGCAAAATATTCTTGGTTGAAGCTGAAATTGACTTCAATTTAAAAATAAAGTTGCGTTCAAATGTGTTAAAGTTTAGTTCAAATGTGACTAAGTTTGTTTTTACCATATAACGATTTTAAAACAAGAATATATCTTAAGGATAAAATATACTTCACACAAATTTATTTATTATTAAGGCAAATGAAGATTTGTGATTACAAAGAACATTCTATTGAACATTCTATCTTAAATGAATCAAATAGTGTTCAAGAATAAAAATATACTTGAATCAAGGATTCCTTTTTTTCTGTGATCAGATTCTCTCTATTACGGTATTTTCCACGTGAACCTACGGTTGGCCGATACTCAATTTCTATTTCAGGTGTAGCTAAAATAATATTACGAACTCAGACCAAATTATCCTTAACGTGTATGGCTGCCAAGGCAATCAAGGCTTACAATCTGCCTTATTATGGTAACGTTCCTCGTTCGCTGGAAAGTTTCATTGAACTGCACGGACCCGGGCTGAATCAGAGCTGACGAACCGTCTTCGTCACGAAGAATCAAAGTCTTTTTGTGTATAAAGTATATACAATACTTTAAATTAATATTCTTATATAAAGTACAGTTGATTTTCTTCTATTCTATGATTTTCCCTCAATTTCTCTATTTCTGACCTAATAATAACGCAAAAATAAAGATATTTTTTATATTTCTCGTTTATTTTCCTTATTCGATAACAATGAGTATAGATTGTAAGAGAATTCTAGAGAAAAGTAACCGACCTATAATTAATACAAAGAAAATCTGAGGATAGAGAAAATCGCAAACTAGAGAAAATGGATTATAATGCTAAATATCAAAATTTTTCAAATTTTCAATTATATATCTTATATACTGTAATAGGAAATGTCAGATGTAAAATTGGGATTCTAAAGATCTTGTGAAAGATTCTTCCCCTCTCCTTATTTCTCTCATGTGGAATTTATATATACATATATATTTCAACTATAATTATATATATATTTATAAAAATTATGTGTAATATATTATTAATAAGTTGAACAAGAATGATCACGATTTATATGAAAACTGTCCTTTTACAATACACCGATACTAATAAGTTTGGAATTATCTTTTTATATAAATATATTAGATTTTAAACTCGGTAAATAGTTAATAATCATAATAAAATATTTGAATAAGTAGCAGGCATTTTAAAATTTCATTCTATCTCATTTTCACTAATTTTAAATTATATATATAATAATTGTATATAAATTATAATATATAATTATTGGTAAATCTATAAAATCAAACAACCTTTAAAATTATCAATTCTTATATATGCGAATTTTATAGATTAAATTCAATTTACATATATGCGTATATTATAGCTTATTTAAAAAAATGCACAAGACAATCTGAAATAGGTATAAAATGTACATTCGCATGTGTGGTTGCCGTATTATAAATTTATTTAATATTTACACGCATTCTATGTATACAACTGTGGAGAACACTAGGAAAATATATTGATAAAATATTAAAATATAAGAATATACATATACGAAAAATACTCTTTACAGCATATTATTTACAACAATGTTTACAGACCTCTCGTTATTTATTTTATCCTATCTTACACATTTTACATAACGGGCGCTCGCCTTATCGATATAACACTTCTGTACAAATATACACGTGTGTGTTTTCAAAAATATCTTTTGGCAAAAGAGAGAAGAAGAAAAAAAAATAAATAGAATAAAATCCTTAAGCTACAATTATAATTTATATTCGTGGCGGTAATTTTTTTTAATATTAATATACGGCAATTTTTACGAAAACGCAGACGTTTTGTTTAATCCAATCAAATTACAGGAAAGATATAAATGCGTATTCGTATATATATGTACATGCGATGAACGCTATAAAAAAACTACACATGCTACAATATTATATTTTTTCCGACACGTAAAATTTTTCTAAATTTGTTTACTGAAGTGTTACACAATGTCTTTTACAATATTACAGTTACAGTTATTAGCAATATACAATTTTTGCCGATAAATCGTGAAGTCGCTCTTATATTATGCATCCTATCGTTTACTTTCGCAAAGTTTAAAATAGTTGAAATATCTAAGAAAAAAGATTAAGTATAAATATAGTCAATTTGTAATAAAGTATGTATAAAAACAAAATTAAAATATAAGCGCTCGTACGTGTTTTTTTTTTTTTTTCATTCAATGATTTCGTCTTGTTAATGATACATTAGAATTAATTAATCTCTTCGTCGCCACTTTATAATTCATACAATTATTAAAAGTCATAGTAGTGAAATATTGTAAAAAATGTAGATTTTTCGTGTATTTAAAATAAATTCCAAATAAATTTATTTCAAATACTTGAAGATAGGGAAATGCTTCCATGCAAAGTTCGTAATTTTTTTCAATCTAGCAACTCTCTAATAATAGAAAATAGGTACAACGAGATTCCGCGAATTCTATTTCCGATTCTGATCATAATTGAATAATCGCATGATTCGAGTACTGAACGAAATTTCTTTCATATAAAACTGTGTATCTGCTGACACTATATGTCGGATAAAAAATCGAGTGCGATGAAAAAAGTCAAATTAATAAAAAAAAGTTTCATGAAACAGCTTGAGAATCTCTGATAAAGAATAAGCAAGAGATCGGACGGATGGTCAATTTGCAAAATTGTATCCCTCGATTATCATCTTTTAGAAGAATCAGTCCTCTCCTGTCATTTTCTCAATTGGGTCTGGCTGCTTATGATCGGGTGTAACCGCTCTTATTATCGCGTTCTCGATCATTATCATTATATTATTATTATTATTATCAAGAAATCCTCTCGTTCCGTCGCAATTGTCGCTTGATTTTGCGCAATTTTACAACTGAATAATGTCAACTGCTTCCTTTTCCTCGATCAACTCGCATTATTCGATCGCAGTTAAACTACACTGATAAAAAATTTGTTAACTTATTGACCTATAAACCTTTCAACTAAATTACTATTTTGTTAAATCAACTATGTTAAATCAAATATATTAGTATTCAATTGTAAGTCAAATATACGTTTTGTTGAATTTAATATGTTATATTTAATTTTAATATTTTAATAATTTTAATAATTTTAATATTCTTAGGTTTAAATAACAAAATAATATTTAGTTCAAAGGTTTAATCAAGTTAATACATTTCTTTTCAGTGTAGTCATCGCATTTCAAATTGATTCCGCTAATAAAATTAAAAGTTTCATCGATCGCTTATCGGATTCGAGAATGATAACAAGATCTCTATCGAAATTCACTGACTGAATTACCTCAATCATACAGTAAAAGACAGTTTTTTAAAACCGTAAATCTATTTATCTATCCCAAGTAACAAAATGACGTCAGTTTGCTGTCTAATGACGTCAAAGTGACATATGCTTGCTAAACTGAAATCTTATTACGGGTTCCAGGTGAAACATAAAACTCACAATAACGTCAACATGATTTTATTCATCACTTAAAAGTTACCTAGACAAAAATGATTAAAAAATGAATTAAAGATGACAAGACGAATCATAGATTTAAAGCCCTCTTATATAAGATAATCGCTTTTATGTAATTTTCAAGAAATTATTATGTTGAATTGTTAGAATATGTTTGAACAATAAAATAAATGAATAATTGTACATGTAAAAACTGTTCTCCAGAAGCACTTTAAATAATAAGTGACGTCACCATGATGTCAATCTGAGTTTTATGTTCTACCTGGGAGTTCACATGGGATAAATCTGTCAAAGAATGTCATTCCATCACGCCTTACTCTTATCCCCTCTCTTTTTCTCTAATATATATTAATTTACAGCGTCTATGCTCGCATGTATATATATCAATCCTTATCCGATGCGTTCGCCAAGTAGCCGGGGGCGAGCGCGATTTATGTATACGAAACACGAGTGGTCCGGGACCTAAGGAAATAAATATCTCTCTATATATTCCTTCAGGAGGTTCTATACGAGCCTCCTCCTCATCCTTCCTCGCCGCGAACCCAGATATATAAGAGCCATCAGCGGCAGCCGCATCCGAGGACCGCCATGTCCTGGTAATTCTTGAGCACCACCTTGTTCTCCTCGTCGAGATAGAGCATCGATATCGAGCTGAGGGAGGTGGGCACGCAGCAGGCTTTGGGCACCATGCTCGGCTTGGTCGAGTAAACGAGGGTCTGGACGATCGCGTGATTCGTCGAGTTGAGATGATCGGCGAGAGGAAACGGGCAATCACCGTGGCAGTAGAAGGCGTCGTATCCGGGCGGCGCGACGATCCAGTCGTTCCACCCGACGTCCGCGAAGTCGACGTAGAGCGGATGTCGCCGGCAATTCTCCCGACCGTCCTTCCGCCGGTTCTTCCGCAAAGCGGCGCGTCTCGCTCGCCGCTCCATTATCTTCTCCGCGTTCGCCATCTCGTACCGGCCGTCGTCCGTGTAAGTGAAGAGCATCGGCTGCTCGACGGCCCACGCCTCCTTGTGCATGTCCGCGGCCCGCTTCAGCCGCACGTGCTCGTGCGCGCGCGCCCGCGCCGGGACGCTCACCCGCACCAGGAGACCGTGATTTTCGCCCTCGTTCCGCAGCCACCTATCCACGGCCGGCTGGACGTCCAGGCTGACGGTCCTGGTCTTCTCCTTAGTCCCAGTAGTCTCGATCGCCTTGCTGTCGATCAGCCGCAACAGCGGCTTGCTGCGACCCTTCACCCCAGGTTGCAGGATGTCGTACACCAGTATCCTGGGCTTCTCCGTCTCTCCGCTGGTTTTCGGGATCGTCACGCGCGACAGGGTCAATTCTGCCGCCTGCAGCGTCTCATTCGCGGTAATTCCGCTCAGGTTGAACGACAGCCGGAAGAGATTCGGGGATGTGAACTTGTGGTCCAGTTTGCTCTCTGGAAAAGGAGATATAAAAGGGATTAGTGGACATGGATATATATTCCAAGTTGAGAATTTGGGATGTATATATATACAGGGTGTCCCATTTTAATTGAGGCAGTCGAATATCTCATTTTACTTTAGGATTTGCGTTTAGAAATGTCACAAGTGTACGAATGAGTTCTCAAGTAGCAAACTGACGTCATTAGACATTTGCTACTTAGAAATTGACTAAACAATCATATATATAAATTAACATAGTCTAATATCTCTGAAATTATGGTCGTTTGTAAATATTTCATACAAAAGATAAAAGATATAATTTCAGAAGTATTCGACTGTATTAATTAAAATTGAATAATAATACATTATAATACATTATATAATAAATGTGTTACACTAAATTAATTAAATCAGTTAAATTAAATGTATATAAGTTTCACATAATATACCTATACGCTATAACTTTCTGTGACTTGAAAAATAGAATTTTAAAAGTAAATAAAACAAGAAACAAAAATTCTTTCGGTCCAAAAAAAACAACAAAACAAATCGATGATTCAAAACACGAAGCAGATCGTCGCAAAATAAGAATCACGTCTTTAAATATTTTAGAACTTTTAAAGGCGTCACTTCTCTTAGACATGTATTATATCATAGATCGCATAATCGAATTAAAAATAAATCACCGGTTTTACAAGAAGTTTCTGCATTTAAATTCAAAAGAAAATGATCTCTCTCTCTCTCTTTCCATGTGTGTTCATCAGTCTTACGACATTTATAAATTAATAAGGAGTGCCGCCAGGATCATTTTCACGTGACCTACGCGAATATATCTTAAGACACGCGTACATAATTTAATTCACACTTCTGCGAAAATAGCCAATGTTAAGTAAAATGTATGTATGTACGACGACGCAGTTTATCTTTCTCAGAAGACTCGAAAACAGAGGATTGCAGTCGTAGTTCGTGTAATACGTATGTAAATTTCATATACAAGAGCCTGAATGTTGATCTACGCGTACATATGAATATCTCTGTGTATCATCGGGCATTCTCTGTAGAGTCTAGCAATTTCTGCTGGGAAGCAAAGCAAATGGCAGGAAAATATATTAAAGAGAAATATTAAAGGAAAATATTAAACAGAAATATTAATTATAAAATATTAATTATAGATTTCTATATATATATATATATATATATGTGAATCTCTTTTTATACAAAATTCAGTCTGAACTAAACTATAATCAGTAGTTGACAGAAGGTCTTAGCGACATGTTAAAGTTCACAGCGCTTAACATATCATAATTTATATCTCTATATCTTAATGTGGCTTATTAGAATTGTTTTAATACTTGAAAAGGACCTAAATTTAAGGTCGAAACGTAGTGTACTTCATATCTAATAAAGAAGAATAATATTAATAAGAGCCAGTATGGTCGAACTAATCCTTAATTTCCTTATTATTTTTTGAATTCTCTCTGGCGAAGAATACAAATCTATTATTTAAACTATAATAATTTTTTACACATACACAAAAGAGTGAACAGATTCAATAAAGTCAATAACTGTTATTTTATATTAAAAATTTTTTTCAACAATTTATACTAATTAATATCCAGTATTAATTAATTTGTAATTTAAGTTTTCAGTCGTCGCCTTCATGATTCAAAAGTAAAAATTAAAAGTTTTAATTATGACAAATTTTAATCTTTCCATCTTTTTTCCTAGATATATATTAATTAAATTATACATATAATTATATATAAATTATATATAAATAATTAAAAAATTTTATTTAAAATCTAGCAAAAGAGAGGAATCGAATTAAACATCATCAACGTGATCATATATAAAAATCAATGGCTCGAAAGACTTTAAACTCGAGTTTATTGTAAATGTTTATTTCAAATGTCACCCCTTATTCGGACGTTTTCATTAAAACCAGTATTATTTTGATTAAGTCAGATTCCGATTGTGTCGCAAAATGAAGATAATATCTGTGTCCTTATTTATTACCGCACTGAAAAATAAAAATTATTAAATTTGAATAAGTATTAATTTCAATACTGCCAAATAAATCATTTATTTGAAACAAATAAATATTTATATCTATCTGTTTCGAAAAGGATTCTCTTATATCAAATAAATTATTTATTTGGCAATATTAAAATAAATATTATTACGAATTTAATAAATTTTTTTTCAGCGTGACAAAATAAAAGTGCTCTAATCGGTGTGTATATTTTATTTACTTATTATTATTTAATTCATTAGTAAGAAAAGATAAAAAATGTCAAAGTTAAATAACAGGAGGTGACACAACATCGGTTCTCCATTCTTCCCGGTATTCGGCCAATTTGAGACAACGCGTTTGAAGATAACATGCCTCTTTATCAAAAGAACCATCGTCAGGTTCCTCGCCTAGCCACTTTCCATTATGCTTCCTCCTTAATTGCTCCTGGCACTTTCTCCAGATGTTATGTCATCCCCCTGAGTGCTTCAGTCTTCGAATACAGCGAAGCTATTCTTCTCCTTCGGGAGACTCATTTCAGAGACCCTCAGAGGGTCGGAATGCCTCGGCTTCACATCCGGTAGATGTGAATCACATGAACGGAAGACCGACCTCCCGAAAGCAAGAAAGGTAACGATGGAACTGTCCCGAAAATCCCTCAACATTCCAACGCAGTATCATCATCGGGTCGAAGGTGTACCTAGGCGAGCGAGATAGAGCTGATTCTCCTTTCTTTTTTAGTTGAAAGATCTCAAAGCACGACGACCGCTGTGACCGAAGGGTCTTTTGTCGGTTCAACCGAAATCGTTCGGATGCCATTCTGCTCTTCTTCACACGACAGGCGAGTCCCGTGAACATACAACATTATTGTTTCGGGTTGTTGTGGCAGGGATTCTCTTTCAGAAATTTTCGTGTCATTTTTAATTTAATGAAATAATAATACCTATTTTTGTATACATATATGTATATGTATCAATGAATAAATTGTAGGAAATCATACATTTTTAAAATTTCCATACATACTTTAAAAGTATTAGTTTTAAAAATAAAATTTGAGAAATATATATAAATAAAGAAATTTATATATATATATCTATAAATTTTTATTTTTAAAATATTTGACAAAAAATTTATAGTATTACAAGTCTCGTTCATTCACTAATCTGTATTGAATCCGTAACTATTACGAAAAAATTCATTTGGATGATCTTTTGCTAAGAGGCCTGCAACAGTCAAATATCTCGGAAACAAAGGCTTTTGGGAAAAATTCAAGTAACAAACTGACGTCATTAAACGTCAAAATGACATATGGTTGCTATTTGGGAAAATGTTTCAAATAAAAGGAATTATAGAGCTTTAAGTGTATTTAATATTTTAAGTGTATTTAGTATTTTATGTCAAACTATTCTATCTTTCAAACTTCATAACTCAAAATATAGTGTTTTGAAAAGCTCTGTATATGTAATCAAAAAGAAGGATTTCCATTAAAAAATGTCAAAGTAAATTTTACGTGGCCTTAACACAATGCTATTTATAATTATATTACTACTTAATGTGTTACTTAATCCCTACAATTTTTATTTAAAACATTTTTCTCAAAGAGTCTTTATTTTCGAGATATTTGAATGTTGCAGGACTTTTGAAACACTTTTGATATAATTAAACAAATTATTAAATAAATTCTAAACAATCTTTTAGAAGAAGACTTTTTAAATGTGAAACTCTTCAAATTGTTTTACTATGAATAATAGCATATAGAGATCTTTTTTCGAAGAAGAGAAATAACTTCCTGTACAAAGCAGTATAAAATAAATATTTTAATTACGCTAATTATGCCAGATATGTTTAAGATAAATTTGTAATTTATAGGATAAAATATTCCCCCTAAATTACGTATCGTTATATCAGCGAAATTCTCATCATAGATATTTTGTAATCTATCAAATATTTTGCTTTTCTTCTCGAAGCTTATAAAGTATTTCAAGATAAAATCCTTCTAATTCCAATCAACATCGTTATTATTCATATAAAAAAATATACCAAAAATCAGATAATCACGCGAGAATTATAAATATGACCACATTATACAAAGGAATGTACGTAAAAAAATGTAAAAAACTGATAAAATCGTATCGAAATTCGTCATCCACGTTTACCGACGACATAGAATGAATGACGATTGATAACGGGCGCAATTGCATTCCATTTACTACTGCACTTTCACTGAGAGTCGAAAGAGTCGCCAACCTGTTTTCGAGAATTACGAATCTTAACTTACTAGTTCTCACCATCGTTTAATGAATCACGATTCGCGAATGTACCGTATAATCTTTTTATTTACATATACTTATATGTATTATCGATTTTTATAGGATATATTAGAGCATAATTAATTCAAAAACAAGTGCAATATTTATATAAACATTAAGATTATCGTGATCATTCTGAGAAATTATATTCTATCAATACATACATAATATATATTTATAAATAAAAAATTTTTATTTTATATAATATTATTAAGTATGTAATTATTATAATATTATTCATTTGTATCTGAAGAAATTTGTTTAATATTAATATTGATCAAGACAATGTTGATAAATGTTGATGAAATTAAATTAACTTTGTTTTATTAATATTATTCTGTTGTTCTTCGAAAAATGTCAATGTTTGAAAAATTTAGATAACGTAACTAAGAAGTGACGTAACATTAAGAAATTAACTAAGAAAGTAAAAAGAAACGAATGAAAATCATTTGTCTTACTAAATTTCCTTGATCAAAGTGTAATCTTTTACACATATATGTTTATATAAAAATCTTAACTACATTTCAGAAATAATGCAAATTCAGGATATTTACACAAATTTAAAAAAAATTCAAATCTTCCAAATTTCAAAATTTCAAGTAAAATTAGACTTTTTAAATGCAATTTTTTAAAATAAATTTTTCTATATATTGTACTTTTTAAAATAAGTTATATATTTTGAAAATATGAAGTAAATTTAGAAAATTTTTAGAAATAATGGTTTATAAAAAAAAATAGATCTTTCTACATTATATCAAATATATTGATGCGTTTTTTTTAAATCGTCACTTAAAATAATTAATAAATTAAATAAATAATCAATATTTATATGGCAAGATTTTAAATATTATAAATATATTTACATTTTTTATATATTTTAAGCCCATCTGATTTACACAACTTGTGATAATCAATCAACGAACTATCGATTACTTGCAAAACAGAAGCGAGAAATGTTTAAAGAAGAAATATTTCAAAAAATTCCTCGAATGTCAATGAGAAATTTTCTTTGATTCTAACAATAAGTAAAAAAAAGATTTCCTTAATTTTTCTAGATTAAAAAGGAAAAGAATTTTTCTGAGAATTTTTTGCCAGGTTTTTTCAGAAAAAAACAACCCGGAGCTGTTTCTTTTCTTTTGTTATTTCCGTCCGACCTTGATTCTTACTGATTAACAGAAATATACAAAAAATCCGACACTCACCGACATGTGAAAACGAGCGAACGGTGTTGGCCGATCGCGCGTGAATCCCGGGTTTCGCGATGTTCGAGACGCCGATTTTGCTCTGACGGGCCTGGAGATTCCTGAGCGACTTCGGAATGTACACCGTGCCCTGCGGGTTGGGTCTCTTCTTGAAGCCCAAGAGGGAGAGCAAACTAGCCTCTACCCCGGCAATCACTTGCTTGTTGTTCATCGCTCTGAAGCCGTGACGCGATGACGACGACGACGACGACGACGACGACGATGGTGATGACGACGGTGATGATGGTGATGACGACAACAACACAGTCCTGTTCGTGTCAGATCCGCGTAGACCCGCCTCTGCATTAGCATTCGCACTTGCTAGCAGCGCGAATGCTGCCACGAGCACTAATCTTAGCAGCGGCGACATGCGCATCGTGACGTCGTCACTCACTTGACGCGTTACCTCCCTGAAAAATAAATAAAATAATTAGAAATTATGTAATCTATACATTTTTAGGTTCTTGAGTCTCGATATCTTTTTAAAAGATTATTCTCATTATTATCCTCATCACCACCATCATCATCATCACTGTCGACACATCTTTTTGCAAAAGATTATACAATTTATAATTATTTTGCAAAAAGATGTCGACAGTGATGATGATGATGATGATGATTAGGATAATGATGATGATGATGATGACGATCTTTTGCAAAAAAGTGTCGACCGTGAGAAAAAGAGAGAAGAATTTTTTTTAAATATTGAATAATATTATAAACTACACTATCACGTAAGGTTGAGGATGATTAATGAGTTATTAATTTAACTTATATAATTCTTTCTCCTTTCTCTTCTTTATAAATGATCATACTTTTATGATGAAACTAGCGATGCAAATGTCCTTTAGAATTAGGTGTATAATCACGGTACAACTTTTCAACGCCAAATGTTTTAAGTATCTGCAACCATCTGGACTATTAACGAAGAATTACGGAAAAGGTACTAAAGGAGATACCTTTTACCTAGCAGGGCGGTTGTAGAACTGAGAAGTAGTGGTATATTAACTAATACACAATCCCTGTGGTCAAAAGAATTTGTGGAAGGGATAGACAACCATTTTTGGAAGATAAATCATAATGAGGATAAAGTATATATATATATATATATCCTCATTATGATTTATCTTCCAAAAATGGCTGTCTATCCCTTCCACAAATTCTTTTGACCACAGGGATCGTGTATTAGTTAATATACCACTATTTCTCAGTTCTACAACCGCCCTGCTAGGTAAAAGGTATCTCCTTTAGTACCTTTTCCGTAATCCTTCGTTAATAGTCCAGATGGTTGCAGATACTTAAAACACTTGGCGTTGAAAAGTTGTACTGTGATTATACAGGATAAAGTATATATATATATATATATATATATATATACTTTATCCTCATTATGATTTATCTTCCAAAAATGGCTATGTCTATCCCTTTATATATATATATATATATATATATATATTTGAAAGTATATAGTCATGACGATAAGTCGATGTGTAATCGAAATGAATAGATAGTATCGACCGATAAATATGTAAAATAATATATATTAAATATATTTTCTAAGAAATGATATAAGATAATATTTAAATTTTCTTTATTTATTTATATTTTATTTTTTATAACATATTTTATAAATGTTATGAAATATAATATATATATTTTTTAAATTCTTTTTTTAAATTACTTAAATAACGTAAGATTATTGAACAGATTGAGATATTATTAGCGTTAGAAAATATAAACAGACTAAGATCTTCAACAATTTTTTGAAAGTATCCTCCATAAATAAAGCGCGATATGATATCAAATTGATAACAAATCTTATCGAGTTTCTTTTATATTTCTTTTTTCGAACAAGCGTAATGTAAAGTTTCTTCCCTTTTCTTTGAAGTTCACCCGCTAACGAGCGGAAATTTTAGTCAGCAAAGAAGAGCTGCATAATTTCTCTGACTCAGCAAAAGGTGAGATCTTCCCGGAGACTCAAGATTCGATTGATCCACGGTTCTTAGGCCCGCCAATGGAATGTTCAGGGATTTCGTCGAATCAGGCTCTGTTTCAAAGTAATCGCTTTCTCTTAGTCTCGATCATCGAGCGTTTTTTCTTTTATGATTTTATATACGGTGATTCGAAAATTCCGTATGACTATTCAGATGGGTAAACTTGACGAAAAGTTTTATATATTCAAAGTCCTATAACGCTTTGTCAAAATTATCGGACGATACATTCGAGATACCCTGTATGTCGATTAAATCAATATTTAATTGAAAGTGACGATTATTTGCTAAATTTAATAATTTATCTACTATATAATTTTCTTTCTTATTGGAGTAACAATGAAACTGCGGATAAAGATGCAAAAAAGACAACAAAACATGCATGTAAATAATATTTTACAATAAAAGTATAGCCGCAGGACAGTTAAAAAATCGTGTATAATATAATTTGACAAATTGGGATTTGATAAGTTAAGAGTCGATAATGATAGTAATACAGTATGTAAATGTATGTAAGAGTTTATTAGTATCTATCTAATAATTTTTTTATAGATTTTTCGCGCGATCAGAGATTGATAAATGACTCGCGGAAAAGATATAAATATTAATCTCGAATTAGTAATGAAAACGTGGAGATTTTCATTGAAAACACTGGAACTTTCCACTATTAGAAATCTCACGAGAGGCTATATAAATTCGGATTTGAGGACTGCGATGGATTTAAATGTCATAATTATTTTATATTATTATGATATATATTTTATATTTTATATCATATATTATATTACGATTATATTGCATATATATTATTACAATATATTTTATTTATATTTTATTTATTATTATAATTATAATACATATATTAATTGCAATATATTTCATATTATTTTATTGCATTATTTCTTCGATTATCATCGAATCGCTTGTTTATAACGTGAATTAAACGTACAGTTTGTCAACACAAAATTGTATATATCTCTTCTGAAATACGGTCGCGAGAAGCGGCGAGTCGCGTTTTGACATTTGGAGCGTCAAACGTCAAAGTTCGCGAAGCTCTTCCATAGATTGAGGAATATTATATATCGAGAGATCGATCGAACACAATGTGTGTTGTATCGTGACATAGTTGCTTGTTGCATATTTAACGGTAGAGATTTCCGGGCGCGGGCGGACGAAACTGGTTTTATCCGGCGATACTTTAAACGCGCATTTCTCAAAGGCGCTACAATATATTTATGCGCAGCATAATGGATGTGTATGCGTATTAAGCGGACATGTGTGTTTTCCTCGTCCTCGACTTTCGATTTCGTTCGATGCTAAAATGTTAGGATCTCTCGGCAGACTTCTCAAGTTTCTTCCTGTTACGTGTACGTGCTAAAACGAATAATCGAACTCTTAGTTAGAGAGATGCGTAAGAAATGCCAGATGTGTGAAGAGAAAACAAACATCTTTATATTTAGAATAACTTTAACCATTGAGCAAACAAATATTACAAATAAAATAAGCAATAATTTGAGTGGAATTATTTTTCTTATATTTGAGTTCCTTCATTTTTATTTATTACGTATGCATATATATAATTAAATGTATAATAGATATATTTTTTTATTTCTTTATTAGTATCATGATAAAATAAAGCATCCGTTTTAATAAAAATTCTGTTAAATTAATTAAATTAATTTCAAACACACGAGTGTTGTAAACTCGATATTTTGTCAGAAATAATTAATTACAGATCGGTCGTGTAATCCTTATGTAAAGAAAAGTCAAAATATATTCAGTATTTAGTTGGAAAAGAAGCGATCTAATAAAAAATATTCTAACGACGTAAAATTCAGCAACAAAAACACGCGATGCGTTGGAATAAATCGTGACACATAATGCATTCATTAAGGCGATTATTGGCAAAATACCACTTCTCGTAATTGACAGCGATATATTTTCCTCTTCTTGATTTTATATAAAACAGGCACACAAATGTTCGTGCTTGCTTCTTGGTATTCGTGCACAATATTCTCATTAATAGCGATATTACACGCTACATGATTAGATATAATCTAATTCTTTTCTGGGAAATCGTCGAATGTGACATATTTTTAGAAAGCATGAAATAAGGTCGTGCTATACACAAACGAGAGAAATATCCATCAAAGAGTTTTCTTCTTTTTTCTCATTTATATACACGTTTTTTTCACAAGTTTTGACAAGCTTAAAAAAAATATTAATTACCTATTTTTTTTTAATATTTTTTAAATCTCATGCTTTTTCTCAATTATTGAATTCTTTGAATAATCGAATTTGTAGATAAGATGTAATGCTACAATTATTCGTTCAATAATTAATAAATAAAATTATTAAAACAATTAAAAATTAATAAAATTTCTTACTATTTTACTTGTAATCTATATCTTGCGCTGTATAATACATAATATAATATATAAATATATTATATAATATATAAATACAATAAATATAATCATCAACATCGTCATGTTGTTAACGTGACGTTACTAATTAATATTCGAAGCACAGTTTTTCGATTTCAATTTAATAAAATTTTTATTAATATTATTTTATTTTAAATTTATTATTATTGCTATATAATTTTAAAATATTTTATTGTTAATGTATTTCTTCATCTTAATATGTTCATGTATATTCAATCCTCTATTCAATTCTAATATATTTATACCAATAATTTGATTAATAAATCTACATTTATATTTACGATAATAATTTTACAACATCACATATATTCAACCCTATCAATTGTATTTATGACAATAATGAATGAATGTATATTCAATCCTCTATCCAACTCTATATATTCAATTCTAATATATTTATACCAATAATTTGATTAATAAATCTACATTTATATTTACGATAATAATTTTACAACATCACATATATTCAACCTTATCAATTGTATTTATGACAATAATGAATGAATGTATATTCAATCCTCTATCCAACTCTATATATTCAATTCTAATATATTTATACCAATAATTTGATTAATAAATCTACATTTATATTTACAATAATAATTTTACAACATCACATATATTCAACCCCTATCAATTGTATTTATGACAATAATGAATGAATGTATATTCAATCCTCTATCCAACTCTATATATTCAATTCTAATATATTTATACCAATAATTTGATTAATAAATCTACATTTATATTTACAATAATAATTTTACAACATCACATATATTCAACCCCTATCAATTGTATTTATGACAATAATGAATGAATGTATATTCAATCCTCTATCCAACTCTATATATTCAATTCTAATATATTTATACCAATAATTTGATTAATAAATCTACATTTATATTTACAATAATAATTTTACAACATCACATATATTCAACCCCTATCAATTGTATTTATGACAATAATGAATGAATGTATATTCAATCCTCTATCCAACTCTATATATTCAATTCTAATATATTTATACCAATAATTTGATTAATAAATCTACATTTATATTTACAATAATAATTTTACAACATCACATATATTCAACCCCTATCAATTGTATTTATGACAATAATGAATGAATGTATATTCAATCCTCTATCCAACTCTATATATTCAATTCTAATATATTTATACCAATAATTTGATTAATAAATCTACATTTATATTTACAATAATAATTTTACAACATCACATATATTCAACCCCTATCAATTGTATTTATGACAATAATGAATGAATGTATATTCAATCCTCTATCCAACTCTATATATTCAATTCTAATATATTTATACCAATAATTTGATTAATAAATCTACATTTATATTTACAATAATAATTTTACAACATCACATATATTCAACCCCTATCAATTGTATTTATGACAATAATGAATGAATGTATATTCAATCCTCTATCCAACTCTATATATTCAATTCTAATATATTTATACCAATAATTTGATTAATAAATCTACATTTATATTTACAATAATAATTTTACAACATCACATATATTCAACCCCTATCAATTGTATTTATGACAATAATGAATGAATGTATATTCAATCCTCTATCCAACTCTATATATTCAATTTAATATATTTATACCAATAATTTGATTAATAAATCTACATTTATATTTACAATAATAATTTTACAACATCACATATATTCAACCCCTATCAATTGTATTTATGACAATAATGAATGAATGTATATTCAATCCTCTATCCAACTCTATATATTCAATTCTAATATATTTATACCAATAATTTGATTAATAAATCTACATTTATATTTACAATAATAATTTTACAACATCACATATATTCAACCCCTATCAATTGTATTTATGACAATAATGAATGAATGTATATTCAATCCTCTATCCAACTCTATATATTCAATTTAACATATTTATACCAATAATTTGATTAATAAATCTACATTTATATTTACAATAATAATTTTACAACAATATATATTCAACCCCTATCAATTGTATTTATGACAATAATGAATAAATGTATATTCAATCCTCTATCCAACTCTATGTATTCAATTCTAATATATTTATACCAATAATTTGATTAATAAATCTACATTTATATTTACAATAATAATTTTACAACATCACATATATCAATTGTATTTATGACAATAATGAATGAAGGGAAAAGTCAAGTAGGCGAGAAAGAAAGAAAACTTCAATAATAACCCCTGTCCTCCGCAATTATTCATTCAAAATTAAAATTAATAACTCCGGTTACGTGCGGACTCGCGATTTTAGCAGATGACAGTAAGATATAACAATATGGTGGATACAACCTGTTTTCAGGGGCTTTCCAGCATGAAAAGAGAAAGAGAAAGAGAGAGAGAGGACGGGGCACAGAAAGGTTGGTGTTGGTGGGACCCCAGAGCCAAGCTGTCTGCTGCGCGGCCGTCGCCGCCGCGCAGCCTCTCTCGTCTCATCTCATCTCATCTCGCTCGCTGGACCGACCGGAGCCGAACTCCCGGAGCGAGACTCGAGAGAGCGGCGCGCATTAAGTAATAATATCCTTTCTTCGAGCGCAGCCAGTGCGTCTTTCAAGGACAATGAATTTACGCATTCGCGCGCGGAAAAAGGCTCGTCACGCTTGTATTCCTCCCGCGGTGCATTATGGTATAACAAGAGGGGACGCGCCCCGTTTGGTTGGCAAAAGTATCCGCTCGCCGGATAAACACTCGAGAGAACGAGCCTTCCTTCGACCACACGATAGATTAGAATGAGACCCTGCCTCCATCCAAGAAAAGATGGAGAGGGACAGGTATGCGAGAAAAGGGGAAAATATCTCATTCCAGAGAGGAATCCGTTTTCGAGGGACCACCCGCGCGCGTCTTCGTTTGATGGCGGGTAATTGTTTCGACGATCTACCTGGAAACAACATCCGACGCTCTACCTGGAAACAACGCGCGAGCGGCCGGATTTGCATTCGCGTTCGCGAGATAAGTATGCGCGCGCTGCCAGCGCGACGCTGGAATGCGACGCGCTGGAGTATACAAGGATAAGGTCGGAGAGCAGCGCGCGCGCGCGCGTATAATATAGACGCGTCATCGTCTAAAATAATCGGGGGGCCGAGGAGGGGGAGGGAAGCGCGGTAGTCGCCGGCGACAATGAGCGGGTTGAGGAAGAAGTGGGTCGGATAGTAGAGAGAGAGAGAAAGAAAGGAAATAGAAGAAGGAATCTCGCGGTCGCGCGCGCGCATGCGCAGACGCAGATTGACAGATAAATGACAGATGGCAGATTAGCGATATATATACATATAAGTCGCGTTATATATACGTATATATACTCACCAAACTAATCGCGGATCCGTAGTTCGAACAGCCACGGCATCTCAACGGGGCTCCTCCCCCCAAACACAATTATTTAACTCCGTACCACGCGATCGTAATAATCGTTCACCACTTATATATCGGCCCCACTCATTTGCGCGCGCGCGCGCGCAAAAATCTGGACGACACCTCCGGAGTACCGCCGACGTATAAATTGACGATGAAGCGGAAGAACGAGCGCCGTCGACGACGGCGATGAGGATGATGATGCTGATGATGTTGATGATGATGATGATGATGATGATGATGATGATGATGATGATGATGATGATGATGATGATGATGATGATGATGATGATGATGATGATGATGATGATGTTGATGATGATGATGATGATGATGATGACAGATTCTCGAACGCTCGCTCAATGTCCAGGCTCGTTGTTCGATGACTGTTGTTGTTATTCCTCGTAATGACTCCGCTCTCCTCCAAGGCACTATATACGGCCTCGGCAGGAGGGCACCCCTTTCGATGATATCCTCTCTCGGGTTAATTCAAGCGGTCATAACCCGCCGAGAGTGCGCGCACTCTCCTCTCTTTCTCTCGTCGTTGCTCCGGGATAGACGGAGTGTATACGGTGGCCCTCTCCTTCGCGACCTATCAACAGGTCCTAGGCAACGCGCGCGCGGAATCTGACCTCGTCGCACGATGTGGATGTCCTGCAGGTCCTGGATGCTCCTGATTTATTTTTTTTTTTATTTATTATATGAGAAATACGCGGCACTCTTTCTGCGACCGTCGCGCTTCTCCCCACCCCGACAGATGAGGCACTCCCGTATTCTTGATTTTTCCCTTTTGACGACAACGAATACGTCGCGTGCACTCGCGATGGATCCTGAAGACTAGTCGCACTCGCGCACAATTGACAATATTTCCCGTGGACGTAACGCGGACGATATCGCGCGCTCTAATACGAGTATATATAAGTGACTCTCGCCGAGAACGGAGCGAGAGAGCGAGGGCTTAAAGCAAGGCCGCGCGTTGAACGTGTGCGGACCCCGTTCCAGCGCGCTGCTCCGTTCTACTGGCCCTTCCTTCTCCCGCCGACTCAGGGGGAGGGGGAGAACCTGCCTCCCCCCCACATGCCAGGACCGCAGCGCCCACGTTTGCATTCCGCGCGCATTCGCTTCTTTCGCGACCTTTTTGCGTTAAAAAGGATTCCCGATATATATATTGAGATATATATATATATATATATTTTTTTTTAATTCTCTCTATTTTGAAAAAGACTTCAAGAGGCTAAACAATTCCATTATTTTAATATTTTCTATAATTTACTTATTTATTTTTGGGAAATATTAATATAAGAGAATAATACAGAAAATTATATATTCTCTTATCTTAATATTTCTGATTCGAATTCTTAATATTTTTTATTTTAATAAGAAAGATAATATAAAGAATTATAAAAATCTTTTTCAAAATAGAGAGAAATAAATTTTGAAGAAATTATTAAAGTGTCCAAAAATATGTGTGTGTATTAAAAATATATTTTTTCACTTTTTGATTAAAAAATTATCCAATAAAGCTATGAAAACTTTATTGTACTGAATTAAAAAAATTAATTTTTGATGCAGCTTTTAACGATACAAAATGGCGTGGAGAACTTGAAAAAAATTTTTTTTTTTCAAAAGGGAAACGAATAAGGGTCCTGGCTTTCGAAGACGTTCACGCAGCATTTCCGTTCCTGCACGCTATACTTACTTGTCTCTTCGTCGTTCTCACAGGACACGTAGTTATCTCTCGCTCGCGCATTCTCGGACTTGCTCCACCAGCCAGTCTGCCGCTGCTGTGTCCCCCCTTTGTCCCCCTTTTGCTCCGTAATTCCGCTTTTCACTCACTCGCCTGCGAGTGGTCTCCAACCCTAATTCGTTGTTCGTCTTTGATGTTTCTACCTTAATTATCTCTTTGGAGCGGCAGCCTGCGTGGTTTTTTCGAGATTTAAGCAAAAATTTTAGGTTTTGGAAGCTATATATTTCTCACAGAATTAAAAATCAGCGATAAAAGTTACTCTCTGAAATGATAATCAAAAATTTATAGCACACTCAATTAATAGCGCACATTATAATTACCTCGTAATTATTATTGAAGATATGAGGACATTTGAGAGCTTCAAACACACACGAGTATCATCTCCTAATCGTCTACTAATCTCCGTCTCCTCATTCGCAGGGTCGAAACCGAAATGTGAATCACAGTCGGTAATAAAGATTCGGTTTTTATCGATAGAGGGTCATTTTTTGCTCATCGATGTTCTGAACTCATTTTTACCGATTAAGCAAAACGCGCGTTATTTAAATTATCTATATTTATTGCGATAAATCGATTTTTGATTTATTTATACGTATTATAATTATTGTACTATTATTTTTCTCGTTGCATAATGTTCACTCATTTCTTCAAACGTACAAAAATATATATACCATATATATCATATAAATATATATGTATATATATTCTGTAATTTAATATTATAATATACTATATTAATACATTATAATGTTATAATATTATTATTATTATATTATTATTATTATAATATATATAATTTATATAAAAATTCTATAAATCTCAATAGAAATTTTTATTTACCTGAAATAATAATAAATACTGCAAAAAAAGAAATATTTGTGTAAGTAAACCATTTTATTAGAATTATATGTACAACTGTTCATTTTTTTACGTTTGTCAAAAGATATATATATATATTACGCTGTTACTTCAGGGAAAAGATTTACCAAGATGTGATCCAGCAGAAAATACGCCAGTTGCTTATTGAACGGTGCGTTTTGTAAAGGATCCAACAGAGAATCCATCAAACTGTTCCAGGGCTTGGAGAGACCCAGCAACCACCATGGCAACAAGGAATATAGCCCTTCCTTGGCGGTCTCGTAATAATCTCGACATCTTGCTTGCGTGGAGAAGTCCTTCATGTAATTTCTACCTGTTATCTTCGCGTGTAAAAGCTTGACGACGATAGAAGCACGGCCGCCGCTCAGGAGCTTGATCAGCATATTGTAGAACAACGCGTTCACAAGAGGATCCATCCTTTTATGCAATAAGGAGGCGAACATCCACATGAGTCGCGAAATAATCGGAGGTATATTTAGCAGACCATCCACTGTAATAATAAATATCTCATCATTATTCAGTCTCTTACATACAGGTGTGCGAAAACTCATTTATTCAAACTTACCAGTTTCCACGACGCATAAGCTTGCCCCTTTTACATGCTCGCGTTGCAATACATCGTCAGCGCAGGCCTGATCTCGCAAGGCGACAGATAGATTCAGATTATTACCGAATGCTCCGTTCAGCAGATTTCTACCTTTGCTCTCTGTTTCATCGAGATTGTGCTCGCTCAAGGGTTCAACACCCATATCCATATGCTCGTACTTTGTATTCGTGGACGCGAGAAAGGTGCTCATAAATCTATCCAGGTGCTGTCCTCTTTCCTTTCGCAATTTGTAGGTCACGCTCTGATAGAGGATACCGATGTCGGGTGTGCTGTAGTTGGCGAAGCAGGGCTTCAGATTCGGGGTCGTCAGGAAGGTGTAGAGGAGCTCGCTGCTCCTCAGCATCGGCTTGGACAGCAGCTTCTGCAGAAACTCCTCGTAACGTTGACGATTCGCCGCCAGAGGCAGATTGGGATTCTTGCGGGACGACAACGGCGAGTCGTTCAGCTCCTTGTCGCCGTGGAACTCGGCGAGTCGCGCCCGCAGAGTGTAGAAGTCCTGATCCTGGCGCAGGACCGTCCACGACTTGGCCTCCGCCACGCTGTGGATGGCGATCATGTACACCGGTTGCGCGCCACCGCCGTCCACGTGGGGAACGGCGACCCGCCACGTCGTCAGGTCGCGGTGAGACTTGTCGCCGAAGCCCTTGATCTCGCCGTAGGCTCGCGCCGTGCAGTCCACCTCCTCGACCGGGTAGACGTGCTGCAGCGGAAACGGAGTACCGTCCATCGTCGACCGCGAAACGCCGTCCATCCTGCCCAGTTGGCTGCTGCTGGGTCGGGTGGAAACGGATGCACCTCCGCCGGCGCTAATCACAAATAAATAATAAATGTTAATTATATTCATGGTTTTAGAACATAATAATCTTTTTATTTGTCTATTCAGAAAAATATATTGTTAGAAAATTATTTTATTTTTTATTTTTTCATGTAAATGTAGTTAATATAATGTAATAATTATATAATTACATCAGTGGACTGTAAAAGATAATTAAATTATGAAGTAGATAATGTTAAAATTGAAAATTAATATTCCTGAGGAATTCCAACAAAATTAAAAATATATATGCCTACTACTTACTTGGTTGCAGTAGCTTTTGCTTGTTCTGATGCCAAATAACCACACAAATGTTTGTATAACTGAAACACAGAAACTGTTTTTTAAATATGAAATTTCATGAATGTTTTAAATATTAGTAAACAATAATAATAACAATAAATAATATTGAATAAATAATATTAAATAAATAATAATAATAATAATAATAGTAGTAATAGGTATAGTAATAATAAAATAAAATAAAAGAATAATAATATAAAAATATGTAAAGAGAGAAAACCACCGGACAATAATATGAGAAATAGATGAAAATAAATGTCGAAATATATATTACTTGATAACTATGATGGAACGGTGGCAGACAGATACTTTCTAAGAGCGCGTGTGCTTCTTGATGAGCTTGATAGAAGGGTCGTGATGTTCGTAGCTCTTGGATTTTTTCCGGTCCACCTTCCAATACTGGGGAAATAAACACACATATATGTATATATATACGTATATCTGTTTAATAATAATATTTAAAATGGAAATTATTCCATTAGCAAACGAATTCCATACTTTGTCGTATGCCATTCGATATATGTAATGGTAGATACAGATATTCCGGACCATCGGGATCGAGATATACTGCGTATAAATTTCGAACATCTGTGTATAAGCTCTTTTCAGCGCTGGTCGACATTTCCGGATTTAACATACGTTTACTGAGATCATCTAGAAAACAGCAGATGATATCGATTAGAAATGATTACGTTACATGTAAAAAAAGTAACATAATGCATCAAAAGTGTGTATATAAATATACCAATATCTAAACAAAATTGAAGAAGATTCATGGGTCCTGATTCCTTGATGTGTTGCATAAACATGTACAACAGTTCAGGATCGTTCAAGACTTCATTTAAAGATGGCTTGAAACAATTTTGCGCAACAATGTGTAAATGCATCCCTGTCACCCACGATTGTAACATTGGTACATTAATGGTTTTCTCTACATTAGATAGAGTGGTATCATGATGAGTGGACAAAGTCACTAGTGTGTTTATATTCTCTGGATCCGCAAGTGCATCAATTGCTGGTAGTAGCACCCAATTGGCCAAGATCTCCCGAAGTATCACCTACAAGTAAATATATTAACTGAAAGACGCTTACAAGAAATATTATAATTGTCTTCTCTCTTTTCTCTTTCTTTCTAAATATAAAAATTTCAAATAAATTTAATAATAAAATAATATAAAATAAATAAAAATAAAAATAAAAATAAAATAAAAATTACAATAAAATTCAAATAAAATAAAATTCAAATAAATTTAAATAAATTAATAATTCATATATGATACAAAAATAAATTTCAAAATATCATACTTTGTTATTTGTCGAGACATGTATAGCAGGTAACAAATGTGGCAGCAGTGCAGTGACCAATCCTCGTAAATAATTCAATTCAGCTTCTCTGGAATAAGCAGCTGGATGAATCTTCGAATTCAGATAACTTCCAATATAATCCTGAGGTGTTTTAACGTCCATTCTTGATTTTTTCAGAAGCGTATTCCAATCTTGAGCATGTTGTATGGCCAAGGGAATCAGATCGTTGAATGTGATGCCTGCTGTATCTGCACGTAACAATCTAATAGCAATATTCTTTGCTGCAGTCGTTATAGCTAGACGCAACTGTTGTATGAAAGCTTCATTTGTCGAAAAATCAGAGTACCATGAGCGGACATAGATCTGTAGCACCTCTTCTAAAAGCTATAAATATATTTTTTGTATTATCTATATGTAAAGAATATGAATGAAGTAAATTACATAATACAATGCTTTTCTGATTAATATTATAGCAATAGATTGTAATTACCTGTTCCAACGCATGGTCAAAATCCTTAGGTACTTTAATCTTTGTCGAATGTGGCAGTAACTTGTGTCTTTTACAAGTGTTATTACTACAAACGCTGCACGTATCCTTGAACTCATATTTTGCAATAAATTTGTCATTCGTAATATTAAATCTTGCTAATAAACTATCAATGCATTCTATCAATTTAACAGCATAGAAACTGCTAAGTGCATAAATGCCAGTTACAATAAACACCCATAAAAAGCTGCAAAAAGATCAGAGCAATTAGAAAATAATTTTATAATATGTATTATTTACAAAAGAAAACTAGTATTTTACAAAATGATTATAAAGTAACATACAAAATAAGAGAGTTATTTACCTGTCAAAGACAATTATAATAAATGCAATAAGGAAAATAATGATCGCAAATACTGCGACATTAAAAAAGTATAAATCTTGCATTTCTTTGGTGTTTCAATCACAAAATATATATATATATATATTTTCTGTTGATGTTGAAAATTATATTAACTGAAATACTTCGACTGATGATGTATTTTTTACATTCAACACAAAGCCATCTTCGAAGTGAAATATTTATGCTTTGTCGAAACACTTGTTTACTTGTGTGGCATCACGAAAATTATTGGAGATACACGTCGTCTTTTTTTTTATGTGCTACATTTGAGATGTGTTGACAGTTCGAGCGATGACATAACAGTACCACGTGTGAGGAGTGAATGACAGTTGCAATATTATAGAACAAATTCTATTTGTTGTATAATAACGATACGAAATTGCACGAAAAGAATCGATTTTATACTAATGATTCATAGAAATAAATCACAGTTTACAATTCTGACGTTTCTCTCTTCCCCCCCCTCCCTCCTCAAACAGTTGATCCAGAATAACCTTTACGCTCTCGCTGTTTGTCGTTAGATGTACCATATTTTATCTTTCATATTTTATGACATTTTTTAAGGAAAAAAAATATATTCAAAATGTCTGCGCCTCCGGATCCGAAATTTTTACTACGCGGAAATATGGATGAAAATGTGCACAGTTTGTTATTCTGGGTAGATTCTGACATAGAGCATCTCTATGCTGGTGATAGAAAAGGCATAGTTCATATTTGGGATTTAAAAGTAAAGAATTTATCTGTTCTATTTTTCTTGCAGTTTTAAAACAATTGAATTTAAATATAATTACAATTTATTCATGTATATACAGAAAAATATTTTTAACAAATTTAATATAATTATATTATTATATGTAAAATATTTAATGTAAATTTAATATATAAAGAATATAAATTTAATATATAAAGAAATTAAATATAAAGAATTGTTGACATTTGTCAAAAGTATTGATTAATTTTTTGTATTATATTGTAGACCAACAGGATAAAAGATCAATTGTCAAATGGAAACGGTTCTTGTTTTAACTTACACAGAACCAAAGAGGCTGATTTAATAGTACAACGAAGAGACGGTGTGTTAGATGTATATAAGGCAAACGAATCCAATTGGCTGTTAAATAAGAGAATTAATTATAAATATTACAGTTTCTGCAGGTATATATTAACAAGCTTTATAAAAGTTTGTACCGAGATATGTATTAACACTTTGTATTATAGATCTCAATTGTTGCCTGATAAGAATGCGATGTTAGTCCCACTTGATTCCTCAATGGTGGGAATATTATCCCTGAAGACGTTCAATATTGAATCGACATTAGATCCATCCAAATTATCTTACAATGACAAATTGGGTGCAGTAATGGCGATGAAACCATTAGAAATAAACAATTTAATTCTAGTTGTTTATGAGGGAGGGAAGTTATTGTTATGGGATACAAAGAAGAATGATGTTCTTAGTTCTCTTACTGTGGAGCAATATCCGATGACCCTTGACTTTGATGTCTCTTTGATGCAAGGCATTCTTGGTAGTGCATCAGAGAAATTGGAGGTATTACTAGTTTTATACTAACATTTATGTCTCTCTATATATGTAAAAGAGAGATTAATATCATATATAAGTGTTTGATAGATAATATTTAAATATTTTGTTCAGATTTTTAAAATATTGCCAAATCATATGTTATCTCACAAGTCTACAATACTATTGGAACATGTTTCCGGTGTGTCTGCTCTTTCTATAAGACCAGATAAGAAGCTTGTCACAGCTGGCTGTTGCGACGGATGTATCAGATTGTTCTCTTGGAAGAAATTGCGACCACTCGCGATATTGAGAGGACACAAAGGAAGTATATACGATATTGTTTATTCGCAACGTGAAATCGAGGCTTACGACACTAAATGTTTGATGGCAGTCACTGGCCAAGATGGCTGTATATCATTGTGGGACATATATAATTAAAAATTACAAATGTATATATTATTTATATATTTATTAAGTAAAGAAAATTTTTTTATACTGTATATATAATTATTTTAAGAATTAGCTCTTCTGATAAATGCAATCTTTGATGATACAAAGGAAAATATTGCATTTTTTAGGGATAATTATTACATTATTTTTTGAATACTAAAATATAATTATTTTTTTAATATTAATTTTTTTAAATACAATTTTTAAAATGATATTTATAAATTGTTAATAATATATATATATGTATATTAATAATTGATAATTTAAATTATTTTTTTTAATACTCAAATGTTTTAGTTATTATAATTTGTACACATATACATCTTTTGTAACATCATCATTGCCATCGGACTATATGATACGTTTTCTTGCCAACTCTAAGTAAGGATAGATTGTTACTTAGTATATGGATGCCAGGAACTATCACTTCATTTAAATTAGTGATTCTTTGATGATTTACATAAAATCCGCCTGCCGTTATGATCCGTTCCGCGTCATGATCAGTCTTGAAGCATCTTGCCTTCTTTGCTAACTCGTATATAGTTAGCCCCGGCTCAGATAAAACATCCACTATGGTTGCATGTTCAAAGACATCTGCCAATTCCGACGCATTCATCCTGACGAAAGATTCGATCGACTGATCATACAAGACTGCAGACGCGCGCTTCGCAGCCAACAATCCTTCCTCTGTAAGAACAAATTTTAGATGATGATAATAAATAATATTTTTAATTTATATATATATATATATATATAGTTATATATTATATATATAATATATATATATATGTATATTAAATAATGTATATATTTAATATAATAGTTTTGTCATAAAAAAAGAATCACCTCCGTGCACTAAAAGTGTAACTTGCTCCGCCAACAATTTCTGCGCTGTTCTATATTCCGGACTTTTCATATGAGCATCCATAATCTCGGTGATTTTACTCAACGATAAAAATGTGAACAATTTTAAAAACTTCTCGACGTCGGAGTCTTTAATCCTGATGAAGTATTGGTACAGCTGAAAGCTCGAAGACTTGGTGACGGACAACCAGACCGCATTCAAGAGAGACTTTCCAAACTTCTTACCACCCTCGGCGGTGATGAGCGGCAACGTTACGCCATAAACTTCCTCCCTTCCGGTCTTCGTGATCAGCTCGTATCCGGACATGATGTTACCCATCTGATCGCTCCCGCCGATTTGGAAGCGACACTTGTACCGCTTCATCAGCTGATACCAGTCGTACGCCTGGAACACCTGATAAGTGAACTCGGTGAAGCTCATCCCGGTATCGGAGTTCAGTCGCGACTGGACGGAAGATCTGCCCAGCATCGTGCCCATCCTGAAGTGCTTCCCAACATTTCTAACGAACTCGATAATGTTCACGTTCGCGTACCAATCCAAATTGTTCACCACGATCAGTGGTTTCAGATGCTGCTGGTTCTTCCAGAAATAGTTCTGATGATTGTTAAATATAGTCTCTATATTCTTCGTAATGGACTTCAGGTTCTCCTCGATCAAATACTTTTCCATCTCGACCCGTTCTGTCGTCCTGTGACTGGGATCGCCTATCAAACCTGTAGCTCCTCCTACGAGGGCTATGACTTGATGCCCGGCTCTTTGCCAATGCAAGAGATTCATCAGGATGAGTAGATTGCCGATGTGCAAACTGTCTGCTGTTGGATCAAAGCCAGCATAGACGCACTGCGGCGACTTATTTAATAAATTTAATATTTTATCCCTGAAAAAAGATATATAATGTATAAAACGTATATATATATATAATTATTTGATGTATAAATAATATATTTGTAAATATTTCTCAAGATATAACAATTATATCAAAATGATATAAAAAATGTATATTATAATTTTATTATAAATTAGTATTCCTTTAAATAATATGTATAAATAACTATAGGTATAAATATAATATTTAAAAATAAATAATGTATAAATGATATAAATAATTTAAATAAAATAATATAAATAATATATTTAAAAATCTTGAGATACAAAAATGCAATTATATTATAAAATTCATATTAAAATTTAACATTGTTTGATTGTTATTGTACTTTATATAATATTGTTTTTTTATGAAAAAATTTTAAAATACACTTACGTACTATTGGCAGGGAATATGTCTTCATACATTCCTCTTTCATGAAGCTTCAATATATTCTTACTACAGTAAAATCTACGTGTTTTGTCAAAAACAACGCGATTGATAGCGGAACATAACCTCAATAAAATACGAGAGTTCATTTTATGGTACATTTTCGATACGTTAACGCTACGATATAGATTAATTGTCTTCGTATTTATGAAATCAGATTTTGTTTTGCATTTATTCTGTGAAAATATGCGTGTCCAAGTTACGTAGCGCACTAATGTTTGTCAAATAATCAATTCTAACCTCAAAATGCACACACGCGTGCAACACATACTCCAAACTGCCTACTTTACCTACCTTTGATAAACAAAAACACGTGCGCGTAGTATATCTTCTATATATATATATATAAATAATTATATATTTTATTGTTTGATGTAAGAAAATTCTTTTCAAAACAGATAAATATTTATTTGTATCAAACAAAGTATTTATACAGCAGTATAGAAATATATATATATATATATATATATATATATATATATATTTCTAATATATATGTTAAAGCGTGTATATGTAAATATCTAAATACTTAAGCAAAAGTCTTCCGGGCTTTGTTTATTAACAAATAAATTGTTAAATGTCTATTTAAGCGTGTACGTGCGCGTATATGCAAATATCTATTTATTTTACGTTTCTTACTACTTTTTTATATAATTATTACTATTTTAAATAAAATTTGTACAACTGTGTTGTAACATGAAAAAAAATTTATTGATATAAATTGATTGATATAAGAAAAACACTCCAGTGATTTAAAAAAGATTGCAATTTATAGCAATGTGCAACTGCATACATTTTTTTAAATAATGACATGTTTACACTAATTGAATTATATTATTATTTTGTGCAGAAAATTATTAAGATAAAATTATCGATATAAATGTTTTTCGAAATAAGTAATATAAATTTGTAAATAATGCATATTTATAAAATTTGAATATGTTTAATTAAGACAACTGTTACACACAAATGCCGCCACACGCACATAAAAATATATATATATATATAACGACCTTAGAAGTTATGTTGATCTACCACATATTTATCATGATGACACGTCCAGAGAATCAGTCAGTCTTTCGTGATCTTTCGAATTATATCGTGGTAGATATAACGATTGTAATAAAGTGTGAGTGAATAATTATATTCGATTCTTCGAACATTGCATACTGCTAAAGCATTAATTTGGTGCAGTAATTTAAAAATATATAAATTTTATCAATATAATTTTGCAATCAACATACAGTTCCGAAATATTAGGTAAGTCAAAATAAGTTAAAAATATAAAATCATATTTGTCTATAAATTAAAAAAAAATTTAATCATGCAGTATAACAGAATTTTAAAGAATGTCCAACATATTAGTATAAACAGAATAGTTTTATTCAAAATTATCTTTAAATTTTAATTCAAAGATAATTTCAAATAATGCCGATATTATAAATACCAAGATTAAAATTTTATTTATACTGTTATAATTAAAAACAATAATGTTACATGTATATTGATGGTGAGAATATAAAAAATATTATCTCAATTAGAAAGATTTGATAAAATAAATATTGATAAAGATTATAGCTTTAATACATAATAACAAATAAATAAAATTATGATAAGAAGTTAAGTTAATATAATTAAAAATTTTAATAATTATTTATTAATTATAAATTATAGAGTAAAATGAAAGAACATTCTCTAATTGCAAATCGAATAAAGAATCAATAATATTATGGATTTCAAGCAATTGTTAATTCACATCTATTTTGATGCGTTCAATCTGAAATATCTAAAAAAAATCCCATTATATACAGGATGTCCCAGAACAAATAATAAACCTGTTAACAGTAGATTCCTGGGATCATATTTGGAATCGATTTTTCCTTCGCGACAGTGATGAGAGAGACTATCATTATATTTGCATGTTTCCAAATTTGCCGTCACTTAACTTTGCAATTAAACTTTAAATTAAAGTTCTACAAATAGTAAATCCTACTTAAAATTAATTGATGAATGTGAGTTGTTAATATTTTATTTCTACAAGGTTTAGTTTGCGAAAAACTATTTATTTTCAATCGCTTATAACTCAAAATATATTTGTACTACGACATTTTTGCTGAGGAAAAATCGTCTCCAAATAATCTCAGATATCTGCTATTATAACAGGTTTACTGCTAGTTCTGGAACACCTTGAATATGTGTATATAATATTTATTATCAAATTTATAATTTATACAATTTAAAATTGATTTTATGTTGGTTTTATTCTCGGTGATTGTTCGTTTGGAGTTTATAATATAGAGTTCGTCTTGTGTTTATAAATGTAATTTGCTTCAGACAACTAATTTCATGTTCTATAAATCTCATCTATATTCTAATAACTTATTTCCAAAATTTTATAAATTTTAAATGTAAATAATTTCTTGACGATGAGATAATTTTTGTCAATTTAATTTTTGTATATTATCCTTTTTAAAAAAGACATGAAAAATCGATTATCGCAAATATTATGTTGCTGCTTTTCTGCGATATTGATTGGTTGTCTCGATTAACATTGCGCGTTATATTAATACCATCAAACAACTGCAGTGAAGGTTATTTTATCGCGAAGGAAAATTAAAATTATAAACTTGATAAAAGTTTGACAGCTGTAAAATGAAAAATAAAAATAATATCAATAACTCGCGCGAAGCGTGCGCGTTCTTGTGTCGTCTAGTGATTTAAAAAAGACATCAAAATTACATTTAATTTCTATATTCATCTTTTGTTTAGAGTGTATTTTACAGATCTAAAATAAATATTCCTTCTCGAACATGATGATATTTCTAAAATTATTATTAAGTAGCGGATTAATGTTTATTGCTGAGACGACTTCTATTTGTAATGAATCATCTTTATGCTATCTACCAGCAATATATATAAAACCAATCCATTACGACATCAAGCTTATATCATATATTGAAGGACATATTTTCTATGGAGAATACAATATCAGCATAAGCATTCCTAAGAAAACGGAACACATATTTTTACATTCAGAAATATTAAGTATTAAAAATATAGTTTTATTTACAAATGTAGCAAAATATCATGAGAATGCTACAGATACAGTTTATAAACCAATATATGATATTGAAGAAAACATACTTGATGTTTATTTTATTGACGAGTTACCATCAGGAATTTACACTTTAAATATAAAATATTATGGTACTGCTGATGAAGTCTTTAGAATTTTCGACATAAAAGGAAAAATTGCGTAAGTAATAAATAATATGTTTTTATTAAAAAGTACAATGTGCAATTACAGAAAACATTGTAATTAATATATATTATATATTATTTATATATTAAATGTTTCAAAAATTATTATATATCATGGAATTTAAATATAAAGATGATTAATCTTTATCTTTAGTTTATATTATTACATATTACATTTATACGTTATTCAATTCCCAATATTTTTATGTTTGCTGAATCATTAATTTATATTTTTTGAAATGTATAGTATGGTAGCTGCAATTCATTTCCATATAACAGGCGCCCGACGATTGTCTTCATGTTGGGATCAAGAGAATTTATTACCAGAAGCGACCTTTAATATATCTATAGGATGTAATCAATGTACGGCTTTGTCAAATATGCCATTGCGAAATATGGAAAAAACTGAGCATATGTTATGGACACATTTTCATACCACACCAGCAATGTCGCCTTATCTTGCGACAATGATTGTGTCTAATTACCTATTACGTATTGATAATGACACTCGAAACATTGAAATGTGGTGCAGAAACGAATCTGGATTTTACATGAAATTTGCAGAAAATGTAGCTGAAAATATCACGTTGTGTTTAAAAATTGAATGGAAACAGCGTTCCAACAATATTTCGAAAGTGACTCATGTTGCAATTCCAAATTTCCGTGACAGTGACACAATAGTTTCCGGACTTGTTTTTTATAAGTGAGTACAAGTGCTTAAAATTACATTAAAAATAGAATTATATTAGTATGCAAAATGATAAAATTTAAAAAAAGTATATCTTTTGTTTTTGTAAACGTTCGAAAGTATAAGGAATTGCGCAAACAATTTTATTAGAATTAAGTTTATTTATATTATTACAAAATTAAAGTATACCGTTTCAATACGTACATAAAAAGTAAAGTATGTATGCTAAATCGTACCCCCTAAAGTAGATCTTAAAACTGCAAAAAAAAAAATTACATTTTTTTATTTATTTCAAATTATTGTTTTTTGTCAACTATATACATATTAACAGAAATTTATCGGTGTTACATATTGTAAAAATTTAAAAAAATGTTATTTGGTACGGTTTATACTGATTTGAATTATACTCATGAGTTTGTAAATCGTACATATAACAATTAAATTATAATATTGTAACAAAAATAAAGTTTTGTTTTTTTTATAAAGGTTCTTAAATTTTAAATATAACTTATTTCAGGGAAACAGATATCATCTACGATAAAAATTTATATCCTATTGCACACAAACTCGAAGTCGCTCAATTAGTAGGATGTAAAGTGACACAAGAATGGTTTAATAACATGTTGAACGATCCGTTAGTGTCGGATTTTTGGTTTAAAAAAGGTTTCATTACATTACTTGCAACGAATGCTGTCAATAAGGTACATTATTTTAAATATTTTCAACTCTATCGTGCTCCCACTTTCTCGCAAACGATATAATACTTAAACATTCATATATTGCAAATTTTCTTAAATCAAACCCTTTTTACAAAATCTATATGCATTCTTTGCAAATTGTCTTGAAAACATAATTAGTATTATTTAATATAATTATATGTTTCTTAAGAAATACTTTTTTCACATGTTTACATACATATATAATTGTAATTTAATTTATTAAAAATTCTTATTTTTTAACACCACTTTATTACATATTTTAAAATTTTTATGCAATATAAAATAAAATAAATTAATCAAAGACTCGTACACATGATATTTATTTAAATAAATTTGATAAAAATAAGTCTGCAATATAATATCATAAGACAATAATTTGCTAATTATATTAATACAAAATTTTAGATTTTATTATTATATTTATTTTAATGTATTTTTTTCAAAATGAGAAAGTGTTTTGTTTTAACGATGAAGTAACGGTAATAAAATTAGTATTTGTATTTAATGCAAATATCTTCAGAATCAGTTATATCTATATATTAATTATTTTTTCTATAGATGTATCCAGATTATCGAATAATGGATTTATTTGTTGTTCAAAATCGACATTACTCTTTTAATTTGGATGGTTATTATATGAGGAATTCTACTTTACAAGTTAACAGTTCACTGGAAATTCCCGATTCTATCAGAGGTATACGTAATATAATAGAATAGTCGCGTAAATTTTTAACTATTAATATTTTAAAATATGTGTAAAGTTAGAAAATAGTTAATTCTTTATCTAAATTTTAATTAAATATTATATTTATAAAAGTACACACTTACGCGCGCACACACTACGCACACGCACACGCACACGCACACACAATGTCCGGTAATAGTCACACATGTGTAGATAGAGGGAGTTAATTGAAAAGTTCTTTAAAGTTTTGCTATATTTGTAAGCATTAAAATTTGCTTATAAAAATAGAGCAATAGAAAACATTTCACTCTTACGCGATTACTATTCTGTAAACAAATACAATATAATTTTCTTTTAAATATCACTATGTTTGCAAGTAACTATTATAGTATATAAATATTTATAATATATCTAATTCATAATTTGATGTAAATTATAGCACTCTTTATATTGCGCATGGTGCAACATGTCCTCACAGAAGATATATTTCAAGCAGGCATAAACGTATATATACATAACAAGAAGTGAGTAAAATTATATAAAATGTAATATCAAAAAAACAGAATTGTGTACAATATAAATAATTTATAATAATAGAAGTTTTATATAAAGTCCCTTATTTTTCTCGCATTTTCTAAAATTATTTTATAATGGTTTTTTTAGTGTTACAATTTCGCTATTTTTATAGGTCTTCTACTAGATTTATTTTCAATTTCTTATTTTATGAAAGCCATTTCTGTAGAAAGAAATTGTTTTATCGTTATCACTTTTGTTTATATACATATTCATTGTTGTTTTATTTTTATTTTATGATTTGTTATTTTTTAAAATAATTTTTAAATTAATTTTTATTCTTTTTATTATTTTCTATATCTCCTTATATTGTTTATAATTCTAATAATATCTGTTTTTTTAATTGCATTATGTGCTACATTTGTTTTTTAATTTTATTTAAGTTTTTAAATATGTAACACTTATATTTATAGTTGCCATTACTTTCTCTATTTTTACTTTCTTCTCTCAAAAATCGATCTCCTTTATATTATTTTTCTTATTTTTGTTTTGCCTTTAACTTCTTATTTGTTTTATTTCTTCTTTTAATCATTTTATACTCTCTCAATACTTTACTGAAATATAATCTGTATTAATGTTAATAATGCGTAAAAAGTTAAATAAAATTATTAAATAAAAACGTAGATATTTGAGAATTGCCAGACAGAATTTAAAAAGTAAAACTCTTCTCTCGACCGTACTGGCAAATATTATTTATTAATTACAACGTTTCGACCCTTCTTTGAGTCCTTATCAAGTGATCTAGATATACATAGAGAAGAAATACAGTACAGAGATTAATACAATAATGTCTCTCATAACTCGTCTAAGAGTCTTGACGCGTTGTCAAACCGACACTATATTCGTTCTTGACATCTTAAAATTATAATTTTATTTTTATTTTTACAAGTATGTTTTGCATCTTTTTATTATTTTGTAATATTGTTAAGTAAAGTAATTTTTTTTATTGTATTAATCTCTGTACTGTATTTCTTCTCTATGTATACCTAGATCACTTGATAAGGACTTAAAGAAGGGTCGAAACGTTGTGATTTAATAAATAATATTTGCCAGTACGGTCGAGAGAAGAGTTTTATTTTTTTTTAATTATTAAATTTTATTTAAAATTGTTATATTTTTTATTATCAGAATATAGATATAAGATATATATAAATATATAAACAGAAATGTGTAATTTTATATTTTGCTTCTTAGTATTTATTTTTTTATAATATTAACATTATGTAGATAATTTTAACATATTTTATATATTCTACATACTTTGTGAATTTAGAATATCACATAGTCTACACTTTCTGGATTTTATGGAAAATGTTGCTTCAATAACAGATCTAGATATGCCTCTACAACTAACAAAAATGAAACTTTGGGATTTTGAAAAGCATTGTCCTCTCATTAAAGTAGTACGAAATTATAATGATCCTATGAGCCAAGCAACTGTAACGACACAATATATCGACATATTAAAAATTCGCTACATTCCTATAACTTTTACTACGGAAGCATCTCCCGATTTTAACAATTTCAATCATCATTATCTATACGTGTTACGTGATTTCAAATTATCATTACCATTTAAAGAGAATGGTTGGATGATATTCAATATACAACAAGTTGGTAAATATAATACAACAAATGGACTTATTATGACTATTATTTCTCGTCTTCATTTTACACACACATAATTGAAATAATTATATATTTTTAATTATTTTATTCTTTATTCTATAAAAATCTGATATATTCATTATATAACTATTGTATAATAGTTTTAAAATGTTTTGTGTAATTTTCTTCATTATTATACAAATAATTTAAGATATACGTAGTTAATAACTATTTTATATTTTATCCTATAAAAATCTGAATCTGAGATATTCATTATATATAACTATAATAGTTTTAAAATGTTTTATGTAATTTTCTGCATTATTATTATATATATATAATATTAATTTAAGATATATGTAAGCGTTTTCTAAATAATATCATTCAATATCATTGTTATATTTTTACAAATAGTTTATTCTATGAATAGTAAAAATTATTAATAAGATGATTATATTTATAAAATTAATAATAATAAGTGCAGGTAACATATAATTTTTGTAACATTACATGTTACAGAAATTATAAGGGTTAGCATAAAACAATTATTATTTATGCATAACTAGAATTAATTTTATTATATATATGATATACAGCAATATCTTGCACAGTTTCATTTTCTCTATTATTTCAAGTATTAGGATGACATTTTTATAATTAATTTTCTATATTATGTATTTGCATTTAATTTATATGTATTAAATTTTTGATTTTAATTTATAATTTATATAAACTAAAGTATGAAACAAAAATTGAAATAAGTTTGAAAATTAGTATATTAATGATACAATTATTTAAAACAATAAAAATTGATATAATTTATTTACTATTGAAATTAGCGGCAACTTCAAATTAAGATTACGATTTATCATTAGCTTTTTCCCAGATGCATCGGATCATAATTTATTTACTATTCGACAGGATATTATCGCGTTAACTATGATGAGGAGAATTGGCGAAGAATTTCAAGTTATCTGAGATTTGATAATTACATGAAAATTCATGTTCTTAATCGTGCTCAAGTTATCGATGATGCATTCCATTTAATGATAACAGGCCAACTCCAATTACATATATTCCGGGATCTTATAAGGTATTTGCATCGAGAAGAAGATTATATAGCATGGTATCCTATGTTTAAAGCTATGGAATACATGTATGGTACTTGTCCATGGGAAGATATATATGGATCTATTACGGTAAATATTAATAAATTTCAATAAAAATATTACATTTTAAATATTTGCATATACACTCATTGATCACAAATAATTTAAATACTTAGAAAAAAATATCCAGCAATAATAAAATTTTACATACTACTATGCAAACAAATGTGCAAACAAATTCAGTTCGAATAATCACTCATCCGAAGAAATGTCCGAAAACGATATATTTTTTATACTTTATTTAAAAATAAAATATGATTGATAAAAATAGTTATTAAACTTTAATATCTATTTTATATTATAAACGTTTCGCACAAATTAAACAATATTTTTGCGTATATGTATAATACATATGTATATTTGCACGTTCATATCTACATGAATAGTTAAACGTTAGCGTCTATATTTGAATTTGTACGTATGATTGTTTCATAGAAAAAAAAATTTTAAGAATCTTCTGAAAAATAATAAAAAAATTAAATAATTTTTAAATACATTTATAATATGAACTAATAAATATATATTTAACGATTTTTAGTTGATAGTAAGGTACGCTTTACAAGAGGTACTTAAAAGAATCAAATATGAAGAAATTGATGATATAGACGAACTTAGAATATGTTTACGACAAGAAGCTGCAAAATGGGCATGTTTTCTCGGTGATATCGATTGTAAGAAAGAAGCCAACAAGAAATTAGAACAACATCTCCTAGATCCTACAAAACACAAGTAAATATTTCGATATGTATATATTTTCTTAGCCTTTCTTAATCAAATTCTCTTGTATCACCTATAATGTTCTAATGATTTGATCAAAAGATCCGTATGCTAATCTTTAATTAAAAAATTTAATTTTTTACTATGTTTTAGACTTTTGCCATGGTGGCAGGAATGGACATATTGTAACGGTTTGAAGACAATTACCAACAAACTGACTTGGCAATTAGTGTATAATATAGGATATAAAAAATCTGACACTAAATTTATAGAATACTTGGCTTGCTCTGAATTTTCTGATATAATTACAGACTATTTAAGTTATAAATCTTTTACAAAACAAGAAAATCAATATCTTTTTAACAGTTACTTCCATATTATTACGAAGCATACGAACAATCGAAATATCCTGATGGACATATTAAATAAAATTTTTTTAAACATAAGACCAAAGTAACGTGACATATTTTCATAAATATTTTGTAAAAATATATTGTGTTTTATATATACATTTATTTTTTCGTTTTTAGACATGTTGATGTAACTGCAGCATTAATTATTATTATTAATAACGTATATTCCGTAAATCTAACTGAGGTACAGATTTTATATATTTATATATATATATACAAAATGTGATAATAATGCAATGTTAATAATTATTATTTAATGTTGAAATAATTTTGATAATGTTATAATAATGTTTTTTATTAATAATACATTTTAGGAAATAAAGGAATATGTTATAAGGTTCAAGTTCCACGCAATTTTATCAATTGAGGAAATGGAAAAAAAGGTAAAAATAAATATTATTATGGAAAGCGAAAGAAAAAGAAGTATTGTTCTATCTCTCTTATTAAATTCTGATTATTAATTTTATATTTGTTTTGTTTATTATATAATCAGTATATTGATTTTAATGTTTAATTTAAATCTTTTATATATATTAGGATTCCATAATGCTGAAGTCTGATAAAGTTGAAAGCAAGATATCAATTCGCAACTATCAAATCGAAAAACAAAGACAGTCTTTTGATAATACTTTCTATTGATGGATGTAAAAAAATTGTAGCTTTGCATTATGTGCGTGGATATACTTCATATTAATAATTTTTATATATTGTATGTACTAATTATTTTATTGATTTAATTATAATTTATTTAGATGTATAACTATTCGATGTCTCTGTATTTACAAATCTTTATGACTGCATGCATTAAGTTTTTCACTTTTTTTTCGAACTTGCTGAAGGTGTAATTGAATTATATATTATTGCCTGTGTTCACAAAAAAGTAGTCATATAATATTACTATAAATTTTATTGCTAGATAGGAAACAATAATAAAAATGTATGAATATATATTGTATATATATTTATACATTTATATATATATATATTTTTTTTTTTTTTACATATAAATTTTGATAAATCTTAGATAATTTAAAATTCTTTGCCAATTCTCATTATCATAATTAACGCGATAATATCCTGTTGAATAGTAAATAAATTATATAAATTTTTATTGTTTTGAATAATTTTATCATTAATATACTTATTTTCAAACTTATTTCAATTTTTGTTTCATACTTTTGTTTATCTTCTTAATAACTTTTACTATTCTTAAAATAAAATATTTGTAAAAATATAACGTTGATATTAAATGATATTGAATTACATATTGACTTGTTTTTAATTTTTAGGTTAATTAATCAAAATATATATATGTTTACGCACACACACATGCACATGTATTGTATATATATATATATATATTAGAAGAAAATTCGTTATATATACCAGCACAAAAGAAACTACAAGAATACGAAAAAATTACTGATGTAATAATACTTTTTCTATAATATGCAATTGTTATACCAGTAAATTTTCGTAAGGGTATATATATATATATATATATATATATATGTAATAATACTTTTTCTATAATATGCAATTGTTATACCAGTAATTTTCGTAAGGGTATATATATATATATATATATATATATATATACCCTTACGAAAATTTACTGGTATAACAATTGCATATTATAGAAAAAGTATTATTACATCAGTAATTTTTTCGTATTCTTGTAGTTTCTTTTGTATGCTGGTATATATAACAAATTTTCTTTTAAATATTATAAAAATTTACAGTCAACATATTTATATTTATACGTGTTATTAAAATCATTATTATTTACATTACATATATATGCGTGTATATGTGTATATGTGTATGTGTGTGTGTGTGTGTGTGTGTGTGTGTATGTGTTGGCATATATAAAATAATAATATTATATATTATATATTATGTATATGTTATACAGGGGATCATATTATATATTAATTATATAATTAATACAATATATAATATATTAATAAATAAATACATGTATATATAAAACATGTTTGTATAACTATAAGAATTAGTAATAAGTTAAAGTTATATGTAAACTAATTACAATTATATGTGCTTATATGTTCAATATTTAAATATCTAATTATTTAAATATCAATATTTAAATATCTTTATTACATTTAATATATATTATTATAAAATTAGTGATTTATTAGCATTTTTTAGTTCACAATAAATCATATAACAATCTCTCTCTCTCTCTCTCTCTCTCTCTCTCTCTCTCTCTCTCCTCCCTTGTGTAAATCAACATTTTAATTTCAATAAAGTTATTTAAATAAAATATTAGTTTTAATATTAATGATTATTAAATTATATTACATAACTTTTGAATTATGCAACATAATTTGACTTTTATTACTAATATTTTTAATAGACATAAAAATACTATAAAATATGTCAATCGGAATTTTAACTTAATTATATTTAATTAATTTTAACAATTACATTTAAAAGAAATGTAAGCATAGAAGATAAAAAGTATAAAAAACTTTTATTATCAAATTGATGTTTTCAATAAGTTTGCGTTTAACATGTGCTTCTGCTTTCAATCAACGTGATAAATTTTAATATTGAAAAATTATCTTATTATTTTATTTGTTTTATTTGTTTGAGTAATTCTGACACTAAATAATAAAATGCTGAACAAAGGAATCGCGAATATTAATTTTTATTAAAAATAATTAATATGAATAAGATAAATAAAATTATAATAATTATTGAGACAATTACTAAAATTATCAAATTAAAAATATTATTAAGATAAAATTATCGAAAGCGGTGAGTATATTACGAGATATTGCACCAAATTTTTTGTAAAAATGTTTTTTGAAATAAGTAACATAAATTTGTAAATAATGCTTATTTATTTGATTAATTGATCGAAATTTGAATTTATTTAATTAAGACAACAGTTACACACAAATGCCTCACACACACACACACACACACACACAAATATATATATATACATATATATATATATATATATATATATATATATATAAACGATCTTAGAAGTTTTGTTGACCTAACACGTCATATTTATCATGATGACACGTACAGAGAATCAGTCAGTCTTTCGCAGTCTTACGAACCACATCGTGGTAGATATAATACTTTTAATAAAGTGTGTGTGAATATATTATATTCTTCCAACATTGCGTGCTGCTGGTATTAATTTGTTGCACTTAATTGTTAAAAAAATATAATTTTTATCAATATATATATATGTATATATATTTTAGCAACTAAATACTGTTCCGAAATAAAGGATAAGTCAGAATAAGTTAAAATATATAAAAATATATATTATTTTATTTTAAATTATCTTTAAATTTTATATAATCCAGAGATAGTTTCAAATACTTAATATCGATATTATAATATTTTACGAATTGTAATGTTGAAATAATCTTGGTCCCACAAAAGTTTGATATCAAATAAATTATTTCTGAAACTTAAAAATACTACAATTACATAACAATATATATATTATAATAAATACTTTTAATTATTCTTTCAATAATAGATTATTAAAATTCTGTTTTCTAAACTTTGTTATTTATATTTTTATATAAAAACATATGTGTGTATTTTAATATTTAAAATGATTTTCAAGTTGTGCTGACATTGAGCAGAATAACTTAAACAAGGAGAGTCAAATATTAACTTTTGTTGTTGAAGATTATATATATATATATATATATATATATATATATATATAAGATTATATATTGTAATTAAGCCTTAAATTAAAGTTCTATTAACAGTACATCCTGCTAAAAATTAATTTACAAATGTGATTTGTTAATATTTTATTTCTACAAGGCTTAATTTGCAAAAAATCATTTATTTTCGCTTATAACTCGAAATTTATTGGTACTACGACATTTTCACTGAGGAAAAATCATCACCTTCTATATATGTATATAATATTTATTATATCAAGTTTATAATTTATACAATTTAAAATATTGATTTTATGTTAGTTTTATTCTCGGTGATTGTTTGTTTGAAATTTATAATACACAATTTGAGAGAAAAAATAACACAGACCTCTAAAGGAAAATTATAATAACATGTGCTCTCTCTCTCTCTCTCTCTCTCTCTCTCTCTGTCTCCGCTGCTCAGTCTTTCTTATTCTTACTGTTTTTTCATATTTTAAATACACACAGATATATATGTATGTAGAAATAACGGTTCTTGTTTTTATATTAATAATTTATTTCAGACAACTAACTTCATATACTATAAATCTTTATATTCTATAATTTTAAATGTATATAATTTTTTGACAATTAAATTATTATTTAAAGAAAATATAAAATATGTTGTAAATATGATATTTCTATATTTATATCAATTAAAATATGTGCGACACTGAAATACATATATATATATATATATATATATATATATATATGTGTGTGTGTGTAATTTTATTTTAAAAAATTGTGCAAATGGAAATTTGCACATTTGCTTTCTCACCATATAATAATTCACTAATTAGGATGGTTTTTCAATTAATAATTTTAATATTTTTTGTATACATTTTCTTGTTTATGTACAAGAATTATTAAAAAAAGACATCAAAACTATATTTAATATCTTTATTTATTTTTTGTTTAGCTGTGTGATTTACAGATCTAAAATAAATATTTTTTTTCTTCGACATAATGATATTTTTAATTAAAATTCAGAGAAATAAAATTATGATCATATTCATAGTACCAAGCAATCGATGGCATATCACCATATGCCATCGCGAAAATGAACAATTTAACAGTTGTAAAATAAATAATAGAAACAATATCAAAAGCGCGCGCGAAGCGCGCTCATGTGTCGTCTAGTGATTTAATAAAGGCATCAAAACTATATTTAATTTCTCTATTTATCCTTTGTTTTACAGATCTAAAATAAATATTCTTTTTTCGACATGATGATATTTCTAAAACTATTATTAAGTATCGGATTAATCTTTATCGCTGAGACGGCATCTATTCGTAATGAATCATCTTTATGCTATCAACCATCAAAATATATAAAACCAATCCATTACGATATCAAGCTTATATCATACAATGAAGGAGATTTTTTCTATGGAGAATACAATATCAGCATAAGCATTCTTAACAAAACAAAACACATATTTCTACATTCAGAAAAATTAAGTATTAAAAATATAGTTTTATTTACAAATGTAGAAAAAAATCATGAGAATGATAAAGATACATTTTATGAACCAACATATAATACTACTGAAGAAGACACAATTGATATTCTTTTTAAGGATGAGTTATCACCAGGAAATTATATTTTAAATATAAAATATTTTGGTTCTGCTGATAAAGTTTTTAGAATTTTCGACGTGAATAAAAAATTTGCGTAAGTATATAATATAGGTTTATTAAAAAAATTCAATGTGCAATTACATAAAACGTTGTAATTGATATATATTATTTATGTATTAAATGTTTCAAAAATTATCGTTTATCATGGAATTTAAATATAAAGACGATCAATCCTTATCTTTAGTAAATATTATTACATATTACATTTACACTTTTTTTAATTCCTAATATTCTTATGTTTGTTAAAAATGTTTCATTAATTTATATTCTTTGAAATTTATAGTATGGTAGCTGGAATTCATTTTCATATATGCATCCATAACATATCTACAGGATGTAATCAATGTACGACTTTGTCAAATATGCCATTGCGACATACGGAAAAAAATGAGTACAATATGTTATGGACACATTTCGATACCACACCTGCAATGTCGCCTTATCTTGCAACAACGATTGTGTCTAATTATCTATTACGTATTGATAATGACACTCGAAACATTGAAATGTACAGCAGATACGAATCTAAATTTCAAATGAAATTTGCAAGAAATGTAGCTGAAAATATCACGTTGTGTTTAAAAATTGAATGGAAACAGCGTTCCAGCAATATTTCGAAAGTGACTCATGTTGTAATTCCAAATTTCCATGACAATGGCATAATAGTTTTCGGGCTAGTTTTTTATAAGTGAGTACAAGTGCTTAAAACTACATTAAAAATAAAATTATATTAGTATGCAAAATGATAAAATTAAAAAACATGTATTTCTTTTGTTTTTGTAAACGTTCGAAAGTATAAGGAATTGCGAAAACAATTTTAGTAGAATTATGTTTATTATTACAAAGTTTAAGTATACCGTTTCAATACGTACATAAAGGGTAAAGTATATATATATGCTAAATCGTACTTCCTGAGGTAAATGTTAAAACTGCAATGAAGCTATAAAAGAATGTTTTTTAATTTATTTTATATTATTGTTCTTTATCAAGGATATACACAGTAACAGACATTTTTAGTTGCTTCATATTGTAAATTAAAAAATAAATGAAATATTATATGGTACGATTTACAATACTGATTTGCAAAATTCTACCCATGACTTTGTAAATCGTACATATAACAATTAAATTAATATATTGTAACAAAAATTAAGTTTTATTTTATATAAAAGTTCTGAGTCTTAACAATTATTAAATATAACTTTCAGGGAAACAGATATCATATACGATAAAAATTTATATCCTATTGCTCACAAAATCGAAGTAGCTCAATTAGTAGGACGTAAAGTGACACAGCAATGGTTTAATAACATGTTGAACAATCCGTTCTTGTCAGATTTTTGGTTTAAAAAAGGTCTTATTACATTGCTTGCAACGTATGCTGTCAATAAGGTACATTATTCTAAATATTTTCAACTCTATCTCGCTTCCACCTTCTCACAAACGATATAATACTTAAGCATTTATATTGCATGATTTTCTTAAATCAAACCTTTTTTACAAAATCTATATGCATTTATTGTGAATTGTCTTGAAAACATATTTAACACTATTTAATATAATTAATTGTTGTTTAAAAAATACTTTTTTTTATATTTTGACATACATATATTACATAATTCTAATTTATTTTATTAAAAATTCTTATTTTTTAACACTACTTTCTTACATATTTTAAAATTTTTATGCAATATATTAAATAAAAAATAAAATAAATTAATCAAAAACTACACACACACACACACACACACACACACACACACACACACACACACACACATGTTATTTATTTAAATACATTTGATAAATTGAAATCTGCAATATAATATTATGAGACAATAATTTTAAAAATGTGTAATATTTGCTAATTATATTAATACAAAATTTTAGATTTCATTCATATCTTCAGAACAATTATATCTATATATTAATTATTTTTTTCGATAGATTTATCCAGATTATCGAATAATGGATTTATTTGTTGTTCAAAATCAACATTACTCTTTTAATTTGGATGGTTATTATATGTGGGATTCTACTTTACAAGTTAACAGATCACTGGATATTCCCAATTCTATCAGAGGTATACGTAATATAATAGAATATATAGTCCACGTAAATTTTTAACTATTGATAATTTAAAAAATGTGTAAAGTTAGATGATAATTAATTTTTTAATAAATTAGTAAAAAATTATAACGCTCTTATATATTAAAATAAAATGGTAAAATTAATGTAAGAACAGACCAACTCAAGAGCAAAAATTATTAGGATGTTAGTGAATATTATAAATTTTTATTACTTCCCAATTATACCATATTAAAACAATTAAAACATATTAATACAATTAAATCAAACGTTTTGACTGTACGCAGTCTTCATCAGTGGTGTCATAGTATTAGTCAATTATAAAATTTTAAAAAACATTTCGACGATGCAAACGATTGCAATTCATACTATTAATTATAATTATATATAAATTAACTTGGATGATGCAAACAATTACAACTTTTGATGATGTGTAGCATGTATGATTTTAAGGCTGAATACATCACTATATTGTTCTTGGATAATTTCAAGATGTTAATGCGGATTATTTCCAATAATGATTTTAAAGGTGGAAAAACTTTTGGCATTCCATCGTTTGAAAGCGTGGAATTGTCTTAGTTTCTCTCTCGCTGAATCAGGAAACTTTCGGATCTATTATTTTCTCTTACATTTATTTAATTATTTCCGCAGGGGGGTTAGGGTGTTTTTGAAATTAAATCTCAAGTAAAAGATTATTTCAATTTTTAAAGTCTTGGTTGGTACACCGAGAATAATTCGTGCCTTGCGCACGCTTTGTTTCCAACGAAAATTTAGTTTTGTTGTAAATGTACGTAGAAAACATCCGCGTACATGGCTCTTTACGCCTTCCTTATGAGTTAGATTTATATTTATATTAAAGCCGTTATTGAACCTTAGTTTGTTTATCTAATTAAAATTTTGATGTAAATTGTAGCACCCTTTATACTGCGCATGATGCGACACGCCTCCGAAGATATTTTTTGGAAAAACATTAGCTCATATGCAAATAGCACGTGAGTAAGCACAGAATTTAATATAGAAAAATAAAATTATATAAATCTTAAATAATTTATAATAATATACAAATTTTATATAATGTCCCTCATTTTTTTTCGTTTCTTCTGACATTATTTCATAATGTTTTTTTCGTAGTGTTACAATTCTTCTATTTTTACTGATCTTTTACCAGAATTATTTTTAATTTCATTACTCTTCCTATAAAAACTATTTGACTACAAATGTCAAGGTCATCGAAATCAGAGAGTGCTCCCCATATCTTAAAAATTACCAAAATTTTTTATAATATTAACATTATACCGACAATTTTAACATATTTGTAACATTTTCTTTTTATATATTTTACATACTTTGTGAATTTAGGCTATCACATCGTCCAGGCTCTGTGAATCTTATGAGAGATGTTGCTACAAAAATGAATTTTGCTCCAAAACTAATAAGAATGGAAGAATGGGCTTCGGAAAAGCATTGTCCTCTCATTAAAGTAGTACGAAATTATAATGATCCTATGAGCCAAGCAACTGTAACGACACAATATATCGACATATTAGAAGTTCGCTACATTCCTATAACTTTTACTACGGAAGCATCTCCCGATTTTAACAATTTCAATCATCATTATCTAGACGTGTCACGTGATTTCAATTTAACATTACCATTTAAAAAGGATGGTTGGATGATATTCAATATACAACAAGTTGGTAAATATCGACAAATGGACTTATTATGACTTATTTTTCTCGTCTCTATTTTACATACACATAATTAACATAATTTTATTTTTTTATCTATTTTTTTATCTATTTTATTCATTGTCCTATATAAATCTGAGATATTCATTATATAACTATAACACTGGCAAATAAGTAATTTTATTGAATATTTACAACGTTTCGGCCGTGGGTTTCGGCCCTTATCAAGTGTTAAAACACATTTTTGTTTTTTAAAAACGTTGTGAATATTCTATAAAATTACTTATTTGCCAGAGTTGGTCGATTGAATTATTACCATTTTTTAATTATCATCTAGTGACTTCATAGTTTTATATTGTTTATAACTATAACAGTTTTAAAATGTTTTGTGCAATATTCTGCATATATATATATATATATATATATATATATATATACCCGCCTACGAGAGGTAATACGCGAGTCACCGGACACCCTGTATATATATATATATATATATATATATATATATAAAACAATAAAAATTGATAAAATTTATTTATTATTCGACAGGATATTATCGTGTTAACTATGATGAGGAGAATTGGCGAAGAATTTCAAATTATTTAAAACTTGACGATTACACGAAAATTCATGTTCTTAATCGTGCCCAAATTATCGATGATGCATTTCATTTAACGATAGCAGGCCAACTCCAAAAACATATATTCTGGGATCTCATACAGTATTTGCATAGAGATGAAGATTATGTGGCATGGTATCCTATGTTTAAAGCTTTGGAATACGGGTATGGCACTCATCGTGGACGGAAAGACATGGATATATATCTTACGGTAAATATTAATAAATTTCAATGAAAATATTACATTTTAAATATTTGCATATGCACTCATTGATCATAAATAATTTAAATACTTACAATTAGAAAAAATATCCAGTAACGATAAAATTTTACATACTATTACGTCGCAAACAAATGTGCAAACAAATTCAGTTTGAATTTAATCATTTGAATACTCAGCCGAAGAACTGTCCGAAAAGTCTATGATTTTCACTACTTCAAATATTATTGGTATATAACATTGTTGTGGATATGTAGCTAGGTGCTTAAAATCTTGTGAATGAATGCAATTATATTGGCTTTATATTACTCAATATTACATGTTAGTAATTAAAAAAAAATTAAACATATATATTTAGTTGGAAAAATTTAATTATATAGATTTCAAAACGATATATTAATTTTATATCTTATTTAAAAATAAAATATGATTGATAAATAGTTATGAAACTTTAATATCTATTAAATATTATAAATATATTTTGCACAAATTAAACCATATTTTTGCGTACATGTATAATACATATGTATAATTGCACGTATATGTATATGTACGTGAATAGATAAACGTTAGCGTCTTTGTCTTAAGTGAATTTGTATGTATGTTTGTTTCCTAGAAAAAGAAAATTTTAAGAATCTATTGGAAAATAATTAAAATAATATAATAATTTTTAAATACATTTATAATATGAACAAATAAATGTATATTTAACAATTTTTAGACGAGAGTAAAGTACATTTTACGCGCGCTACTTAAAAAAATCAAATATGAAGAAATTGATGATACAGACCAACTTAGAATATGTTTACGACAAGAAGCTGCAAGATGGGCATGTTTTCTCGGTGTCATCGATTGTAAGGAAGAAGCCAACAAGAAATTAGAACAACATCTCCTAGATCCTACAAAACACAAGTAAATATTTCGATATGTATATATTTTCTTAGCCTTTCTTAATCAAATTCTCTTGTATCGCCTATAATGTTCAAATGATTTGATCAAAAGATCCGTATGCTAATCTTCAATTAAAAAATTTAATTTTTTACTATGTTTTAGACTTTTGCCATGGTGGCAGGAATGGACATATTGTAACGGTTTGAAGACAATTACCAACAAACTGACTTGGCAATTAGTGTATAATATAGGATATAAAAAATCTGACACTAAATTTATAGAATACTTGGCTTGCTCTGAATTTTCTGATATAATTACAGACTATTTAAGTTATAAATCTTTTACAAAACAAGAAAATCAATATCTTTTAAACAGTTACTTCCATATTATTACGCAGACTGCGAACGATTTATATATCCTGAAGTACTACATATTAGAAGACTTGTGGTCCACAAAACCAAAGTAATGTGACATATTTTTATGAATATTTGGTACAAAAATGTATTGTGCTTTATATATATATATATATATATATATATATATATTTTCATTTTTAGATATGTTGATATAACTGCAGCATTTACTGTTATTATTAATAACATATATACTGTAAATCGATTTAAGGTAAAAATTTTACATGTTTATATATGTATGTGTACAAATCGTGAGAATAATGCGATATTAAAAATTATTATTTAATATTAAATAATTTTGATAATGTTAAAATAACGTTGTTTATTAATAATGTTAAAAAATAATATATTTTAGGAAATAAACGTATACGTGAAATGGTTGAAGAGACATGAATACTTAATTAATGAAAAGAAAGAAAAGGTAAATTTAAAAAATATTATTATGGAAAGCGAAAGAAAACAAAATATTGTTATATCTTATTAATTTCTGAATATTAATTTTATATTTGTTTCGTTTATTATATAAAGAGTATATATTAATTTCATTGTGCAAATCTTTGTTTATATTTATTAGGATTTCATAATGCAGAATTCTGATAAAATTCGAAGCAAAATATCAATTCGCAAGAATCAACTTAAAAGACAAATACAGTATTTGGATGATATTTTCTATTTGTGAAAATAAAAAAAATTGTAGCTTTGCATTGTGCGCGTGGATATACTTCATATTAACCATTTTTATATATTGTATGTATTATTAATTTTATTGCGTAAATTATTATTTATGTAGATGTATTACTATTCGATGCATCTGTATTTACAAATCTTTATGACTACATGCATCAAGCTTTTTATTTTTTTGCGAATTTGCTTAATGTAATTGAACTATATATTATTGCCTGTGTTCACAAGAAAGTATAATATTACTATAAATTTTATTGTTAGATATAAAATAAAAATAAAAATGTGTAAATATAAATAATATATACATATAAATTTAATTGTTAAATGCACTATCTATTAATTTTGAATTACATATTGACTTGTTTTTAATTTTTAGGTGAATTAATCAAAATATATGTTTATATACGCACACACACATACACATGTATTAAATATTATAAAAATTTACAGTCAACATATTTATATATATATACGTGTTATTAAAATTGTTATTATCTACATTATATATATATGGTTGTATGTGTGTGTGTTGGCACATATAAAATAATAATATTATATATCATATATTATGTATATATTATACAGATCATATTATATATTAATTATATAATTAATACAATATAATATATTAATAAATGAGTACATGTATATATAAAACATATTTGTATAACTATAAGAATTAGTAATATGTTAAAGTTATATGTAAACTAATTATAATTATATGTGCTTATATGTTCAATATTTAAATATCTTTTACATTAAATATGTTATTATATAAAATTTGTGATTGATTAATATTTTTTAGTTCACATTAAATTACAACACAATTTTTCTCTCTCTCTCTCTCTCTCTTTCTTTCTCTCTCTCTCGTCCTTCCTCTCTTGTACGTGTAAATCAACATTTTAATTTCAATAAAATTATTTAAATAAAATATTAGTTTTAATATTAATATTTATTAATATTACTAAATATATGTTTACGCACATACACGTGTGATTTAACAGTATTAATTCGACTTGCATTAATTTATTGAAATTCCAGCATGCAAACTTATATTGATTTTTGCACTAAATTCACAGTAAGATTCTGCGGCAAGTTCTTGAAATAGCTAACATCTAAATATTCCAAAGGATTTATCGCCAGATTTACCTCGATCAATGACAATAACGCACTTGCCAGAGATACAGACTCTAATGAAGTAAATTGATTGTCGTTCAAATGCAAATATTTTAAAGACATGAAAGAATCGCTCCATCCTTTCGGAAGAAAACTCAATTTGTTCTTCGAAAGATCTAATACTTCTAAAAGCGAAAGTTCAGCAAATGCTTTAACATTAATCTCGACGATCTGATTACCTCTCAATAACAATTTCGTCAACTTCGGCATTTCCGCAAAAGCGTTTGCAATTAAACTCTTAACATTGTTAGAATTAAGAGACAGAATGCTGATCACTGTCTCACTCGAAATTCGCGGAATATCCTCGAGCTTGTTGCGACTCAAATCGAGCGATTTCAAGCACTGCAATTTTTCAAACGTCTCCGGATGCAAGTAATTTATATTATTTACGGATAAGTTCAAATAGACCAACTTGTTGATATCCTCGAAAGCGTCCGATTCCACGAAATCGATGTTGTTTCCAGAAATGGAGAGGTAGTGCAATTTTTCCAGGCCAGCCATGGCTAGACCAAAATTACGTGGATTATTATGCGAAATATATTGATCGTTATTCTTTCTTCCATATCCGTAATTATGTCGATTATGCGAATCAATGTACTTCTTCACGTATCTCAGATTATTGTTATCCAAGTTTAACGCTAACAAGTTCAGTTTTTTCTTGTCAAAAGCCAAAGAAGCGAGCGAGTTATGGTGAAGATCGAGAATGTACAAACTATTTGGCAGCAACTCTAAAAAATTAATACCTTGTATTTTGTTGCTGGAAAGATCTAGGATCTTCAGTTTTGGGAATGAAATTTCCTTGATGGAAGTTTGCAAGTCGTTGATACCATTTCTACGTAGAGATAGGATTTCTAAATTAGGATATTTTTGGAAATGTATGCTGTAGATGATCATAATAGTTGCGTTCGGTGTTTGCGCTGTTCAGAATAAGAACCTTCAAGTTTTCGTGACTCCCGAAGTCGAAGAGCTTTTCCAAATTTATGTTGTTATTAGAAAGGAACAGTTGGGTTAAATTAGGAAGTTTGTTAAAGGCGCCGTACTGGATGCTTTGGATGCCAATATTCGTGAGATTCAGACAAGTTATCAGAGGATTACTGATAAAATTCTGACCGATAGAAGTGATCACTGTATTAGAAAAGTTTAAAGCGATATCATCCTCGCACTGATGATGTCCAAACTCATTTGTATAGTTGGGGAAATCCAAGGAGATTTGAAGATCATTGGCTCTTGATAGCGTAGAGCAATAGACGAAAATAATGATCGTAAAGAAAACTTCATGGTATTGGATCTCTGCAAATGTAATAAAAATATTTCTCTAATTTAAATTTTTAAATTTAAACTTTTTTTGAATGTATAGTAAAATGTACATTATTATAAACAAAATTTTACTGATATTAAGTACTAAAATTTAAATTAATTAATATTAATTATTAAATAATAAAAATCTGTATAATATGATTATTATGAAAAGATTAGGAGAGCTATTGAAAAATTCATATATGTATATAAGTTATGGGAAACACATACATATATGAGAGTATAAAAAGAAATAAGAAAACTTTATAATATTATTATATCAATTTTCTTTTGATTTAATATTATATTAATTATATTATTAAAAATTATATAATAATTATTATAGAGAATATAAAACTTTATTTTATAAAAGATTATATAGATATATTTTTTTAATATAAAAAATATTCTTAATATAAAACGTTTTACTTATTTTAAATTTTCTAAAAATAATTATAAGTACACATACCATTTTTATGAAGTGCATTCTCCACAAAAAATGTTCAAATTATATATATTATAGCGATTATCCTATGGATATACTTTTCCCAATGACTGCTCTTTTAATACTGCGTACTTATACTGTTAAAAGCTGTAAAAAACTGTGAAGTCATCCGATGATAATTAAAAAATGATAGTAATTTAATCGACCAACTCTGGCAAATAAGTGATCTTTATTCAATATTCACTCTTGAATATTGAGTATTGAATAAAGATCACTTATTTGCCAGAGTTGGTCGATTAAATTACTACCATTTCTTATGCTGTTATATTAGTTTTTTAAAGAATTTAAGCCGATATATATAATATATCGCTGAATTGTGTACTAAAGAGTTAAAGATACGATAATAAACACACCTGTATTTATTCGTGAATAGATAAAGCAATAGATAATTTTTTATCTCATGTTCTGTTTCATGGTAAAGTTTCTTAAAAATTTGCCAAAGTAAATTAAAACCTTTTCTGATGTAAGTTTATTTTATTAAAGAGATCTTAAAATTTCCTTTTTTAATATTTATAGTACGTGCATTAAAAAAAATAAGAAAATGCATGCGTAAAACTTAATACGCTTTATAATAAAAGAATATGAAGATATTCTCAAATGATTATTTATATATTAAAAAATATTATTTTCAATTAATGTATAATTTAGTTTCAATTTTTTTTTTAGAATGATGTATAATGTAAATCTTTCTAGAATAATATCAAATAATATCAAATAATAAGAAAACTTTAAAAATTAAAAAAAACTAAAAGATGAAATAAAAAAAAAAGATAAACTCAGCTGCATTGTACGTATCTTTATTTGAGTACCATTTAATTGGTGGAGTATTCTGATAAAATACTCTTAAATGTATGTCAAGGCTTTGGGATTTTAGTAAAAAGCTTATTGAATTGAAGCAATATTTTTATTGCATGTCTGCTATATTGAATGTTTATATATGTATATTATAATTCTTATTTTAATTCTCGTTTTACTGCTAATAAATTCAAATTGAATTTTTTTTATCCTAGAATATAAACATACATTCATAAATAAAAAGAAATAATTTTAAGTATAAACAAATATATAATTATTATATATAATAATTTACTCAACAAATGCTCTTAAGATTGCTATGATTCTAGAAAGGAAATACAAATTGAGAAATGTTTATTGTATATAAGCATATTTACAAAAGAATACATATAAACACAATTACAAATACGATTATGTATAAAGTTAAACAAATATTTCTGTAGTTATATATATTCATGACTTGTTATAGTATAACAAATATAAATTTCTTCATTAGAATCCTACCCTAGTAGAAGGTGGTGTAGCAAAGTATTTCTTGTTTCTTCTCGCAAAAGTGCGGCTATAAATAAAAAGATGTAAAATAGGAAATAATGTACTATATAAGCAAGTTATTCTTTATATACTTCACTTACCTGGAAGAAAGCGGAGTATTGAAGAAACCGCGGGAGGTACTGCGCTTAAGAAGCGATTCTGTTGATGGTGTATGTTTTAATTCGTTCGTTTTTGGGGTACAAATTCCATTTGAGTTCGTTGGATTCACATAAGTAGCCCAATAATCAGATGGAATTTGAAGCAAATTTTCCACCACCTAGAAATAAGTTATATATAAAGTTATTTGTATTAATTTTTATAATTAACATACAGAAAGTTATGCGGTAAGATTTTTTTCTTACCGCAACTTGATGTTTCGTTTCACTCAGCATAGTGAGAGACGGTTCCTTGGAAGTGTAACCGACCAAGGTCGGTCCGAAAACCTTAGCAAGATTACTGATGGGCATTTTACATTCGAGACTACTCGATACTCTTTGCAAATGTAACATCAAGAAGGCCAAAGTATCCCGATTTGGTTGTGGGAGTTCTGAAATTGCCTGATAAAGAGCGGCATCGGCATCTTGTTTATCCGTTAGCGTTGTCGCGCGTATAAAGTCTCCCATCAAAGCGACAGTGATTAACGGCTCACGTAAAGATCTATAAAAAAAAAAAAAAGATCTATTTATCAGTCTGCCTCCAATAAATATAATATCCCATTTTAATTTACACAACAAAATCTCTTGAACAATGCAATTTATAAAAAAATGTTTCACAATCAGACAAAAGTAGGATTTCGAAGGGGAAAGAAATTGGCATTACCCTTTCTTAAAAAGTGATTTTTAAGATCATTTGAAAAACATTTGTTTGTTTTAAATAGACCTATCATATTTTTTATAAAAATCGATTCCTTGCAATTTTCGGCATAAAACGTTATAAGAATAAGAAGCCCAAAAAATAAATAATTTACGAGATATTTGATAGTTAAATTTCATTTTTAGACTACTTTATAACTTTTTAGTGAATATTAAGAACTGATTTATAAAAAATTATAGTTACAATTAAAAAATATATAAATGACTTTGAAAAAGTCAATAACGCCATTTTTATTTAAAATATTTTTCTCTAAAATGAATTGTTTAAAAGATAATTTTACTGCATACATTAAAATGAGACACTGTGTATATATACTGCAACTATTATATTCGCAAATAATGTACCTGAGAAAATCTTTCAGAGTAGAACAGATGGTCGCTATGTCAACGTTGGAAAGATTTGGGGCACCTTTGCCCTTGAGGAATTTATCCTTAAGACATTTGGCGTCTGCGGCCGCTCCATTTACTCTGTATAAACCCTGTTCGTTCATTCCGCGTAATTCGATCTCGTTAATGCAATGAACAACGATGGAAGGCACCATAGGCGGTGTTATAGGCGTGTAATCAGCTATAGTGCCCTGTATAAAATAGTAATTCAGTTAAAGTAGACCTTGAATATTTTACTGATGTATAAAAGTGACACTTACGGGTATACCACGCAACGTAGGCGTATTTCCTGTTGGCACACACGGCAATGGTACTAAATCCTTGCATTCAGTATGGGCCGTAGCTCTGCAATCTCTGCACTTTTGGAAAATCTTTCCAAATCGAATTCTATTGATAGATTAAATAATAAATTAATAAATTAAATTGAAATAATTTTTTTATAATCTAATTTTATTAATCTGATGATATAATAAGATGATCTGAAAGATATTATAAGTTTTTTAAACATATTTAGATGTTTCTGATAAATTTACCTTTTGCCGCAAGGCGTGCAAATTTCCGACCTAATGGCAGTTTTAGCTGTAAAATTATGATTCCTAGACATTTTCGTATTCATAGTATATCCTCCAATGTTTGGACTTGGTTTGAAGACATCTTCCGTATCTGAAGTTGACGTAAGAATTTCAGCCTTTGGTGCTGATGGCTGAAAGTAGAGTTTTTGTCATTAATTATACAAATATAAAAAGAGTTCAATTAAATTCAACGATTTTATAACATACTGCTGTATCTAATGGTATTTTGTTTGGATCTATTTGCGACAACTTGGATTTGTTGTATTCTCCACTCTTACGCCGATTGCGTGTATTTTGTGAAGGAACCTGAGGATCTACATTCTCATCGCCAGGTATAGCTTCAATTGTAGACGATGCAGTGATTGCACCATCTTTGGGCATTACTACAGTGGTAGTGGCTACTATTCTGTCGGAAGAATTTAATTCCGTAACTTTGTGCAACGAGCTACGACGTTGTTTCTTGGAATGTTCGCTGCTGGGACGATGCTCCTTCCACTGTCGTTTCCCACTCTTCCGTGTTTGCTGGAAAATAGTGCTGGCCTCTAAGTCATCTTCAGATCTTGATAGACAATTAAGGTCACTTAATATTGAGCCTGTCGAGTCCAACTCGGCTATTGTGTTAAGCCTAGAAAATAAAATGATTATTATTAAATAATATCCATAATACCAAGATATAAATTTTTATTAAGATCTTTATTATCCTTACTTCTCCATGTGAACATCCTGAATATGCATGTTACTTTGTTGATTCAAAGAAGTATTATTAAGAAACTGCAGTTTCTCTCTAGTCTCATCATTCAGATTTCTACCTCCATCAGTAAACAAAAATTCCTGGCTGTAGCAATTTGTTGTTCCTGAAAAAAATATAAGAATACAAATTATTAGAGTCAAAATATATTTTTAGAAGTAAAAGTTCTGACATTAAATATCTTAGTAAGGACAAACGTGCTTAAGAGTCAGGTGCAATAAATTAGTGCACTTAAATTATTTTATATATATATATATATATACATATATATATATAATTTTGAATCTTCAGCAATTACAAAAATAAATCATACATAAATTACATAAATTTATATTGACAATCCATGTTAGGTATTATTTATCTTTGCATTGGCTGCATTGAGCAGAAAAAGCTTTACAACTGTTGTAAAATTCGATTAGATTCAACTAAGATAAAGAGTATACATCGAATTGACAAATTGTACAATAGTTGCAAAGCTGCTTTTTCTGTTGGATGCAGCCATTAATAGTTGCAAAATTAAGACTGAAACATTCAAAATAGATAAATAAAATATATAAAAAATAATTAGTGTAACTAATTAACACGCCTGGCTCTGAATTAGCTCGTTCATCCTTACTATGATACAATGCCTATATTCCAGAGGTATACACTTGAACTACCAATAAATCTTTTTGTTCCTCAACAATGCGACGTCTGCGGTTCTCCTCCTCCAAGTTTCTTCTAGCATGACGCAGCTTTCTATCCAGTCCTGCAATTTCGTGATGAGCCTTATCCAGGGCTGCATGGAGTCGTTGACATTCCTGCTCCGAAGCCAGCCATTTCTGCCTCATCTCCTCCTGGTTCAAAGCGAATTGCAGGAATTCTGTGCAAAGCAACAATATTAGAATCAAAATTTTTAGCAAAATTAAACGCTATCGCATAAAATCTCGAAGACACAAGTAAGATACGACGAGACGGAATGCTATTAACTCAAAGGATCGTTCGGGGAACCTACCTTCCTCGCAGGATCCATTTACGAGGACATTCGAACATCTCACCAATTCGTCATAAGTGGCTATAAGTGACAGCGAAGTCATCTTGTGAGAGTTTAGAATAGAATAGAAGCTTCTATACAATTGACATGGCACTTTACTCGTGAATAATAACAATAATAGCGCGCACAACTCGTTCAATTGACTGATTTGTATCACACGCTTCCTCCGTGAACGAGCGTACGTTGGACTTTTTGAAAACAAGCTGTCTTTCCGTGACCGTTGAAATTCAACGCGAGAGACCTCTGGAAAGCGAAGTGCTACCAACCTATTTTGTTCGCAGCTGTATAAATTATTGCATAAGTTACTAGGATTTCCAATCGACTAATCAGAGTGGAGGGTACAAAATTCCTTTACTCCGATTGGTCAATTTGGAATATTTCTTTTACATTTTTATTGTATATTGTTTTTTTCGCAATATATACATATATATGCATATAAATAAAAAATGTATAAATTTATTCAATAAATGAATAATTTAATTTAATAAGACAAATAATTATATTTTTAATAATTATTTATATGGATTAAGAAAAAATTTATTCTGTATTCAAAATATGCATGTTTTACATAATAAATTACGCATAATGAAAATTTTTTTATTTATTATATAACTACGCATACATATTTTGAATATAGAATAAATTTCATATTCCTATGAGATAAACATATTAAACATCTTCTAATATTACACTACACACATAGGAAAAAAACCAGTACAATTAAAGAATAATATATTGCGTAAAGCAAATTTTATATATGTATATATGTGTTGCTCAAAACAAATTTCTTGTTTCACCTCTTTAAGTTTTATAATTTAGCATTTGAAAAAGATTTTTTAAATTAAATTTATTTGTGTGATTTGCATAGCATAGTATTACTCTTAAATATTAAATTGTAAATTATATAGTACAATTTGAGTGTTTCGTCCATTGACTTATGTTTTAACACTATTTGGAGAACATAAATTGTCTTTTTGGATCTGTAATGTCTTAAGCTTCGAGAGTACAGAATTAAGTTCTGCTTGTACATTCGCTATTTTCGCAGAAAGATAGACGGACGCCTGAAAACGTTTCTGACTATTTCTCAAATTTTGTGGAACCAGGACACCAAACCATTTTACAGGATCTCTCGGTCCATCTGCCTCATTGTTTGATTTTTTCAAACTTATGTCAAAACTTGGCGCAGCATCATTGTCATTGTCATTCGTTACACTAGTTTCCAGGTCAAACAAGGATGTCACTGTGTCCTCATTGTTTGGAACCTGTAGAATACTGATGTTCTCCTTTCCACGAATGTATTTCGCTTTAGCCAGCTCGATGTGACCATCTTTTAGCAACGTTTCCATTTGCACAGTTTCACGAATCTTCTCTTCCATTAATTCCAATTTATGTAGCAACAAATCGTCGATCTCCTCTGACAAGGTGTCCATACTTTTACCCATCTGAATATTGTTACACCTTTATACCAGCTGATAGATATAAGCCAAGGTTTTGCCTGAAAGTAGAATGTAGAGAAAGAATAAGATAAAAGTACAAAATATTTGTTCATTATTAAAAAAAATGTGACTAGTAAAAGAAATATATATATATATATGCTTAAAATAACTTAAAATAACTAAAATAAATTAAAATAGCTAAAATAACTTTAAATATATATATGTGTTTTAAAAGAAAAATATTTAAAATAACTTACCAATATTAATTTTTCTCTTTCATGAAATATTGTCTCATATTATCTTATTTGTTTGCCTGACAAATTATACATCATTTTTCTTCGGCTTTTTATGTATCATTTAAAAGAATTCAAGCACAAATATATTTTCTATTTTACATGTCACAAGTCTCTTGTCTTCATCACCTGATTCTAGGACGGTAAAGTAAAGACCTATCGTATCCGCTGATAACGGAACAAATATTTTGGGTTGTGGAGGGGGACAAACACATTTGGAGTTTTGGAGCACATTGTTCTGTTTACAATGTAATTTAACAAGTTATGAGAATTTTATGCAGTTTAATATTTTTGTGGACTGCGAGATTTTTTTTACAAAAATAATAACTCGTAAAAATTATTGAGACTCTAGTTCTGCATTTCTTGGTGTTTGTAAAATTCCAATATCTTGATGTATCAATATTGTAAAAAATACTGAAAAATAGAATCTACCATTCTATCTATCAAACTATAAATCAATTGTACATTTATTATGAATACGCCAATATTAACGAAGAAGCAGCAGAGACAGAGCTTATCGGCTAAAAAAGGACCTGTCAAAGGTTTACGGAATATCTTGGCACAGCCTGCTGAGAATTTCTGGTATGTTATTGATGCATTAATTTTGAGTACAAGTAATTTGTAATAGATTATTAATAATTTCTGATACGAGAAAATTGCTAAATAATAATAATAATTTTCTTTAATTATATAATGCATACTTACACTTTGTATTTATTACGCAATTCTTTTAGGCCAACTGTAAACATAGATGAGCACCCAACATTGGTAACTCTAATGGATGAGTGAGTATAATTTGAAATAATATGAATAATCACATGAAAGAAATTTTTAATGCTGAAACTTATTTATAGATTATTTTCCTTAATAAAACAGCCAAGATATAAAATTCCTGGATTTATGCTTAGACATATACCGAAGGAAAGACGTATATTGGTTGTAAAAGAAGCATTAGAGAAAGAGAGCAGCAAGTTTGACAGAAGTATATTGTAAATATTTTGCGTAATATTACAATGTTATATTGGGAAAAATATTCGTGACTTAAAAAATAAAACAAAATTCAATTGTAATTTATATTTTTAATTTCAGGAAGTCTGTAATCTTGGGTATTAATGCAATTACTCGAGCTTTAGAAAAGAACAATGTATGCTGTGTTTTATTAGATGCCAATGTTGAACCACTTCTCATTAAGCATGTTGTTATCATGGCTCAGAATAAAAAATACCTGTTCTTCTGTTGCCTGTTTTGAAAACAGTCTCATTGCAAAAGATTGGATTTGCCACGGCAGCTTTCGCTTTGAAGGTAAATGCATATGACGTAGCTCCTTATTTAAAAAATATATATTTTTTACTTTTATATTATAGTATTTATTTTATATTATATATTTATATTATTCATTTTTTTTTGTAAATTAAAAATTTTTAAGAGTTTTTAAATACTTGCAGAATGATGTAATGCAATCTTCAGAAAATGTATTCCATGCATTATATAAATTGGTGGCAGAAATTTTTAAGAACATAGAGTCACCGAAATGTTTGCTTCAACTTTTTAAACTTGATGAAGCATCTAAGAAAAGTGCAACATGCAAAGCAGAGAGTGCAAACAAGGATAGTGGTCCAACTACTTCCAAATCAGCGAGATCTGTTAATATATTTACAGATGTGTATAAATATAGATCTTCTCGAAAAGAAAGAGCTTTTATACTTCCGACTGTCAAAAAAAGTCCTCAAGTCTCTCAAACACAATCGGATGAATTTATAGCTCTAAGCAATGATCCTGATTCTATTGACGATGAAAATATTACTAATACAAAGGCATTAAAGAATGCAAGATATGTAAATATCTACAAGGAAAGTGAATCTGAGAGCACAGAAAAAAATAACGATCAATCTTTAAATGAATCAAAGTTAATTGATAATAATGTAAATTCGTTGAAACATATAAAAAATTCTATGTTAAAAAAGTGTAAAAAAAGTGATGTAGCCTACTTACCATTAAAAATAAAACGTATACAAGGAAACAGTCATCGAGAAAAAGCAACTAAATTTACTAAAAGGAAAAAAAAATAATAAATTGTTTTTTTACACTTTTGGGGAGATTTTTAAATTAACATTTTCTATGTCTAATAATGTAAAAAAGAATGAATCAAGTACGAGAATTATGTACAAATATTTAGTAATAATGATGCATTTCTTTCCATACAAATTATTACAATATATGTATAAACATCCTACTTATATTAACAAGTAATAGTAAATTAAATAACATTATTTATTATATTACATGAAATAATAAATAAAACTTATATTATTTGAATTTCTAGCAATAAAAAACAATAACAAAAATAATTATTCTACAATTCTTACTTATCCCTATAATAATATTAGATGAAGATATAATTTATATAATAATTCTATTTTGCATCAAATTGTGGATTTAAGTCAGTCTTTTGTGTATTAATCTTAATGGTAACAAATATAAAAAATTTTTCTTCATCATTATCCTTTCTCATCCTCTGAATATATATCTTACGTCAAGAAATTTTGCAAGATGAGGAATTAATTTTTATAATTTTTATTATAAAAACAAAGTGTCCTAAGAGCAAATAATGCTATCATACAGGTAAACTGGATTTTACCGACGATTTAAACATCCTTGTAAAGAACATGAGACCAGTTGTACCTCCTGGTATATGACTTATTAGAAATGACAGCATCGCTAACAACTGTAGAATAGCGCATAATATGGTCAAAGGAGTCGATTGCAAATGCAAAGCGAAATAAAGTGTGCCCGTCAATGTTGCAAAGTATGATACCGTGAAACATCTTTTCTCAGCTATGAATAATGATTTGATGTAACTTGATCCCCATAAAAAACAGAAGCTGTAAAAGATCTTGTGTTAGAAATATTTTTCTCACATAAGTATCATGATACTTTGCAAAAAAATATTCACATACCTCATTAAAAAGAAGAGGCTCCCTAAGGAATAAAGCAAAGCGAATTTTCTCGCTTTAAGTAATAACACGGGAATATAAATCGCCGATAGACAGAAGCACAATAGTCCCAGAAGGAAACACACAGCAAAGGATATGAGCCTTTGTGTTCTCGTCTGTCAACACATAAAAATGTCATAATGTATTTTGTGCACGAGCATATATTTATTGTTATGAATATTTTTATATTGTACTCTATTATTTATATTAATTAATTTGTATAATTTATTTATATTAATTTTATTATCAACTCAAGTAGCAAACGTCATCGACATCAAAATGCTATCTAGAAATATAAATAACATTTTATATTATATATTTACATTAATAAAAGAAAAACATGACGTGGTAAGTCATTTATTTAATAATTAAATTTTTAGCTAATAATACAATAAATAAATATATGTATTATAAATAGAAATGATCCGAGTTCCCGGATTGTTGATATTTTTAACACAAACTTTAAACAGACAATTTGTAAAAAATTAAAAACTAACATTTTAGAAAAATTGGCAAATTGCTGTAATAAAGTGTATTAAAAATCCTTTTCGATTAACAAGAGCTTAATATTTAACATTAATTAATTCGAAAATTCCATTGAGGTTATGAGAAAATGCACTACCATAGCGGGACAACATTCTCTCTGCGATCTTTGAATCCATCCTGCGTCGTCCTTCGTTTCTTCATCCTTGCCGAACCATCCGCGAAAGTTCGCTTTCGGCAACGCTACCGAGGGAATGGCGATTTTATATTGCTTTTCATTTTTGTTGTTCAAGAGATACTCATTCAACTCCTTGTTGAGATCGGCCATTTTTTGACATATATATGTATACGCGTGATTTCACCCTCATTTACTATCAGTTCGTCATTCAATAGAATACTTGCTTCATCGACATTATATAGTAATCGATCGAACTGTCAAAAGTGTGTCAATAAAGATGATCTAATAAACGCTCTAAACTCTAATTAATAATATATTCGTGATTCGTGACTAACAATAAATGATAAAGTCTCTGAAAAATTAAAATAGGATTGAAATGAAAAACGGAGGGCTAATAAGTTATTTTTATTTTTTATCTTGCATTGAAAGGCTAAGCTAACAAACGTTTTAATTAATCTAACAATCACCTAAACGATTTACAAACGATTTCGAAATGTCAAAGTAGGGGCTATAACCACAGTATATTATACTGTGCTATAACTCACAATCAGTGAGAAATGATTAGTCGAATCGATTATCGATTCGACGTCAACTCGACCATATATCGACGTCGAATCGATATATCGAATCCATGTCAATTCGAACAGCATTATTGATGCGTTCCATGAGTTAAAATTATGTCAAGACACAATAAAAATTCGATGAATTAAAATTATGTCGAGACATAATAATAGTTCAAGAATTTTTTTTATGTCGCGATATATTTTATTCATCGAATTTTTATTAGTCTCAACATAATAAAAATTCTTGAATTATTATTATATCTTGACATTATGTCTTGACATAATTTTAATTCATCGAGTTTTTATTATATCTTGACTTAATTTTAATTCATCGAATTTTTATTATGTCTCGACATAAATTTAATTCATCGAATTTTTAATGGCCCCAACATAATTTTAATTTATTGAATTTTAATTATGTCTCGACATACAATAATTTTAATTCAGTGAATTTTTATTATGTCTCGACATAATTTTAATTCATCGTATTTTTATTATGTCTCGAGATAATTGTAATTCATCAAATTTGTACTATATCTCGAAATAATTTTAATTCATCGAATTTTAATTATGTTTTGACATAATTTTAATTAATCAAATTTTTATGTTTCGACATAATTTTAATTCATCGAGTTTTTATTATATCTTGACTTAATTTTAATTCATCGAATTTTTATTATGTCTCGACATAAATTTAATTCATCGAATTTTTAATATGTCTCGACATAATTTTAATTTATTGAATTTTAATTATGTCTCAACATAATTTTAATTCAGTGAATTTTTATTATGTCTCGACATAATTTTAATTTATCGTATTTTTATTATGTCTCGAGATAATTGTAATTCATCAAATTTTTACTATACCTCGAAATAATTTTAATTCATCGAATTTTAATTATGTCTCAACATAAATTTAATTCATTGAATTTTTATTATGTCTCGACATAATAAAAATTCTTGAATTATTATTATGTCTCAACATAATTTTAATTCATCGAATTTTTATGTCTCGACATAATTTTAATTCATCGTATTTTTATTATGTCTCGAGATAATTGTAATTCATCAAATTTGTACTATATCTCGAAATAATTTTAATTCATCGAATTTTAATTATGTTTCGACATAATTTTAATTAATCGAATTTTTATGTTTCGACATAATTTTAATTCATCGAGTTTTTATTATATCTTGACTTAATTTTAATTCATCGAATTTTTATTATGTCTCGACATAAATTTAATTCATCGAATTTTTAATATGTCTCGACATAATTTTAATTTATTGAATTTTAATTATGTCTCGACATAATTTTAATTCAGTGAATTTTTATTATGTCTCGACATAATTTTAATTTATCATATTTTTATTATGTTTCGAGATAATTGTAATGCATCAAATTTTTACTATATCTCGAAATAATTTTAATTCATCGAATTTTAATTATGTCTCGACATTAATTTAATTCATTGAATTTTTATTATGTCTCGAGATAATAAAAATTCTTGAATTATTATTATGTCTCGACATAATTTTAATTCATCGAATTTTTATGTTTCGACATAATTTTAATTCATCAAATTTTTATTATGTCTCGACATAATTTTAATTCCTTGAATTTTATTATACCTCCACATAATTTTAATAATTGGATAAATTAAAATTATGTAGAAGTATAATGAAAATTCAAAGAATTAAAATTATGTCGAGACACAATAATAATTCAAGAATTTTTATTATGTCGAGACATAATAAAAATTCGATGAATTAAAATTATGTTGAGACATAATAAAAATTCCACGAATTAAAATTAAGTCAAGGCATAATAATAATTCTAGAATTTTTATTATGTCGAGACATAATAAAAATTCAATGAATTAAAATTATGTCGGACATAATAAAAATTCGATGAATTAAAATTATGTCGCGACATAAAAAAAAATTCTTGAATTATTATTGTCTCGACGTAATAAAAATTCTTGAATTATTATTATATGTTTCGACATAATTTTAATTCATCGAATTTTTATTATATCTCGACATAATTTTAATTTATCGAATTTTTATTATGTCTCGCGACATAAATTTAATTCATCGAATTTTTAATATTTTATATTACGACATAATTTAAGTACACTGCTTGGCATATGCAGATGATATGGTGCTGTTGGCGGAGGATGAAGAAGGGATGATACATATGTTAGGGAAAATGGAAAATTATATGGATAAGAAAAGGTTAGAGGTGAATGTGGATAAGACAAAAGTAATGAGGTTTAGAAAGGGAGGAGGAAGAATGAAGAAAATGAAGTAGAGGTGGAAAGGGAAAAGATTAGAGGAAGTGAAAGAATTCACGTATTTAGGATATAAGTTGCAAAGAAATGGGGGACAGGAGGCACAGGTAAAGGACAGAGTGAGGAAAGCAGGAGCGGTGATAAGACAGGTGTAGGGAATGGGGAAAAGAAGATTCGCAGGGGACTGGATGAAAAGAGTATGCTTAATGGAAAGGTTGATGGAAACGGTGTTGGAATATGGGGCGGAAATATGGGGGTGGAAGAAGAGGAGAGAAGTAGAGGCAATGCAGGAAAGATGGATTAGGTGGACATTAGGAAGTGGACTGGTGTACGCCGGGGTATATGGTAAGAGAAGAGATAGGAAAGGATAAATTTAGGATAAGAGCAGAAAGAAGAGCGGTAGGGTATGAGAAAAAATTAGAGGAAGGAATGGGAGAAAGTTTAGCGAGGAAATGCTATGAGGATATGAAAGAGAGGCCCAAGTAGCAAGCTAACGTCATTAAACGTCAAAATGACGTCATTCGACGTCAAAATGACATCATTTTGACGTCGAATTACGTCAGCTTGCTATCTGGGGGGGTAAGAGAAAGAAAGGAGAGAACGATTTGGGAGGAAGAGAGGGCAAAATTTTTAGAAGAAAGGAGAATAGAAGGAAAGGAGATGGAGGAAAAGAGAGGAAGGGGAGAGGAAGTATACGAGGAATGGGAGCAGAAGGACAGAGAAATGCAAAAGGAGGAAAGATGGGAGAAGATAAGAGAGTCGAGATATAATAGTTGGTATGGAGAATGGAAGAAGGAGAGTTTACCGGAATAGCTGAGAAAGGGATGGTGGGAAAGTAGATGGAGAAGGATAGTGAGGTTTAGAATGAACAACGAAATGAGAGGGGCGAGATACTGGGAAGAAAAGAGGAAAAGAAGATGTAGACTATGTGGGATGGAAGATGAAACTTGGGAACATGTAATAGAAGAATGTTTTGGAGAGGGGAATAAGGGAAATTGGTGGGAAAAAATGAGGGAAATACTGCAAGAAGGAGGAGAGGGGGAAGAATGGATGATGGAATTATAGAAAAAGAGGAAGGAGGGGAGAACGGAAGGGGAAGAGGAAGAAAGGGAAGAGGGGGAAGAAGGTATGAAGAGGAGAATGAGTGAAAGTATGAATGAGGTGTTGGAGAATGTATGGGGAACTGGAAGCCGAGGCAAAACGAGGCCCATACAGCACCGTTAGATTGCAAAAACATTACAACAATCTTTCACCGCAATATTGCAATATTGCAAATTCACTGCAAAATGTTGCTACATCATTGCTGTTGAATTGCAGCAATGTTAAAATGTCCGCTTTTTGGAAGATTGCAACAAAATATTACAACAATATTGCAATGTTATGAGTTTGCAATAATGCATTGTTATTGCAACCATAAACTAATGTTGCATATACAGGTATATAAATTACAACTAATAATTATATAGCTGTAACTTGGTGTTTGCTGGGTACATATATGTATATATATTACAATATATAAATTATAGAATTTGGATTACATGCAATATTTCCGAAATATTAATGTCATGTTGCTACAAGTGTGCTAAGATATGTTCTAAGAGTTTGAGTTTCGACCCATCAAAAGAAGTTTTTGGAAACGGAACCTACACCGCAGGCGATTGGCTTTTATGATGATTTTTGGAGGGCTGTCGTTCCCTTTCTCTCGTGATCAGATGCCTCGAGAACCTCCAACTTTTCGACATTCCTCTTCACGACTACACGAGTCTGACACGATCAGCGGTAGAGGTACGCGAGCGGTAGATTCCTCGTATACGCATCGACCACCGAGATTAATAGCGATATACCATTGTTTTTTTTATTGTAATTTTGTGACTTCTGTGTCTATTAACGACGGCACGGATTTTCGTGCCGGGAATAAAGAAAATAGTACAGTCAGTGTTGTGTACAGTGCTCGTCTGATTCTCCACGCGCAATCCACCGACGGATTTCCAAGCCGGATTGCGAGAGTGAGACGAAACTCTGAGACCTTTACGGTGAGTAACCGCTCGTTAATTATATCGCGCTTACAGTGCCGCGTATTAAAATATTAAAAATTTGATGAATTAAAATTAATTAATAAAAGGCTCGTATAAATTAACAAAATTTAAAAAAAGGTAAATATTGTAGGCCAACTAAACGAGCAATTAAATAAGATCTAAAGATTTATTAATAATTAAATAATTAAATTCTCATTCCGTTAGAGAAACAATATACAGCGTAAACGTTTCGACTGCACTACAGTCTTTTTCAATACGTAAAAATCAAATATTAAAATACAAAGTTAAATATTAAAATACAAAGTTGGTTAAACATTAAAATACAAAGTTAAACGATTCTTCGCTGATGACCAATAGACAGTAGCGCGTTTACTAATGGGTTTTGGAGGCTTAAGCCCCTGGGCGCCGAAACATCAGAGGCGCCGCAGTTTTTTTAATCATACAGCAATTTGAGCGATTTAGGAAGTTGTGAATTATCTCTTGAATCTTAGAACAACGGAAAACTTTCTGAATTTCGAAAAAAGCGGTATAGAAAAATCTGGTTGTGAGGAGTACAATTTGAGAAGCAATCGGAAAAGGAAGCGCCACTTTGACGAAGGTGCAGAAGCTGAGACTGTCTTCGATGCCAGAAATTCAATGAAAAAATCAAAGTTTATTTTGCAATTTTAGACAATCTTATTAACGCCCTCGAAAAAAGAGCGGCGAGCTATAAGTATCATTCGGAAACATTTGAATTTCTAAATAAACTACAACTCTATTCTGAATTTGGAAATGATCAACTAAGAGTTTGCGCAAAAAATCTAGTGGAAATATATAATTGTGGATTTAAGTCAGTCTTTTGTGTATTAATCTTAATGGTAACAAATATAAAAAATTTTTCTTCATCATTATCCTTTCTCATCCTCTGAATATATATCTTACGTCAAGAAATTTTGCAAGATGAGGAATTAATTTTTATAATTTTTATTATAAAAACAAAGTGTCCTAAGAGCAAATAATGCTATCATACAGGTAAACTGGATTTTACCGACGATTTAAACATCCTTGTAAAGAACATGAGACCAGTTGTACCTCCTGGTATATGACTTATTAGAAATGACAGCATCGCTAACAACTGTAGAATAGCGCATAATATGGTCAAAGGAGTCGATTGCAAATGCAAAGCGAAATAAAGTGTGCCCGTCAATGTTGCAAAGTATGATACCGTGAAACATCTTTTCTCAGCTATGAATAATGATTTGATGTAACTTGATCCCCATAAAAAACAGAAGCTGTAAAAGATCTTGTGTTAGAAATATTTTTCTCACATAAGTATCATGATACTTTGCAAAAAAATATTCACATACCTCATTAAAAAGAAGAGGCTCCCTAAGGAATAAAGCAAAGCGAATTTTCTCGCTTTAAGTAATAACACGGGAATATAAATCGCCGATAGACAGAAGCACAATAGTCCCAGAAGGAAACACACAGCAAAGGATATGAGCCTTTGTGTTCTCGTCTGGCAACACATAAAAATGTCATAATGTATTTTGTGCACGAGCATATATTTATTGTTATGAATATTTTTATATTGTACTCTATTATTTATATTAATTAATTTGTATAATTTATTTATATTAATTTTATTATCAACTCAAGTAGCAAACGTCATCGACATCAAAATGACGCTTGCTATCTAGAAATATAAATAACATTTTATATTATATATTTACATTAATAAAAGAAAACATGATGTGGTAAGTCATTTATTTAATAATTAAATTTTTAGCTAATAATACAATAAATAAATATATGTATTATAAATAGAAATGATCCGAGTTCCCGGATTGTTGATATTTTTAACACAAACTTTAAACAGACAATTTGTAAAAAATTAAAAACTAACATTTTAGAAAAAGGAAGCGCCACTTTGACGAAGGTGCAGAAGCTGAGACTGTCTTCGATGCCAGAAATTCAATGAAAAAATCAAAGTTTATTTTGAAATTTTAGACAATCTTATTAACGCCCTCGAAAAAAGAGCGGCGAGCTATAAGTATCATTCGGAAATATTTGAATTTCTAAATAAACTACAACTCTATTCTGAATTTGGAAATGATCAACTAAGAGTTTGCGCAAAAAATCTAGTGGAAATATATAATTGCGATTTGGAGGACGAATTTACTGAAGAAATCATTCAATTTAGATACTTTATTCAAAATGAAGAATTTTCTTCCAATATTCCACTTTCAGTATCATATTTAAAGTTAATACGTGAAAATAAAATTCAAGCTACTTTCCCAAACGTCGAAGTGGCAATACGGATATATCTTTGTTTAGCTTTAACGAACAGTAGCGGCGAACGATCATTTTCAGCATTGAAGAGAGTAAAGAATGCTTTTAGGTCAACATTAGGCCAAGAAAAATTAAACAATCTCTCTATTTTAAATATTGAATCGGAATTTTCAGTCAAACTCAACTTCGATGATGTAATAAAAATATTTTCGGAAAAAAAATCGTAAAGTGACATTATAAAAAAATTTTTCATTTTTAATTAATATAATTATTTTCTTGTTCTTAAATGTGTTTCATTTTTAATAAATATTCAAAATGTTGATTATTTATTGTTTATTCATTGGGAGAGGGAGGCTTGATTGAGGCGCTCGAAAATCACAAGCCCCTGGGCGTAAATTTTATAAACGCGGCACTGCCAATAGATGAGTAAGCCGATTGGTCTGAGATTCCAAGTTTTTCGACATTTAATCATGCTGTGGATATTTTACGCGAATTAAATTAATATCAGGTAAAATTAAATCATCGATAAATTAAATTTATGTCTCGACATAATTATCATATACATTTAATTCATCGTACTTATGTCTCGAGATAATTGTAATTCATCGAATTTTTATTATGTTTTGAAATAATTTTAATTCATTGAATTTTAATTATGTCTCGACATAATTTTAATTCAGTGAATTTTTATTATGTCTCGACATAATTTTAATTCATCGAATTTTTAATATGTCTCGACATAATTTTAATTAATTAAATTTTTATTATGTCTCGACACAATAAAAATTCTTTGTTCTAGATTTTATATTAGTGATATCTGGACTTCGGATTATATGCAAATTGCATATTTGTTACTTTTTGCACATTCTACGACAGCATTGATAATGTGAAAAAATTATAATAGTTTCAACTAATTAATGTTTATTAATTTAAAAAGTTATAATTTATTCACATTATTAATGTTCTTGTAGAATATGCAAAAATAACAAATATGCAATTTGCATATAATACGAAATCTAGTGATATCCAATTTATTTTCTAAATTCACGAAGCTATCATTTTCTTTATTACTCTCGGAAGAAAGATTTGACATGATGACTGTCTGGAATGAATTCCAGAATTGTACTTTCCATCTCTTTTTACAAGTTTCGTTAAATTCAATAAATTAAAATTATGTATATAATAGACATTTGATGAATTAAAATTATGGTCATAGCATCAAGCAACTGCATGTCATTGCAAAAATTAACAATTTGCCAGTTGATAAAATAAATAATAGAAATGATATCAAAGGGGCGTGCGAAGCGCATGCTTGTGTCGTCTAGTAATATAAAATATACATATATGAAATGTAATTTAGTAATGCAAAAAATAGAGAGAAACTTCACTTCACCTTAGCACTATTTTTTCATTCTTCTATTCTTGCGTTATTAAATTTATATTTTATATGTTTTACATTGAACTGTTTCTCATTGCCTGTTCTTATTTTTTGTTTTTCATTCCCTGTTCCTTATTTTTTTATTTTATTTGCGCATTGCCTGTAAATGCGCATTATTCATTCATCCACAATCAGTTTATGACGTGTAAAAAAGTAACGTTTAATATAAATTTTCAAGTATTATTTTTAATTATTAATTATTTTGTTTTAATATATGCATATTTAGAAATTATGTTGAGAAATTTTTGCTATTCAAATAGCAAATAACGTATATGTCATTTTGATGTTGCATGACATTATAGTTTGCTACTTGAATAATTATGATATAATTATAGACATTTTAATACAATGTATAAATACTAGCGACGAGTTTATAAATATAGAAATTTTAATTTTTTAATTAACGCAAATTGTAAAAAATAAAAAATTCAAACTCTTTTTTCAATTAGATTTTTTCAAAGTAATTGTATGAATGTATATTACGTCGTGTTCAAATCAAAGCAGGAGGTTGAAAAGAAAAAAAAAACGTACAAACAATATATAAAAAATTGTGGAATAATTTATAATAAACTTCGCATAATTTATTCTGTTTACTTTTAATAGAGCGATGTGTTATCGATGACCCGCGAATGAAATTGCTACGGTGGGTTTTCAAACTTACATTTATTTAAACAAATCAACATTGACCTTCATATTTACGGATTGTATACTGTATTTGTTGCACAGAGGATGCACCTTTTCTCTATAATACGCGAGATCTACGTATCCCGCAAAAAACGCGCGTTGTATCGTTTGACAGATCATTATTATTACAATCGGTGACAGAGGCAGAGGGGGGAGGAAAGGAGGGAGGAAAGGGAAACGGAAAGGAGAAGGGTATCGAATAGAATAATTAATGCGACTAGAAGAGCGCCGAACTAGAAACGAGTCTCACGTTATCACAATGTAATATTGAGTAGCGTTAATTATATATACTTACAATATAATCGTAATAAATATAATAATAATAATATCGTTTGCGTTGAGAAGAAGAGGAATTAGTACTAATAATAAGCGCAAGAAACGTAACAACAGTTTTTTCTTTCTCGGAAACTCAGATAACAAATTCGATCGCAATTCGAATACAATAATATACATGAACTCTATGAGTACTTTATTTAAACCAGATTCGCTCCTTATATATTCGTGTTATAGGTTTCCTTGTTTGTGTATGTATATTTGTCTTTTATACCATAATCTAAAATATGTACTGGCTCATGAATGCGAAATATTCCAAGTAGCAAACTGACGTCATTAAACGTCAAATTGATGTCATTCGACGTCAAAATGACGTACGCTTGCTACTTAGGAGTTTTTCTCGATTATATGATACACAGGATGAGAGATAATTGCTAATTAATTATTTCAAACACGAAGATCCCTAAAACTTATTATTCACTCGCCGCGGAAACGGAATAATTTACTCCGGGAATTAGAATATGCTTATCGATTGGTATCGGTGTGTGTGGTATTTATATACTTAATCGCGAAACTCCGTATATATAAGCTTATTAAGGAAAAATATAAATGAGCGTTATTAAAGAGGACCACATGCGCGCGTGGTTTCCCTTAATTTAATTTCGCTAAATTCGTTTCGACAGTAACAAATCTATCCTCTCTCTCTCTCTCTCTCTTTCTTTCTCTCTTTCTCGTTGATGATGATGATTCCTCTGATCACAAAAGAGATGGTTTGAAAAATAGTTCTCGATAGAAAATATATCGTGTGAAAAAAATACAAAAATCGTAATTTAATTTCAATCGAATCCTCTTATTATCCGACCCTCCTCTCTATTGCTTACTGTCGAAATAAAAAAAGATATTTGTAAAATCATCCCTTCTCTTTTTCTCTCTCATTCGCCCTCGCTCTCTGCCTATTTTCTTTATGTATACACGGATTTACGCAACTAAGCGTAAGGTATATGCGAGTATGCGTGCGCTTGTGTTTTCCATTCTCTCTCTCCCTTTCTCTCATATTTTTTCTCTCACACACACTTTCTCTCTCTTTCTCTCCTTATACGTATATATAAGTGTGTCGTCTCTTCGTGGACATAAATTCGTGTGTGTATATTTTCAACTATATACTTTGGCTTGTCCTCATACGTCATCACCGCGTACCTCCGTTTCCCGCTTTATAATGCTAATGGCAGCACGGATACACAATTTTGTTTTTATATACCGTATAGTATAGCGTGTTTGCGCACACAAAATGTGCGAAAGACTCGTAGAGTTATTATCTCGTTTTATACTATTCGAACGAACGCGCGTTTGACAGCTGTTAGTCACGTGTCGCGTTTGACAATCAGCTGATCGCTCTTGAATGACGCGACACGTCACGTGGGCACATCGCTTCGACTTTTTCAATTTCGTGCGCGCATTTTTTATGCTATATATATATATAATATCATACAATGGTATACGCGCACCGCAATAAACTGCTATACGCACTACGAGGGAGAAAACTATATTTTTTATGTATATATATATATATATATGTAATTCTCATGAAGAAACGAATGACTATGTAGCGCATAATGCATGTATGTGCGTAATGTGTGTATGTGTGTGAGTGTATGAATAAGTGTGTAAGTGTGAGTGTAATATAATCGGCGATTTCGCGCGTTCGCTCGAATGCATCGCGTTTCGTACTCTTCCACTTGACAAGTCCCTCCCTATATGTGCGTTTTTCCGACGAAGTTTCAGTTTCCCGTAATCATCCGGTAACATCGCGAGATATCGAAAGGTCTGATCAGTCTTAAGCCCTACCGTCTAATCTGTCGAAGCGAGTTTCATCGCTGAGCGATCTTTGCATTTTTCTTAACACACTTCGCGTCTTTGATATTTCTACATTTTCCTCTCTTCTTCTTTACATTTAAGAAAAACGCACGTTCAAGTTAGGGTTGCCACCTCGGTGCTTCAGTTGAAATTGATATTAAAAAAAAAAAAGAAAAGAGATTTTTTGTTGTGTTTTACCGCATGATAGCTTCATATTTTCGAAAAAATTAATTATATAAACTCCAAACGAAGACTCTTCATCTCTCATCCGGAGACTCTCCAGTCAAAACTCGAAGAGGTGTCAACCCTCTGGTTCAAGTTCGCCGACGATCTCGCTCGATCTCGTGACATTTAGAAGGTGGAATGCGAATAACGGAATGCAGACGTAAACGAACAGCCTCTCTTCTTGCCTCTTTGGATATACTTTGCTACGAGTATTCAAGTTATAACTTCTATATCACTAATAATAATATCACTAAATTGTTCATCGATCAGTGGTTCGGTTATAGAGATCGATGAAAAGGGGAAACGAAAGGGGAACTTTTAGGGAGAGAGAGAGAGAGAAAGAGAGAGCGAGTAAAGCACTTGGTATGAAACTCCGCGCACAGACTCTCATCGGATGAGCGATTTATGCTAATTAGGGAATTATCCTAAAAAAAAAAAAATTATGGGTTCTAAGGGGCAGCTTAAGTTCGTGCGACACGAGAGGGAAAGAGAGAGCCGGCGTATCTCAGCCATTGATATATAATCGCCAATTAATCAACGTCGTCGCTCGAGTTCAATTAACGCGTGTCCTTAATGTGTCTTCATTTCCTCCTCCTTCATCCTCTATTAACGACTCGTCTGCTTAACGCATTCAGAAGACATCCTTCCGGGATCCCCAAGCAAACTGACGCCATTAAACGTTAAAATGACGTACGCTTGCTACCTGGGTCTTAGAGGGAGCAACAAAATATTATATGAGCGGCGACGTGGCGAGTTGATAAAAATGAAAAAAAGAAGAAAAAAACACACCGAAGAGAGAAATGATCGCCGCGCAATTTGAGACGTCTTCACGGATACCTAACTCTCATCGGCTTTCTACATCTTCACCTTTTAGTACCCCATTTATTCGTACGCGGTTGTCCACCGACTGTCCTTAATTAATATTGCACGCACCGGCACACACAATGGGGACGCATACATATATTTAGTATGCGTTCTCCTCCATTTCTTTTTCCCCTATTCACGCTGGATTGTCGCCCGAAATGATTCAATCGGGCGACGATCTTGCTTGATATCACGTATGAAGAGAACAAAAAAAAATAAGAAGATGAGAACGAATAACAAAGAGAAGGCGTAACCTCGTCGAGCTACGGATTGGGAGGGACTCTCTGGGATCGAGAGCGAATATCCAGCTCGGAATCAGCTTTAACCCCTGGAACGAGGCAATTTTGATCGCTTCGATCACGATGCGCTCAAAAATTGCGCATCTTTGCGATTTCTTCTTTCCTTTTTCCCTTTCCTTTCTTCTTAGGTGCTTCTTCTTCTTCTTGTTCTTCTCTTAGGCTACGTAAATAACTTAAAAGAGAAAGAAGAAAAAAAGAAGAAACACCTTCTTTTGGGTTATGCAAATAACCTCTCTTCTTGCATATTTGTTGCTCGTGAACGTTACAAATGTTTTACATTTAATTTAACGCATATATGTACGTACACACGTACATACCAATATACGTACACGCCAATTATACTTAGCATTTCCATCCTCGAAATCGAGCGGACCTCGCTCGATCCCAATCGGACGCATCTTTCTCTCTCTTTAATCGCTATAGAGACTCATGTCATCGTTATTATTCCTATAATCGATTACTTTAATCGTTAGTATTATATACTAATTACGTTAGAGCTATATCAATCAACGCACTACATTGAACCATCATCTCGCGTACCCCGCGGATTTTTCTTTTTCATTTCCCCCCTCCCTCTAAGAAGTTTGCGACGTCCACCGGACGTTAACAATCGTGCAATTTCTTCATCGTCTTGAGCTGAGAACATTCAGGCGTCGCGCGACACAAGAGGAGAGACGGACTCCTCTTCTCGACGAGCGCGACGAGAAAAACCTCACATTTATTAATTACGCTATTTAAATAATAGTCAGTCCTCTTTTGACCCCTATATCGACTCCCAGTCCGGTTCCTCTAGCATTTCCTCCTCATGGGAATAATATCGTCGAATCGTCGATGTGATTTCGTTCAGCTTCTTCTCTCTTCTCGATTTTCTTCCATCGTAGTCTTCGTGTAGGCCAACGAAGTGTTTTCAGCGTCCTTCTCTCTTCCCTCTCGTCGCCTTCAAGCTTCCCTCATCTTGTCCATTCTCGTTTCCTCTGGCCCGCGCTGGCTCTCGTCTTTTAGGTGGTTCCGAAGATGTGTATACTCTTCGTTGAGGCCCTTACGAGGGAAAACAGTCAAGCGCACTCCTTTTGGATGCCTCTTCTTCTCCAAATACAGCTTCTCTCTTTTTTTTCAATGGTCGTCATCTATATTTTAGTTCGATCTTATTTCTTCCTCTCCTCTTTTATTCGATAACTTTATAAAATCACGGTAATAATATAGATGTATTAGAAAATAATAATTCCTCTCGCGTAAGCTGTACAACACGATACCCTCCGTTTGCGTTGCTACTTCGCTCGACGCTGATGAGCTACCTTCGTTAATCGCGTTCGATAACGAAGGGCGGGACCAACACCGTCGGTCCCTGGAAGTCAGGGTCACACAGTCGTGACGTACTCGCGCATCTCGGGCGAATCCGATCTGATCCAAGGATCGTCGTATTTGGACACTTCCTCGCTGCGAGTCCTCGTGGGTGGCGCTCTGGGACGTTCGCGGGGACGTACCCGCGGTCCCTCCTCGCTCAGCGACCTCTTCATCGCGTCCACGTGAGGCACATCCAGCAGAGCCTTGGACCTAATCAATTGTGGCTTCGGCCGTCTGGAGTCCTCGCTAGCGGCGCGCACTATCACGGCCGGCGGAGGCGCAGCAGCTTTGGGCGGTGGTGGTTCAGCTTGGGGCAGTCTGTCCTCTAAAGGATTCGTGGTCGGGGCCGGCGATTTCGCACCTTTGCGTATAAACGCGCCTTTACGGATTAGCCGGGGCTTGCTACCCCTGCGTGGTGCGGGCGAGAACTCCGGCGACTGATCGATCAACTGCGCGATGCTCTTTCGCTTGCCAGGGGGTGTCTCGGGTACTCTTGGCGACCAGACTGGCGACGACAGGTCGTCCGGCGTGGTGACCTTTTTGGGTGGCGTCTTCTCCGGCGACTCGTCTTTCCAACCGCCTTGGTAGAGCGGAAATGGCGCGACTTGGTTGAGGATCCGCCACCGGAATTCCTCGTCGTCGCTCTTGCTGGGGGTCGCCGGCTCCGGCGGCGGACAGTGGGTGGGCGTGACGTTGTGGAAGGGCGACCACTTCTTGTCGTCGATCACCTCGATTGGGATCTCGCTCGGCGACTCGGGCTCGTAAGGCGTCCACTCGATGTCGCTGATATGCTTCTGCTCGCGCTTCCTCATTCCGATAGTCGGCAGAGGCGACGAATCCTCGTAAGGAGCCCACTTGGTGCTGGTGATGCTGATCTCCGGCGAGATCAGACGCCGCACGATCCTGTTCTCCAGCTTGCTCATCTGCCGCGGATCCGGTTCCGGCGACATGCTCCTGCGTATGCTGTACTTGGGCCGGTCGCGCAGACTCTTGCTCTTTGGCTCGTCCTGGCTCCTGTACCACTTTGGAGCTTTCTTTTCGGCAGGCAGAGAAACGTGGGGTTTCATCGCCCATCTCGATCGTATCTGCTTCTTGCTCTCCGACGGACTGAAGACCCTCTTCTCCATCTGCCTCTCCTTCTCTCTATCCTTTTCCCTTTGCTTCTCCTTTTCCTTTTCTTTTTCCTTATCCTTATCCTTATCCTTTAAGGACATTATACCCCATTTTCTCGAACTTTCGCTTCTAACCTGAGCCGAGCGTTCCAGCTTCGGTCGGTCTCTCTTATCCTTCCTGACCGCTCTTGGATCCTCGCTGACCTGTCTCTTTATCTCCGGTTTCTCCCACGGCACGGCCGACTCGTCCGGCACCAGAGACTTGGAATAGTGCAGTCTTTTCTCTTCCTTCTTCTGCGCCGGTTTTGGCGTTGGCTTTGGCGTCGGCTTCGGCGTCGGCATCTTCTGCTCCACGGGCGACGCCGGTGCCGGGGTCTTCACCTTGGGACAGGTGCACCTGGGTTTCGGGTTCCGCATCACGTCAGGCACTTGCAGCCATCTCGCCTCCCTGGCGAATCTCGTGTCGTCGCTGCTGTGCTTCCTCAAGTCGTGTATCGGCATCAGCAGATTCTCCGACCACTTGTCGACCTCCTGGAAGCTGTGGTGCTTCCTGAGATCGCTTCGTTGCGCCGTCGCCGACTCCACCGATTTCTTCATCTCCGGAGTCAGGCTGTGGCAGCTGCACTTGACCCTCCGGACGAGATCCAGATCGGTTTTCGAAGTGTGCAGCTCCCAGCGGAATTCCGTGGTCTCGCTGGCGCGCCTCCTCAGATCCAGAATCGCGTCGTCGGGCGACAAGAAGGGGCTACTGCTGGTGCCCCATCTCACGTCTATGTCGGTGCTGCGGAACTTCCATAGAACGCCGCGCTCGTGACGACTGGTGACATCGACCTCCTCGCAGCTGCAGATCCTCGTCGGCGTCCTCTGCGACTCGAGCGGCGCCGGCTCGATGGCGTCCAGGTCCTCGATCATCCATGCGATCTCCTCGCGACGTCGTCGGCCGCACGACGGACAGAATATGTTGTCGTCGTCGTCGCGACTAATAGTGCGCCGCCGCCGTCGTCGCTGCTGCTGCTTCGGGGTCGAAGTCGAGGTCGATGCCATGGGGTCAAGCTGCGAGAGCGGCTCCACGTCGTCGTGATGGCCATCGTCAGAGTGTCGTGACGTCGCAGCCGTGCCTGGCGATGCGCACCAGCAGGTGTGTGTAGCTCCGTCAAGCTGCCTTGGTGGGTACCGCGACTCCGGAGACGACGAGGCTCCGGTCGAGGCCGCTGCCAGTCAGACTTCCGCGTTCGCTGGAACCGCAGGCCTATTCGAATTCATAGATTAGGCTTTGAATCGATATCGAGCTGACATTCACCTCCTCGAAAGATGGACATTTTTATATATTTTGTATTTGTAAAGAAAATTCAGAAATCTTACGCATACATGAAGAAATTATTTCTTGTATTGCTGAATAATAAATTAATAAATATATGCATATATTTAGAAAAATATTCTTTCCTTAACATAATTTTGAAAAAAATCTTTACTCGAAAAATTTGCTATAGTTATTTAATTAAATTATTATTAATTGGAAACTTAATTAATTTGAATTATTAATTTGGAAGTTATTAATACCACTGAAACAGAGAAAAATATAAAAGAAAATATTTATTTTAATTATTTGAAGAAGATATAAGTGACTTACATCCAAATTCGTAACCTAATTAAGTAAATTTAAAAAGAAAAAGATTCCTTTCTTGTAATGATACTATTATGGGTCATAATAAATCAATAAATTAAATAATAAGAGATATATATGTGATTGTCAAATCATCGATGACTTGTTCCGACACTTGATGTACGAAGAGTACCTCGGTAAAATCTTAGCGTACCTTCAGCTCGCTGAAGATCTCTGTGAAGAATCCGGGCTCGCTGTTGATTCGCAGCATTTCGGAGCTAAGTCGGTTAACGATCAAGAGGCATCGGTCCCAGAACTTATCCTTGCTGTCCTCGACGAGGAACGGCTTTAGTGGATAACTGATCTCGTTACCCATGTAGCTGTAGCTCAGATAAAGACACGTCAACACTGTCGCCTGAAGTTCCTTCTCGGATGCCTCGTCTCCGTCGACGAGCTCTTTCACCAACATGTATACAAACACTACGTTGGCAGGGTTTATAAAGGGCACGTCCTGTCAAACAAGAGAAGATAGGATTACAATTAAGACGTTATATCTATTGTTAATTATGATATATATATGAATATGCAACGAGTTAGGTATTTTGATGAAAGAGATAATTTAAAAGCGCAAGAATCAGTAATATAAAACTTTCGATGAGAGCATTAATTAAAAAATTAATTCAATTAAAAATTATTAAATTAATTAAATAAAATAAAATTTATTAAATATATATATATATTAAAAATGTATGTATTAAAATATATTTAAAAATATATATACCTATATATAGTTTTTATTTTTTATTATTATCATCATCATTAACATGTGTATAAATTTTGTTTTAATTATACTCTTCTACTAATTGCATACTATTCGTCATATACGCATACATTGAAGTATATATGTGCATATATGTGTGTCAACATAAATACATATAGGTATATACATATCGGACATAAACGCTTTGAATACAATTATAGTCACACAGATGTTAATTAGTGCGGATACACATATAAGGAGAATATATGTCGTATAAATAGGGCGTCTATATTTATACTTGACAAGATCTCCATTAGCCATGAAATATATAAAAAAAGTGTGCAATCAGGTACATATATATTTGCACACATAATTGCAATATTAACTTATATTGCGCAATTTAGCAATTTTACAAATTTTCCCTCGTTATGTATATGTGCGAAAATTACAATAGAACACTGTTCTTTTTAATATTATTTTCATAAAAATGTGAATAATTTGTCACATGTCTTATCGAGTAAAGAAATCCATTTGAGAGAGAAGATAACATATTTTTTATGTATTATTAAAAAAAAGTGCAGGCGTTGCAAAAGAATTATCATAGTATAATTCTTTATCGTATTGTAACATCGAATTAATTTAAAAATGGCTTAAAACCAATAAGCAAAAAACAGGCTTTCAAAAACAATAATCGAACATATAAAATATTACATAATGGGTTAAATTACTCCATTAATTTAATATTGTATAAGTTTTACAATTTAATGAGTTTAAATAAAATATATAGTTTGCTTATTTCAATCACCAGGTAAATTTTGTATCGCTTATATTATAAATGAGTCTGATAGGAATTCATTATCTAAAAGTGCAGCTGTATCGATTCGATCTAATTTTCGAACGTATGTGCGCAAAATGTAACTATATATACATATAACTATAGCGTTACAGTAAATAATAATATAATTCACTCCGTAACAGAAATAATTATGAGATAATTATGAGAAGTCGGATTGATTTAATTGCGATCATTAATACAATTAATTATTCTTTTTGTCATGCATAATTTTTCACCTATTTAGCAATATATAAATATCTGGATATTAACCGATTGTTTTTTGACATATTGCACTGCGACAATTTTTTTATAATAGCTGCTGGGCATCAAACATTCCTTCTTGTTATATTTTAAGAGATTTTTGAATACAAAAGCTCTTTGTATTTTTGTTTCGGGCGGAGAAAAATTCCGACACATTTTTAACATTTAAAAAGTCACTTTGGGTATTTCATTGACAGAAAAGTTAAAAGGTTAATGTAAGACGTATTATTTAGATTCAGCAAATAATATACATTTTTCAACTAACATTAATAAAGTGTTACATTAATTAAGAATTAAAAAAATTAAATAATAGATGATAAATAATAGGAAAGAAAAAAAGAAGAAATATTATTATAATGTGTAAAATTTAATACAAACATATAATGTAAAGAATATACATTTAAAAAATTTTAATTTCAATTTAATAAATAATAAAATAATAATTAAATATCTTTAGTAACATATTGTATTCTGTTTTTTATTTTAAATCATCTTTGTACGTTACATCTCTTTATCGGCTAATTTAATTAATTTAAATTAATATAATCAACTTTCTGTTCTCGAGAGTGGAAAAACGCTCGACATATATTCCAAAGCTTTGGAGTATAGAATGCATACCATGCTGCATAATTTTCCTCTCAGTACAGATATGTCAATGAGATTCCAAACTAGGGAAAATCGAGTTTTCATCTATCTATTATCATAAAACGCATATCATCGATAAATAATAATTTGAGCGTGATTATAATATGTAATTTTCATGTTATTCTCAGAATCTAGGTAATTCACAATTATTTGCCAATTAAAAATGAAAATCGGAAAAATGACGAAGCATTCGCCACTTAACTGTTTTATTCTTCTTTAAATAAAAATTAGAAAATTAAAAAAAAAAGAAAATTTTTATATTTTTTACATTATAATTATAAACTCTATATGTATATATTAATATTTTCTTTTCTTTTTTCCCTTTCCTATTTTTTAAAATCTGTTATTTAAATTTAAAAAAATGTAAAATTAATGTATTGTTTTATTAATTGTAATTATAGAATTTATATTATTTGCTAAATCTGAAAATTCGATTTCGTCAGATTTTGAGAAAAAAATGGAAAAATATATCTGCTGGGCATCAAACATTCCTTCTTGTTATATTTTAAGAGATTTTCGAATACAAAAGCTCTTTGTATTTTTGTTTCGGGCCGTGAAAGGTTTCGACACATTTTTAACATTTAAAAAGTTACTTTGAGTATTTCATTGACAGAAGAGTTAAAAGGTTAATATAAGACGTGACATTATTTAGTTTCAGCAAATAATAAAAATTTTTCAATTAAAATTAATAAAGCGTTACATTAATTAAGAATTAAAAAGTTAAATAATAATCTAAAAAATTTTTTTAAATCAAATAATATAAAAAAATTAAGTAAAAATTAAATAAAAAAATTAAGTAATATGGAAATATATATCATATATATCGGGCGCGAATCGGACGCGTTAAAGAGTTAAAAGATTAATATAAGACGTGACATTATTTAGATTAAGCAAATAATAAAAATTTTTCAATTAAAATTAATAAAGCGTTACATTAATTAAGAATTAAAAAAGTTAAATAATAATCTAAAAAATTTTTTAAAATTAAATAATATAAAAAAATTAAAAAATTAAGTAAAAATTAAATAAAAATGAAGTAATATGAAAATATATATCGGGCGTGAATCGGACGCGTTCTCGCGACGTAAGGAGTATGTAGGTGCATCAAGCACGGCGAGGCCGCTGGTGACCCGGGGAGGATCGATGCCCCCGATACGGGGTTTGCGCCGCGACCATCGGCACACAACCCGCTCTCCGTTGTGTTTTTGTTGCCCTGCATAGAGCGCCGGCCGTTCCTCGTTAGTCGGATCGCTTAATGCACATTACGCCGCGCTCACTCACGCTTGCAATTTGTTCACACGCCAGAATGCACATCCCCGATCTCTTTCTCTCTCTCTCTCTCTTGTCTTGTCATCGTGTGCCGCGACAGGGCCGTCGACACCTTCGATGACGATGACGACGATGCACTCCCTCCTTGCGCGAGGAATAATCGGAGCAGCATATACGTTGCACAATGCAGCGGAAAGAAAAAGGGATGGACGCGCGGCCGGTTCCTTGTCGCTTTTTTTTTACGCGACAACTCTAGAGTTGCCCTAGAGTGTCTTATTGAATTGAAAAAATTTGTTTGATTAAAAAAATGAATTTTTAAAAAAGGAAAAAAATTAATTAATTGATAATCTCAATTAATTTGAAAAATCAATTAAATGATAATTTTAATTAATTAAAAAATTAATTACTTTCTAATTTATTTTTAGCAAAGTAGATGTAGATAAAAGGAGAGTATGCAGGATTAATAATGCAAATTAAAATGATTTTATATTTAAGTTCTATTCGATTTTGCATTCGATGATAGCTGCAAGTGATTCATTATTATTGCATCGATTAGTAACGATCGATCGAAAATAATTCTTTGGAATCACAATTCTACTTATTGTTAGCCACTTTATGTGGAAGCTGTGGCAAATATAAAAATCTTTAGAGAGGAGATATTTTAGAACGTTTCTCCCCAGATTCGACCAAAGTGGTCACCGAATTATTTATGACACTGGGGGAATAGAGTATTGCACAGTAATCAGACTCGCGTGACGT